TACAATTAGCCAGGGCTCCCGAGAGTGTTACCTGTAAGAATACAGAAAAACTTAAATGTACCTATCTTATGCTAGCGCCCCACCTGTCACTACTCACACCCCACTTGTCACTACTCACACCCCACCTGTCACTACTCACTACCCACCTGTCACTACCTATAACTATCCTGTCACTACCCACATCCCACCTGTCTCTACCCACACCCCACCTGTCACTACCCACATCCCACCTGTCACTACCTATAACTATCCTGTCACTACCCACATTCCACCTGTCACTACCTATAACCATCCTGTCACTACCCACATCCCACCTGTCACTACCTATAACCATCCTGTCACTACCCACATCCCACCTGTCACTACCTATAACCATCCTGTCACTACCGACATCCCACCTGTCTCTACCCACACCCCACATGTCACTACCTATAACTATCCTGTCACTACCCACATCCCACCTGTCATTACCTATAACTATCCTGCCACTACCCACATCCCACCTGTCACTACCCACACCCCAACTGTCACTACCTATAACTATCCTGTCACTACCCACATCCCACCTGTCACTACCCACATCCCACCTGTCACTACCTATAATTATCCTGTCACTACCCACATCCCACCTGTCACTACCTATAACCATCCTGTCACTACCCACATCCCACCTGTCACTACCTATAATCATCCTGTCACTACCCACATCCCACCTGTCACTACCCACACCCCACCTGTCACTACCTATAACTATCCTGTCACTACCCACATCCCATTTGTCTCTACCCACACCCCACCTGTCACTACCTATAACTATCCTGTCACTACCCACATCCCACCTGTCACTACCTATAACTATCCTGTCACTACCCACATCCCACCTGTCTCTACCCACACCCCACCTGTCACTACCCATACATCACCCGTCACTATCTATATCTTTTCTGTCACTACCAACACCCCACGTGTCCCTACCCATACATCACCCGTCACTTCCCACACCCCACTTGTCACTACCCAATGCTATCCTGGCACTCCCCACATCTCACACGTCACTACCCATTCCCACCTGTCACTACCCACTCATTACTTCCCATACCTTTCCTGTCATTACCCACAACTCATCACCCATGTCACCACTCCTAACTCTGACATTACCCACAACTCATCACCCATGTCACCACCCCTAACTCTGACATTACCCACAACTCATCACCCATGTCACCACTCCTAACTCTGACATTACCCACAACTCATCACCCATGTCACCACTCCTAACTCTGACATTACCCACAACTCATCACCCATGTCACCACTCCTAACTCTGACATTACCCACAACTCATCACCCATGTCACCACTCCTAACTCTGACATCACCCATGTCACCACTCCTAACTCTGACATTACCCACAACTCATCACCCATGTCACCACTCCTAACTCTGACATTACCCACACCACTCCTAACTCTGACATTACCCACAACTCATCACCCATGTCACCACCCCTAACTCTGACATTACCCACAACTCATCACCCATGTCACCACTCCTAACTCTGACATTACCCACAACTCATCACCCATGTCACCACTCCTAACTCTGACATTACCCACAACTCATCACCCATGTCACCACTCCTAACTCTGACATTACCCATAACTCTCCATTCAAGTTCTTATGAAACTGGCTCTTAGCGATTCCACTTACGTTGCCAATATATGTTCCTACTGGAGCTTCCTCAAACACACTGAAGGCGTACTGGCTCGTACTCTGTACCACTTCAAATGAGTAAATACATAATGTCAGCTTTATCGGTTGACTCAAAAGACACGTGGTATTTGTAACTCAATAAGGCGGCAATGACAACGTGGATGGCTCACACGTGTAGTTGACAAATTGACCAAGGGGTTGAAGGACGCATAAAGATTCCATAGAAATTGACCAATGTGATTTGGAAGGTAGACGAGTTATCCAAGTCACTGGATAAAATGTTATTCAAGGCACCGGAGAATCATGTCAAGTTAACCAATGAACTTCTGACATGTTAACCAATGTGATGGTGTGCCCAACCGAACTGACCGAGAGTCTTCGGCGCCCTAACAGGTTTATCAAGGAAATAAGGAATTTCGCAGCGAGGGAAATTAGGTTTGTAGGATGATGTTGTTATTCAGGGAGCAGTTGCTTGTGAGAATGAGGGTTTGGTTTTTTGGAAAAGTACGAATTGTACCTATCACTTGTTGTCAATAAATACATGTACATTTCATCCTCGTGTACCTATCACTTGTCAATAAATACATGTACATTCATCCTCGTGTACCTATCACTTGTTGTCAATAAATACATGTACATTTCATCCTCGTGTACCTATCACTTGTCAATAAATACATGTACATTCATCCTCGTGTACCTATCACTTGTTGTCAATAAATACATGTACATTTCATCCTCGTGTACCTATCACTTGTTGTCAATAAATACATGTACATTTCATCCTCGTGTACCTATCACTTGTTGTCAAAAACTACATGTGAATTTCATCCTCGTGTACCTATCACTTGTAAATAAATACATGTACATTCATCCTCGTGTATCTATCACTTGTCAATAAATACATGTACATTCATCCTCGTGTGCCTATCACTTGTTGTCAATAAACACATGTACATTTCATCCCCGTGTACCTATCACTTGTTGTCAATAAATACGTGTAAATTCATCCTCGTGTACCTATCACTTGTTGTCAATAAATACATGTACATTCATCCTCGTGTACCTATCACTTGTTGTCAATAAATACATGTACATTAATTGTCGTGTACCTATCACTTGTCAATAAATACATGTACATTCATCCTCGTGTACCTATCACTTGTCAATAAATACATGTACATTTCATCCTCGTGTACCTATCACTTGTTGTCAATAACTACATGTAAATTTCATCCTCGTGTACCTATCACTTGTCAATAAATACATGTACATTCATCCTCGTGTACCTATCACTTGTCAATAAATACATGTACATTCATCCTCGTGTGCCTATCACTTGTTGTCAATAAATACATGTACATTTCATCCCCGTGTACCTATCACTTGTTGTCAATAAATACATGTACATTCATCCTCGTGTACCTATCACTTGTCAATAAATACATATACATTCATCCTCGTGTACCTATCACTTGTCAATAAATACATGTACATTTCATCCTCGTGTACCTATCACATGTCAATAAATACATGTACATTCATCCTCGTGTACCTATCACTTGTCAATAAATACATGTAAATTTCATCCTCGTGTACCTATCACTTGTCAATAAATACATGTCAATTTATTTATACAAATGTTGAGTTTTTCTTGAAGTGACACAGTGGCTAAGGGAATCATAGTTTGTTAAAATTGTATAATAGCGTGTTGAATTTGTATAAGTTGCCAAATGTGATGACCTTTTAACTTTGACTGTTAACTTTGAAAAGAGGTTCTCAATATTTGAAATTAATTCAGGACGATACGAGACAGACATGGGTAAATGTATATGCCTACATTTTTCATTAAAATGGCGGAGACATAAAAACAGAAGGTGTAATTTACATACCTAGGATAAGGGAGACGAAGATTAAAATCCGAGCCATATCGAGAAAGGTTTGTGTGATCAGTGGCAGGTGTCTTATCAATTACCTACTTTTCTTGTGTAATCTCTGTATTCAATACCACATATGACGTACAACGGCATATTTGGTAATAATACCATCCTACTGTTTACGTCAATATACATTCGGTTTCGTAATGCAACAGTGCAGACTAACACGGAGACATACCGCAATACTGTAACATACTGCATACTTGCACAACGGCAATGTTACACCGAAACCACATATACTGCTCTCGGTAATGAATTAATTAATGAAACAAAGGCTGTATGGCTTTAGCACCGTGTACGTAATTATCAGGGACAGTCCGACGTTAACATCATAAGGTGATCAGACAGCCCACATCCTGTTTACAAACAGTGGCAATCACCCCGAAAAATGGGATTCAATTGAAATAGCTATATATGGAGAGACAGTTCGTACTGAAAACGAGACTTTCGTAAAGTTTTTTTCGAAATTCATCAAAACGTTAATTGACCTACACATTACTGTATTTACCGTCATATATTGATATGGTTAACAGTGATATGTGTCACTTTATTTGATTACGCTCAGTGTTTTCTGTGTACTTCTACAGTTACAGGAGTTTTTAGTAACAAACATATATGTTAATATAACAAAATTATAAAAAATGACATAATATAGCGTGCGTCAAAATTAGACCATGAGGTAAGGAGAAATTTAAAAACTGAAAACAAGAAGATGATTCAAAATAAACATCATAAGTAGTTGAATACAGGTATGTAGGCGTAGACTTCCGAAGGGGAATAACTCACACAGATTTGGTGCGCGCAGATAACACCGGAACAGACCTGGGTATCCCAGGTACGGAGCAGTCGCCGGACAGACTCGTCATTCTGAGCTAACATAAGCTCGTTGGACAGGCTGTTCCATACCTGGGATGCCACAAAACGAAAATATTTCTTCCCATAAGTGGAGGTATTCACCTTAGGGACTCTAACAAGACTGTTTTGTCTAAATTATAAAAAAAACTTCTTTCCTCTCAATAAGGCCTTGTAAAATAGACGGCAAAATACCATTTAAGATCTTGGAAACCTATGGTTGTTTTCTTTGTAATATATCTGCTTATTTGTTTACATATCAATTAATAAAAATGAAGAAACATATATGCATATACCTATTTCAATATGTGATATTCATATTTATAGTGTTTTATCAGTAGATGAAGGAAGACCTTGTACAATCAGCCATCACCGATCAGATAAGCGTTATCATTTCATCATGGCTATTTGTGTTTCGAAACAATACTTGTGAAGTATTTATTGGCAAGAAATCATTGAACCTTATTAAATATACATTACTTAGTAAAAAAAATCAGAGAACTTTAACATGTTACTATGGATGTTGTCTTTATTATTTACTTTTAGATGGCGTTGATTCTACACAAAACAACAAAACAATATACAATGTTATACAACAAAATCTACCTCCATAATCTCTGACGCTGTAACATATTCTACAGGCTAACCAATTCAAACAACAACAAAGATTAAGAAAACATTCAGTTTTACAGCTTCAGGTAATCAAAATTGGGCCATTAAAATGGTACCAGGTTCGAGGTGTAATGTTTGATCTGTACACGAAGTAGACAGATCACAGATCATCCTGTGTTGTGGTTGTTTCCTTGGACAAGATCCTTCACCCCATATACTTTCCCGATGCTTTGGAGAGCATATTAAGTGAGGAAGTCACAACCTTCTACAAGGAAGTCCCACCTAAAAATGACCCTGGGTATTGTTGGGGCAAATAAATTTAACAAACAAACAATAGGTCAATAACTTAAAACATTTAAGTACAAAGGAAAGGTTTTTCTTCATATGCTTTCCACATTTTCAACAATACACACTTTCTCAATCATTTGACTGCAGACTGTTTGACTAGTATGAGTGATAAAACTCTACCCGACAACTCCATCATTCCTCAATAAGCTGTCCACACTGTATTTCACTTGTATCATTAATCTTTTCCCCAGAACTCCATCATTCCTCAATAAGCTGTCCACACTGTATTTCACTTGTATCATTAATCTCTTCCCCACAACTCCATCATTCCTCAATAAGCTGTCCACACTGTATTTCACTTGTGTGATAACAACTATCCCAACAACTACATTTCCTTAATCAGCAATACACATTAAACTGTATATGACACATGTGATAACATCACTTCTCACAACTACATGATTTTCTCATACAGAGTTTGATTTGTGTGATAACACCATACCCCATACACTTCCTTAATTTCTTTACTCATACTGTAGTTGACTCGTGTGAGGTCAACAGACTACATATTTCCTCAAACACCAGTCTTCGTTCTGTACTTACACACTTCCTGGGTTTGCTGCCGTCATACTTTATTTAACTTGTGTGAGATTACCCCCCCCCCCCCCATCTGCACATTTTCTTAATCAGCAGTTCATATACTGTATTAAAATTTGTGATAATATCATTCCCCACATTTAAACACTTTCTCCATCAGCAGTCCTAGCTGTAAACGTGGAACTGACGGTAAATAGTTCTGTTCAAATTCTTGGGTACTCTGATTTACATCCTTACTCTAGGTTGTCTGATCTCCTGATTTATTCAAGGAAGAAAAAAAACAAATACATATGTACAACAAAAATGATAGCAAATGTAAACAAAACATCACACAATCTTAAAATACAGGTCCTGTTTGACATTATCTCATAATGATGACCCATAATATCTGTCTCTGTAACAATACCTTCACAAACATGTTCATTCAGTATTGAGTATTGGCACATCTTCAATATTTTTTTTTTTTGTTTTTTGTGGAGGGTGGGCGGGGGGAGGGGGGGGTCATCAAAACATGATGACATCAGCCCAAGAAATCTTCACCCATGCATCAAAGATTATAAACATCAAAACAAAGGATATTAGTTCTATTAATACTTTTGTTCATTTCTCAATTTCCTCTTTTCATCCATAACAAACTGAATTACACTGATGAAAGCTTACCGGTATATGATGTATTGAAGATCTTCACTCTTTATAGATCAATGGTATCAAACACTTCAGTAGACATATGGGTAGGATGTACCACTGACTGATGAGGGTACAATATACCACTGACTGATGAGGGTACAATGTACCATAGACTGACGAGGGTACAATAAACCACTGACTGATGAGGGTACAATATACCACAGACTGATGTGCATACAATAAACCACTGACTGATGAGGGTACAATATACCACAGACTGATGTTCATACAATATACCACAGACTGATGTGCATACAATATACCACAGACTGATGTTCATACAATGTACCACAGACTGATGTTCATACAATATACCACAGACTGATGTTCATACAATGTACCACAGACTGATGTTCATACAATGTACCACAGATTGATGTTCATACAATATACCAGACTGATGTTCATACAATATACCACAGACTGATGTTCATACAATGTACCACAGACTGATGTTCATACAATGTACCACAGATTGATGTTCATACAATATACCAGACTGATGTTCATACAATGTACCACAGACTGATGTTCATACAATATACCACAGATTGATGTTCATACAATGTACCACAGACTGATGTTCATGCAATATACCACAGACTGATGTTCATACAATGTACCACAGACTGATGTTCATACAATGTACCACAGACTGATGTTCATACAATGTACCACAGACTGATGTTCATACAATATACCACAGATTGATGTTCATACAATGTACCACAGATTGATGTTCATACAATGTACCACAGATTGATGTTCATACAATGTACCACAGACTGATGTTCATACAATATACCACAGACTGATGTGCATACAATATACCACAGACTGATGTTCATACAATGTACCACAGACTGATGTTCATACAATATACCACAGACTGATATGGATACAATATACCAAAGACTGGGATAGATAAAATGTATTGTAGACTCCTGTTGATACAATGTACAAAAGACAGATGTGGATACAATGTACCACAGATTGTGGTGGATAAAATTACTACAATCATCCTTGATACATGATAGCACAGTCTTGGTGGAAACAATGTACCATAAACAAGAAAGGACTTACGTACCACTGATTGGGACAGATAAAAAGTGCCACCATCTAGTCAGAAAACAATGTCCCATACAATGATGTGGATACCAACTTCTACAGACTTGTGTGGATTCCCACTGGGAATGCAGGATACTACAGACTTGTGTGGATCCCCACTGGGAATGCAGGATACTACAGACTTGTGTGGATTCCCACTGGGAATGCAGGATACTACAGACTTGTGTGGATAAAACATGGTAGGAAGAGGCTAACATAGCATAATTACCCAAATATTATGATAGATTTGATAGATTTGCAATAAACTATTTAGTAATATACAAAACACAATAATTAGCATTGGTTCTGAGAACAATTATTGGCCTCATTTCATAGAGACAATTTGTTGCTGCAAAAATACTCCAGTGTCAAAAATTATTAAAAACAAACACCATCACAGCAACACAGTGAATCCAAAGTAGGATGATGTTCTCATTACAATTAACAGAATCCGATTGTATTTTCCAGTAATCATCACTTGCAGAATTTTGATACAAATCATAATGTCTATGGGTATACTGTCATCAATCAAGGGGAGGTAACACTGGCCAAGAGGTTAGATGTTTGGACTCTTTCACTTTGGCCACAGCATACTCAAGGTCAGCCATGCTTATTTTTCTCAATTGTGGCAACTGAGCGTCACTGAAATAAAAGTAATGAAATGAAAGCTACATTCAAAATGAAGAAAAACTACAATAGGTCTTATCTCTAAAAAGCATTACATTTCCAAACTTTTAAAACTTACATTTCATGGTAAGCCACTAGCATAAAAACAGTACTACATTAGTTAAATATCTTATTCCTGATCCTAGAAAAACACTTGTGTTAAAGAATCTAATCTCTCTTGAAATGACATAAAACACAAGATATTCCATGTAATCTTTCACTCACTAGAAATTTTCATCCATGTTGTCCTTGGCTGTCTGCAAGACCTCATGAACTCTGTTGAGAGCACCAAGTCTACAGGCCTCCTTTAGATCACTTCCACAAAAATTTTCAGTGATTTCTCCGAGTTTCTTAAAGTCTAGATCCTCCACCTACAATATCAAAGCAATATCTCAAATGACCTTTGACCTGGAATAGAATGACTCCATGAATATAAATTCAAATACATGTTCATTTTAAAGTAATTAGAAAATAAACTAATGAATTAACTACTATTGTGATATCAAATTAACCCCTTAACAATGATTTCATTCAAACTATATCATTATTTGGAACATTTGGAAACCAGCTGTTTTCTGAAAATCATATTATTCATAGATGTGAAATATTCCGATGATTTCAGAACTTCAGAAACCTAGTCTAATTACATGTGTTTCAAGAATGCTTCATTACCAATGTTTTACTATGTGATAAATAATAATGAAGTGAACTGTGGGCTCACATTAGCATATTACCTACTATCACAAAATGGTATATGTAAAGCCATTACGTGTGACCTTTGACCCATCAGCCTTCAAAGATGATCAGAAAAATTTTGTAGTGATTCTATAGTGTAAACAAAGTGTTCTATTTCTAATTCGTTTTCATCTTTTGTAGTGCTTGTTTTAAGGATTTGTGTACTTTCTCTAATATCTTCAAAATTGAACCAGATAATTAAAGAAAACCCTAATTGCAGTAGTTGACACATCATATAAAACTCACTGATACAAGTGAGTACAACCAACAAGACTGACATCTGGATATGAATTGAAATAAACCAGTTTTAACTGCCTGTTTCCTTCCTTCAGTGAAGTGATTTATACATCACTTTAAAGAAACTCTTATTTCATAAACATTCAAATGTAATTAAATTCAAATAATCCAACAACTCTAACAAGTTAATCCAAAGAATGCAGTTGTAATGCAAGTTTTATGCCAAATACCGACCCTTTGTCACATTCCATGTAAGACACGATGCATTTCTCGCTGATGAAAAGTGACAAAGTTTCCATCCTTAAACTGAAAATCAGAAAAACAGGAAACCAGATGCGCTCTTAACTTGCTAAATCAAATAGTATTTTTTCAACAAGTTTTTGCCACAGTGCAAATCAAATCATAAATGTATATACTTGTTAAATTTATTTTAACTACTAAGTACAATTCTATATCTTAAAAAGATAACTTGTCAGTCACTTTAAATATCCACACACAATCATAAATTGCCCACCGCTGATATAACTGGGAGACACAGATGATTCTCAGTCTGACACTGACATTGTCTCTTATTGACAGTATTTCATGATAGAATGAAGATAAGACAACAGTTTTATCTTTGAGAGATCAAATGAAATAGTGATAAGGACAACTTTGTATATACCCATGCTATGTATATATACAAGAACATGTAACGAAAATCAAGGGGAAAATACAGTTGTGGAAAGACCTTAAAGTATGAGAAAGGACAATATTGACCACAGGAACATGGGTTGTGCTCCAATTTTCAACAAGGTACAACGCACAGAGCAATCTGGTGAGACGGAGGAGATTCAGGGAGACAACCACAATAATCACGGGCTCCTATTATCAGAGGGAGTAGTGCTGAGTGTTGAGATAGACAGAGTGAACTGGCAGGGGTTCTGACAGGACAGGGAGAGGGTAACTATACTGTGGGAAGACAGGATGGAAGAAGTACCAGGAGTTGGCTGTTAACAAAAGCAGAGATGGAGAACTTTCTGCTGGTCAAAGTTACCAGCAGAGATGGAGAACTTTCTGCTGGTCAAAGTTACCAGCAGAGATGGAGAACTTTCTGCTGGTCAAAGTTACCAGCAGAGGTTCCTGGCCAGTCATTTTGAAGAGCCTTAAGACTGCCAGGGGCCAGAGGAGCAGAGATGGAGTACTTTCTGCTGGTCAAAGTTACCAGCAGAGATGGAGAACTTTCTGCTGGTCAAAGTTAACAGCAGAGATGGAGAACTTTCTGCTGGTCAAAGTTACCAGCAGAGGTTCCAGGCCAGTCATTTTGAAGAGCCTTAAGACTGCCAGGGGCCAGAGGAGCAGAGATGGAGAACTTTCTGCTGGTCAAAGTTACCAGCAGAGATGGAGAACTTTCTGCTGGTCAAAGTTACCAGCAGAGATGGAGAACTTTCTGCTGGTCAAAGTTAACAGCAGAGATGGAGAACTTTCTGCTGGTCAAAGTTACCAGCAGAGGTTCCAGGCCAGTCATTTTGAAGAGCCTTAAGACTGCCAGGGGCCAGAGGAGCAGAGAGAAGAAACTGGTAGGGTCTGTAAGCAGACAGACAGAGGTTGCTTCAAAGTGGATATGTTGAAAGATGGAATAATGGTGGAGTAGTCACCAGACAAAGTGTTAGGCACAAGGTGATGGAAGAAATGTAGGTATCACTGCCCATAGCAATGCAGCAGGTTTAGTGAATGGGATTCAAAAACAACTTGAGCACTAGGCTGCAATAACAACATGCAGTGGCCAGAGCCAACAAATCCCTGATCGGGTTAGATCTATCCAGCTCGCACACATTGTGGAAAGTGCCAAAACGTCGGAGGAAGGAAGCTCCATCTGGTGATGAGACTAGCTAGCAGTTGGCTTGTTCCAGTGTATTCAAAGTACTTTTCATTTATAACATCATTTTTGATGCATCAATATAAAACTTACTTGTTCTTTTTCCAGGATAATCTTCAAAATATTACTTCTTTGAATTTTTTCCTAGATAGTGAAAGTAAAAACATTGACTGATGAATATCATGATGTAAATACAAGTCAATTTCATCACAGAATATGTTGACTAGTGATATGTGAAGTAGAAATGTGACCTAGCTCAATTTTCAGTGGCTAAAATATGGACAAGTTTCATTGATATAAACTTCAAAATCACAAGAAGTGATGGACCTTTTGTGTTTGTATTGCAATATGCAAGGGCTATCAGGAATGAAATCATTTCAAAATTAATCTTATCAAAATTGATATTTCATTGTAATTCCTCAGAATTAAGGAGTTGAAAGCATGAAACAAAACTTCATCAACTCATTCATTTGAAATTATTCAATGATCTTATGCTATAGCTATGAGTAGAGTTAGCATAATATTCCATTATAGAACCAGTACACCTGACAAAGACATGTAACCTGCATGGCCAGATATGTTTTATTCTAACATTAATCTAAAGCATATTAACACAACAAAACATGTGTAATGGTATGAAAATATTAACAAACATATCCACATGTTATGGTATGGTAATATTGACACAACAAAACATGTGTAATGGTATGATAATATTAACACAACATATCCACGTGTAATGGTCTGGTAATATTGACACAATAAAACATGTGTAATGGTATGATAATATTAACACAACAAAACATGTGTAATGGTATGATAATATTAACACAACAAAACATGTGTAATGGTATGGTGATATTGACACAATAAAACATGTGTAATGGTATGGTAATATTGACACAACAAAACATGTGTATTGGTATGATAATATTAACACAACAAAACATGTGTAATGGTATGGTGATATTGACACAACAAAACATGTGTAATGGTATGGTAATATTGACACAACAAAACATGTGTATTGGTATGATAATATTAACACAACAAAACATGTGTAATGGTATGGTGATATTGACACAACAAAACATGTGTAATGGTATGGTAATATTGACACAACAAAACATGTGTAATGGTATGATAATATTAACACAACATATCCATGTGTAATGGTATGGTAATATTGACACAACAAAACATGTGTAATGGTATGGTAATATTGACACAACAAAACATGTGTAATGGTATGATAATATTAACACAACATATCCATGTGTAATGGTATGGTAATATTGACACAACAAAACATGTGTAATGGTATGATAATATTGACACAACAAATCCATGTGTAATGGTATGGTAATATTGACACAACATATCCATGTGTAATGGTATGATAATATTGACATAACAAAACATGTGTAATGGTATGGTAATATTGACACAACAAATCATGTGTAATGGTATGGTAATATTGACACAACAAAACATGTGTAATGGTATGGTAATATTGACACAATAAAACATGTGTAATGGTATGATAATATTGACACAACAAATCCATGTGTAATGGTATGATAATATTAACACAACAAAACATGTGTAATGGTATGGTAATATTGACACAACAAAACATGTGTAATGGTATGGTAATATTGACACAACAAAACATGTGTAATGGTATGGTAATATTGACACAACAAAACATGTGTAATGGTATGGTAATATTAACACAACAAAACATGTGTAATGGTATGGAAAGTTTTTTTTATCTATTTTTTTATACCTTTTTAAATTTCTGTACATTTTCGTAAACAACTACAAGCAACTTTTCCCATATTAAAGGCAACTCAGGCCATAATTGAATTTCAACTGCACAAAGGAACTCAAGTTACTGTCTGTAAATAGCTTTATAACATGAGCAACAGTGACCCATGACCTTTGGCCTTTTTAAAGATATTTCATGTAGGAATCAGAATATGAAGTCAATGATTCATTGATTCAAATCACATTTTTGTGTGAATGAAAATCTATAGTAACTCTATATATAACTCCTATGTCTGACACATATATCTTTATTTTATATATAGATGTGTAACATAAATTAAAGTATACCTATATGTTCAGCAGATGCCTACCAATATATATGTCATCTTTATTATGATATTTCACTTATGTATTATTTTTGGAACTAAACAAGTTGCTTATAAATACTGAGGAGTAAGTTAAAGTTGAACCTGCATTCAACATCCTACAACAAATAAATGCTGCTAAATCAGATAAACATACTGGTTTGTTGATCTGAATCATACACGGCATCCTTCGGAGTATGGCGGCATCAACATCCTGTGGCCTGTTAGTGGCACCGATCACCATAATCTGAGAGTTGGGGTCTGTGATGATTCCATCCCACAAACTCATAAACTGAGTTTTCATCATGGCTGTGGCTTCATGATCATGTGACTGACGTGCACGGAGAAAAGAATCTGGAAAAGTGGGACAACATATTTGTGACTATCATACATTTCAACTGGTGGTATGCAAAATTATCGTATGAAAAACAAAACTTTAACAATGTTAAAGACCCATGGGTCTTGACAGTCGTCAGAGTATAAATGCCTATATATGATATAAGGATATTAAGGAACAATTATTAAATAATTTAAAAATAGTTTGGATTGTTTTAGCAGTGAAGGTTGAAACTTCTCCTCATTTCAGTTTCTCCACCATCCCACAAAATTTCAGTTCCATTGAACCAGTGAAACTTTATAAGTTTAAAATGTGTTTTTCATGATGGCGGTCGTGGCAATCATACTGGATTTTGGCTTGATACGCAAAATAGTGACACATTGTCAGGACTACCTAAGGATCATTTCAGGCAAGTTTCAGCAAAATTCTGTTGCTGGAACTTGAGAAGATGTTTAAATTAGGTGTTGTTCGGGGAAACCATGATTGCAAAATCATGCTACAAATGGAAGACCTAAATTAAACTTTGACCTGTAAAATTACAATAATTTGTTTGTATCCTTTCCATGAATTTTCAGCTCAATGGCACCAATGGAATTTAAGAAGAAGTTTTTGAAGACGGAGGTCATGCATGACAGCACACTGACGGACAAAACATAATGGCTATATGTCAATATGACCTGACCAAAAACAATGTATTTAGTGAAATTAATGTATTTCAAAGTCAATTTTATTTCTATTGATAAAACTTAACCTTAACATTGCACAAATAAACATATGTCACATGTGACAAAAATTCTCAAATAATGACAGAGAAATACGCACACATTTCATTCTTCTTGTTCTATTTCACTCCTGCTGCTTACCTATTTCATCAATAAATATGATGCTTGGTTGTAGTTTAATGGCCTGTGAAAAAAAAAATTTGAAAAAGAAAATTAAAAATCTCATTTCACAAAAATTGAAGAACTGAAATATGTCTGAAAGATTAGCTAAATATTTCAATGTCAACTGAGAAAAGATAAACACTAGATAATGAAACCGTCCCCTTTTAACACCTGACCATGAAACTAACCCCTTGCCATTTTGGTGAAAAGTGAGTCAGTTATTCACTATCAATATGCCTCCTCTTTGAGAAATAAATGGTTTGGACAAGAACTGTTTGCTGTTCTAGGACTTTCTGTCACACTACCCAGCAGGTAATCAGAATCAACATATCTGTTATTTTTCATAAGACTTCAGCCCGTCAAACGAGATGCCGCAGACATTATTCTAAGGGAAAGATGTACCTATTGACGAACAAATGGATTGCTATGATGTATTCCAGATAAAAGAATTATGGTCCTTTGACTGGCATCGAGTGTGTATATCTGTACGTGATGCTCAGATAATGACACAAGATTTCTCTTTAAATAAAATTGTGTTTGTCATGATAGACAAAGAGTGGGTGAGTTAATCTACACTACATGTATCAACTGAATGAATGATTAAGTAACAAAATACACCATCAATTCTAAATACATGTATATCTGAAATCATTTACCTGACTTTTCGCACAATTACCACAATATATAATTGTATGATATAAATTTTCAGTCACTGTTGTTAACAGTAGAACAACCTTACCAATGAGAATACAGCTTCAGCACGCTTTTGTGATTCTCCATACCATTTGTCAACCAGTGAAGATATTTGTAAGTTAATAAATCGAGCACCTGCAACAAAAATAACTCAAATTAAATTATGTTTTATGTGTTATTAGGTAATAAGCTAGCATTAACCATTCATTATTTAAGCTTAACTTTGATAAGTTTTTAAATAATTCTTCATGACCCCTTGAGTTTGACCAATCATTATCAATATCCAATCATAAGGTGTTTTCTGCAATGACATACCTGCAGAATCTACTGAAATCACAAATCGTCTCCTACATGACATACCTGCAGAATCTACTGAAATCACAAATTGTCTCCCACATGACATGCCTGCAGAATCTACTGAAATCACAAATTGTCTCCTACATGACATACCTGCAGAATCTACTGAAATCACAAATTGTCTCCCACATGACATACCTGCAGAATCTACTGAAATCACAAATTGTCTCCTACATGTCATACCTGCAGAATCTACTGAAATCACAAATTGTCTCCTACATGACATACCTGCAGAATCTACTGAAATCACAAATCGTCTCCTACATGACATACCTGCAAACTTTGCAGAAATCATTAATTGTCTCCTACATGACATACCTGCAGAATCTGCTGAAATCACAAATCGTCTCCTACATGACATACCTGCAGAATCTACTGAAATCACAAATCGTCTCCTACATGACATACCTGTAGACTTTGCTGAAATCATGAATTGTCTCCTACATGACATACCTGCAGATTTTGCTGAAATCATGAACTGTCTCCTACATGACATACCTGCAGAATCTACTGAAATCACAAATCGTCTCCTACATGACATACCTGCAGAATCTACTGAAATCACAAATCGTCTCCTACATGACATACCTGTAGACTTTGCTGAAATCATGAATTGTCTCCTACATGACATACCTGCAGATTTTGCTGAAATCATGAACTGTCTCCTACATGACATACCTGCAGATTTTGCTGTAGCTTTGGCTAGCATGGTTTTACCACAACCAGGAGGACCATAGAAGAGCACACCTGGAATATATACCTTGTATTTAATGATGGTGTATAACCAACAACAATATGTAGACGTTTACTATTGTACAATACAGACAATAATATACATATTACATATCAGAGCATTTTTCTCCTTCCAAAGATTACCTTAACCTACAAGATATACACATCAACTTCAACATTAAACACAAGCAAAAAAAACAAAAAGAAAATATAGTACATATTGGGAACAAGACACGTTACAGGTTACCTTTTGGAGATTGAAGAAGTGAAGAGTTCATGAAGAGATCCCTTCTCCTGAAGGGAAATATAACTGTCTCTTTAATTTGTTCTACCACCTCCTCAAGACCCCCAATGTCTTTCCAGTCCACAGACACACTCAGAGGATCCACCAAGTTAGCAGCAATACATAGCTCATGATCAGACAGCTGAGATGATGGTAAACAAATACCAAACCATATCATAGCAAAAAATCATTTAGAATGTGTGACAAGATAAACCAGTATTATTTTATATTCAATCAGTAAACTATCCCATAATTTCATCCTATTGTTGATTACAATTGTCTCAATATATGTTTACATAACTGTTGTAAGAACAATGGCTTAAGAAGAAGGGAAAAATTAACCTTAATAATGTGAGGAACAGAATCTAACACTTGCTTGCTTTTCATATGAGATTCTAGATAAAATCTACTGACATAACTTTTCTGATGAAAATTTATTTCATAAACCTCAAAAAAAAAAGAAATTCATATGAAAGCTTCTATATTCAAACAACCCTCTAAATATGGTTGATGAATGACACTCTGAATGTTGCTTGATGATCAGACTTGTCATTTAAGTTTGGATACTCTAAAGTATGCAGGTTGACTTCATATAACTTAGACATATGAACATAGAGAAACAATCACAACACAACCTGACATACTCTGCTGATGGTTATTTATTTAACTGGTTTCACTCCAGAGAAGGATTAGTCAGTGTGCTCTGTCACCTTGGTGTTTGATGATGGGGGGGTTACATTCATGATACATAATTATAAATGGAATGATTGGTTTGACTTCCTGGTCAATGTTAATTTTCATTATGAAGTAACTATCTGTTTTCCCACTTTTAAAGACTAAGGGGAACCTACATATGAAATATGAGAACAATACATCAACTTCTTTAGACATAGTGGTAATAAGAATGGATGGACAGATGGATGAAGAGCACGCAATTTGAACAGTCCACCAACTAATGAATTGTCAAAAGAATTAATTGTATAGCTTTCAGAATAAATATAGGAAATAACAGTAACTGTAGAACAAAACAATTCACTCACCTTCACATCCTTCACACCTAAAAGTTGAAGCATTTTCTGAGCCTGCAACAAATCATACAATATTATCAATGATATTCAAGCTAAAACATAATACATATAGCAGGATTTAAATATGTAAATAAGTCCAACGAAACACCATTTCATATTAGTAAGTATTATACACCTGTTTCTAATTTAAGAGTGGCTAGCAGCTATGACAAGATTTTAAATATAAATGGTGAAAAATAACATTAAACACCAAACTATTTCCTTAAGTCATGTATGATTATAAGACGTTCTTATATGATGGAGGGGTAACAACACTGGAAAATGAAGAAAGAGATGACATTGGAGTAACAATAGACAAAAACTTAACGTTCCAAAACCATATACCTGATACAATGACAGGTAAACCAATAGGTGGAATTATGAGGAGATCCTTTCTATACATGGATCACAAAATGTTTAGTTTACTATTCAGGGTTTCGGAAACCAGAACGTTAACAGACATGGAAAATGTTGACAATAAAGAAAGATTACAAATGTTGAATCTATAATCTTTGAAGTTCAGACGTATAAGAGGGGACATGACAGAGGTGTTCAAGATCTTGTGTGAGAAGTACCACAAGAGGCAAAATGATAAGGACTGGCTTACTTCAGACCAACGACAACTACAAACATCCATCAACTGGAAAACACACTGGACAAACTATGGCAAAATCATCCAATGACTTTAGTATAGAGTAAGATCTTTTCTGAGCTGCCTATAGCAGAACCAGGGACGTAGATAATATGTTACCTACATCACTGGCAGAACAATAGATCTTGTAGGAAGATACAACATAAGTAAACATAGTAAAAATTGTGTAAACAACACAAAGAAGCGAATTACTGTTAAAAAAAAAACATGAATATGGTCAAGGAAAAATATTAACTTCAAAATGATAGAGAAATTGTCCTACATTTTAGGGATTGTTGGCGCTTTGAGTAATCAATTATATATAATAAGTTACCCAAATGCAGCGTCATATAAGATAGAAACACATAAAGTTCTTTTAACAATTTGCAACCAACAAGAGCATCATATTTTTGCCATGGCTCAATAACCAATGCAACCTTGTACATTTTTACACAAAAAGTTGTGAATTAAGTTGTCTCCTTTTTGTAAAAATCACAAACTTCATCACCTCCATTGATTATCGATGGCTTATAATGTGACTAAAAATAGAACACAGAAAAATTCATGCTATACACTGTAGTCAATGGAGAACAAAGTTAGTGACATAAATTGTCATTTTAACACAGAGTAAGATAACAGAAATAAACATTTCCTATACAATTACATAATTGTGTGGACATCCGTTTTGGATCATTAGGTATTTCAGAAAGGCCATTTTTTCAAGGAACATGTACTATTGACCTGCATGAGCTTGTACCAAGATAATTTTGGTTGCTGTAACATGTCACGCTTCCAGAAAGAATAAAAAATAGTGATTTTAATCATTCACCATAAAATATTGTGTGTTTATATTTTATGGCAAATCTGTGTATTTTTCCTTTATACACATTTTCACATGTCAAACATATTTGGAGATATGATGAAATAACCATGCAATCCATCCTCAGATGCCAGTGTTTGTTGAATAAAATTCGACCATGAATAATAGGCCATGCCGTTTTTCATATTTTAGGCTACAAAAGTCCAAACATGCACATCTTATAATATCGGAAAAGTGGTGTTTTTTAAATTATCACTTTTGATAATGGAGTTCTGATTTTAATCAACAAGTGAATTGTAGACTGCCCGATGAAAAATTAACTTTATTTAGATAGTTTGTGCTGTAAAGAAAAAATTTGCCAAGAAATATGGTTTGTTTGAGAAAAAACAACCAAAAAATAAAAACTTGAATCTAACTTATTAAATATGCACACATCAACACAGATATCGACCATTTTTGCACCATTAGCTTATTTTGATTACTTTCTGTCATCCGAATGTCATTTCCATTCAAATGATGATTTTATGTATTACATGTGTACTTCTGGGTCACTGTAAGCCATCTTAAGCATCTCTGATGTTTTGTGATGTCATCAGAAATACCAGCGCAGTCACATGTCCGATACACAGGTCAATCATTTCAGGTGATCTGTGGATATCTTATAGAAAAATACTGGTTTGTAAAATAAACCTTATAATAGAAACAAATTGAATTAATTTACGTATTTGTTTGGTGGCAATTTGTTGACATAGTGTAGCTAGCTTGAAAATGTTCTTAAGTGGTTCCAAACTAATGAGCCCAGGAGAAAGTTTATGAAGAAAGGAAGAAATGAATAAACTTATCTCATTTTATACAATGTCACATTGGTTATTGGGTCACACCCTGGGATGACACCTTTTTTGTTGCAACTTTTTAAACAAACATGATGTGATTCTATTTCAGAATGACCCTGCATTTGGTCAACTAACTGATTAACCAAAGCGGCAAATATCCCTCAAATACAGGACTATTATCATATGAGGGGTTGTGCCCAAACTGATTAGGTAGACCTAATGCAGCCGTACTATACCAGATGTCAGACGTCCTCCTGTGCTGGGATTCGTGTGTAATTTTACTTCCACAAAATAATCAATGTTATGTAAAAGATCACTATTTACCCTTGCTGTTGCGGATTTTCTTTCTTTGTGCGTTGGATCCATTACGTTTGACAACCATTTTAGAGCAAAATATGTTATCCCAAATGATGCGGCCAATCCTATGAGCGTTGACAATAGTTTGGCTGTCAGCTCTTGCTTTCCAACCTTGGACAATAGTTCTCCATTTTCTTCCATGGCAACATTTGTGGCTGATAAACAATTTCCAGAAAGATTGGATTTAAGAAAGGATCGAGATGAAGCGAAAGCACGAAGTAAATGTCGACTGAGGGTTTCGTCACCCAAGGGGCCCGCCATCTTTGTTTTTCATGGAACGTATCGATATTGAAAACTTAGCTATACGTCGACAAAAAGGTGTTTCTTTAAACGCTTGTTTTAAATTCTCAACAAAAAAAGAAATCTAAAAAGAAAATATTTCATAGTAGATATAATTTTGACGTTCCGCTAATATAGTTTTATATTAACACCCTTTTTTCAAAGTGAAAGTAGACAGCACACGCCGCTCTAACAGAGTTATCGTTCTTTAAGGTACTCTATGTACTCTATGTAACACTATAGAATCTACAGTGTTTATCATAATAGATAAAGATAATGAAAGTATAATTGAATGATACAGCTTTATACAATCTGCCTTGTATTAATCTAGATACTTTAGATAATTTAGATACAGTAACACATGTATCACTGTGTTTTTGTAAGAGCATTGACACCAATATCGATACGATCTCTAGAATATCAGCCATTAGGATGTAGTTTGTTATAAATTCCTGGTATATAAACTAAACAGACTGTTACATGCAACAGTAAGTGCACATTTAATGTATGAATCTATCACAATATATTACTCCAAATAATTCTGACTCTTCTGGCCGCGACCAAGTAAAAAATAAAACCACGGACAGATAATCAGAACCGTTAGGATTAGACTGGGATATTGATTATTATTATAAATAGGATTGAAATTCTATTCGAGGTATCGTTGTAATTCATTTAATATGTGTTTCCAGGGACGTTCCTTGTGTTTTTATGGTAAATGTTCTTCACATCCTATAGGTAATATATTTATATTAGTCATTTTCTATTCGTACAAGATCTTCCTGGTATGACTGGATATGTCGGTACAGTTGAGGCGGTCATATAGATATAGAATCTATATTCAAGTCTGTGTCATTATCAACAAATGTATCAGTGTTCATTATGTACTTATACAATTTATTGAATTATACAGTCATTATGTGTTCCTGTACAAATACGCAGCTTTTTGTTTTTGTTTTTGTTTTTGTCATTGAACCACGTGTGTGTAGGGAAGTTATTTACTGATGTCATAGAATGACATAATTAATGCAGGTACAAGTTTGTAACTGAAAGCATAATGAAGTGGTCACCAGATTGTCATTTCGCGAGAGGTTTTATTTAGTCATATATTGAGCAATGCACTAAAGCGGTAACATTCCTGCTTACTGTTATAAAATGATTGTCATCGTATGCGTCATATTGGAGTCTATATTGGTAGATATTTCCTAATTCTTCTTGGAAATGATACATCTTCACTATTTTACAAAGTTAATCAGTGTATATGATTCTTCAAGTTGTTGATTAAAAAAATAATATCTAATCACTTCCTTGAGGAAATGAAATATTTTCTATTTAAAATCCAGAGTAGACAGTTTCTTTAAAAATAACTAATTACATCAGATGTGTGTGATATCGAAACGGTTTGAAATACACAGAAAAAAAACCTTATAAATACCAGACAGACGTGTTGAATAAATAAGACAAGAACAAACGGCATTTTATTATACATACACACTTGTAATGGAGACAACCACCATAGCAAGACAGAGAATAGCCACATATTGGTGGCTCATCGTCTGTGTGGCTCTCTTCTACGGTGACGTCACAGGTGCGTAGGGTATACACATTGCGTTAACTGCTGGTAATCAAACTGAAGATAAAATACTTCAAACATGTACGTTATATGTATAATAACATTAGGCCTATTTATTCTTATTAGATAGGGTAATCTAAATACCTCGACAACAGTAATTATACTACTATATAGTAGTATAGTTACGATACCTTTGTGTCAATACTGACACTCAATTAGTTCATTTGAAATTTGGCGATGCTTCACTTGCAGAAAACAAGACTTGTGATGCAAATCTAGAATCACAATTATATACAAAATTATGTCTTTCAGCATTTATTGAGAGAGAAAGACATATACGACACCAATTGCACTTAAGCCGTGTCCACAGTCATTTGCAGCGAGAACGAAAAATATATCGGTCATGGTCCAGCGGAATTCCTAGTCACCTGGGACGAGAAAAGAAAACACACCATCCTCGTGGGGTTCACACTCACCACGGTTGGTATCCATCTACATATTTAGTTCTTATGTACAGTAAGGTCCATCAGAGATTTGTTATGGATAAGATATATGTTTACAGTTAACTTTCATTCTTGTTAATGAAAATAATTATTGTTAAAATTACATATAGATGATTCTAATTTATGTAGGCACATGTGACACCCTGTTTTTGCTGAGTAGTAATCGAACCAATATGCATGAAGTAATTGACGAGTTTGTGCGCACGAGAGGAGTCGGTAAGACTGCACTTTACCAGGCTTATCACCAGAATGGATCACTTTCCATGGAACTTTTCTATGTGAATGAGCTGAGGTCGTGGGTAATGGGTAAGTATAAGATTGTACACAAGGGCATGTAATAATGTTTCTGAGGGAGGAGGATTGTGTAGTATACTAGACGGGAAGGGTGTGTAGTATACTAGAAAGGAAAAGTGTGTAGTATACTAGACGGGAAGGGTGTGTAGTATACCAGAAAGGAAAAGTATGTGGTATACTAGAAAGGAAGGGCGTGTAGTGTATTATATAGGAGGGATGAGTAGTATATTATACAGGAGGGTTGAGTAGTATATTATACAGGAGGGTTGAGTAGTATATTAGACAGGAAGGTTGAGTAGTATATTAAAGCGGAGGGTTGAGTAGTATATTTGACAGGAGGGTTGAGTAGTATATTAGACAGAATGGTTAAGTAGTATATTATACAGGGTGGTTGAGTAGTATATTATACAGGAGGGTTGAGTAGTATATTAGACAGGGTGGTTAAGTAGTATATTATACAGGGTGGTTGAGTAGTATATCAGACAGGGTGGTTGAGTAGTATATTATACAGGAAGTTGAGTAGTATATTAGACAGGGTGGTTGAGTAGTATATTATACAGGAGGGTTGAGTAGTATATTAGACAGAATGGTTAAGTAGTATATTATACAGGGTGGTTAAGTAGTATATTATACAGGAGGGTTAAGTAGTATATTATACTGGAGTTTTGAGCAGTATATTATACAGGAGGGTTGAGTAGTATATTAGACAGGGTGGTTAAGTAGTATATTATACAGGAGGGTTGAGTAGTATATTATACAGGAGGGTTAAGTAGTATATTAGACAGGGTGGTTGAGTAGTATATTAGACAGGGTGGTTGAGTAGTATATTATACAGGGTGGTTGAGTAGTATATTATACAGGAGGGTTGAGTAGTATATTAGACAGGGTGGTTGAGTAGTATATTATACAGGAAGGTTGAGTAGTATATTAGACAGGGTGGTTGAGTAGTATATTATACAGGGTGGTTGAGTAGTATATTTCACAGGAGGGTTGAGTAGTATATTAGACAGGGTGGTTGAGTATTATATTAGACAGGGTGGTTGAGTAGTATATTATACAGGGTGGTTGAGTAGTATATTATACAGGGTGGTGAGTAGTATATTAGACAGGGTGGTTGAGTATTATATTAGACAGGGTGGTTGAGTAGTATATTAGACAGGGTGGTTGAGTAGTATATTTCACAGGAGGGTTGAGTAGTATATTAGACAGGGTGGTTGAGTAGTATATTATACAGGAGGGTTGAGTAGTATATTTGACAGGAGGGTTGAGTAGTATATTAGACAGGGTGGTTGAGTAGTATATTATACAGGAGGGTTGAGTAGTATATTAGACAGGGTGGTTAAGTAGTATATTATACAGGAGGGTTGAGTAGTATATTAGGCAGGAGGGTTGAGTAGTATATCAGACAGGGTGGTTGAGTAGTATATCAGACAGGGTGGTTGAGTAGTATATTAGACAGGGTGGTTGAGTAGTATATTATACAGGAGGGTTGAGTAGTATATTATACAGGAGGGTTAAGTAGTATATTAGACAGGAAGGTTGAGTAGTATATTAGACAGGAAGTGGTTATATTAGACAGGAGGGTTGAGTAGTATATTAGACAGGAGGGGTGGTTGAGTAGTATATTAGACAGGAGGGTTGAGTAGTATACTAGACAAGATGGTTGAGTAGTATATTAGACAGGGTGGTTGAGTAGTATATTAGACAGGAGGGTTGAGTAGTATACTAGACAAGATGGTTGAGTAGTATATTAGACAGGGTGGTTGAGTAGTATATTAGACAGGGTGGTTGAGTAGTATATTATACAGGAGGGTTGAGTATTATACTAGACACGATTGTTGAGTAGTATATTATACAGGGTGGTTGAGTAGTATATTAAACAGGAGGGTTGAGTAGTATACTAGACAAGATGGTTGAGTAGTATATTAGACAGGGTGGTTGAGTAGTATATTATACAGGGTGGTTAAGTAGTATATTAGACAGGGTGGTTGAGTAGTATATTATACGGGAAGGTTGAGTTGTATATTAGACAGGAAGGTTGAGTAGTATATCAGACAGGGTGGTTGAGTAGTATATCAGACAGGAGGGTTGAGTAGTATATCAGACAGGAAGGTTGAGTAGTATATTAGACAGGGTGGTTGAGTAGTATATTATACAGGGTGGTTGAGTAGTATATTAGACAGGGTGGTTGAGTAGTACATTAGACAGGGTGGTTAAGTAGTATATTAGACAAGATGGTTGAGTAGTATATTAGACAGGGTGGTTAAGTAGTATATCAGACAGGGTGGTTGAGTAGTATATTATACAGGAGGGTTGAGTAGTATATTAGACAGGGTGGTTGAGTAGTATATTAGACAGGGTGGTTAAGTAGTATATCAGACAGGGTGGTTGAGTAGTATATTATACAGGAAGGTTGAGTAGTATATTAGACAGGGTGGTTGAGTAGTATATTAGACAGGATGGTTAAGTAGTATATCAGACAGGGTGGTTGAGTAGTACATTAGACAGGGTGGTTAAGTCGTATATTATACAGGGTGGTTGAGTAGTATATTATACAGGAGGGTTGAGTAGTATATTAGACAGGGTGGTTAAGTAGTATATTATACAGGGTGGTTGAGTAGTATATCAGACAGGGTGGTTGAGTAGTATATTATACAGGAAGTTGAGTAGTATATTAGACAGGGTGGTTGAGTAGTATATTATACAGGGTGGTTGAGTAGTATATTAGACAGGGTGGTTAAGTAGTATATTATACAGGGTGGTTAAGAAGTATATTATACAGGAGGGTTAAGTAGTATATTATACTGGAGTTTTGAGCAGTATATTATACAGGAGGGTTGAGTAGTATATTAGACAGGGTGGTTAAGTAGTATATTATACAGGAGGGTTGAGTAGTATATTATACAGGAGGGTTAAGTAGTATATTAGACAGTGTGGTTGAGTAGTATATTTCACAGGAGGGTTGAGTAGTATATCAGACAGGAAGGTTGAGTAGTATATTAGACAGGGTGGTTGAGTAGTATATTATACAGGGTGGTTGAGTAGTATATTAGACAGGGTGGTTGAGTAGTATATTATACAGGGTGGTTGAGTAGTATATTAGACAGGGTGGTTGAGTAGTACATTAGACAGGGTGGTTAAGTAGTATATTAGACAAGATGGTTGAGTAGTATATTAGACAGGGTGGTTGAGTAGTATATCAGACAGGGTGGTTGAGTAGTATATTATACAGGAGGGTTGAGTAGTATATTAGACAGGGTGGTTGAGTAGTACATTAGACAGGGTGGTTAAGTAGTATATTAGACAAGATGGTTGAGTAGTATATTAGACAGGGTGGTTAAGTAGTATATCAGACAGGGTGGTTGAGTAGGTAGTAGTATATTATACAGGAGGGTTGAGTAGTATATTAGACAGGGTGGTTGAGTAGTATATTAGACAGGGTGGTTAAGTAGTATATCAGACAGGGTGGTTGAGTAGTATATTATACAGGAAGGTTGAGTAGTATATTAGACAGGGTGGTTGAGTAGTATATTAGACAGGGTGGTTGAGTAGTATATTATACAGGAAGGTTGAGTAGTATATTAGACAGGATGGTTGAGTAGTATATTAGACAGGGTGGTTGAGTAGTATATTATACAGGGTGGTTGAGTAGTATATTAGACAGGAAAGTTGAGTAGTATATTAGACAGGAAGGTTGAGTAGTATATTAGACAGGGTGGTTGAGTAGTATATTAGACAGGAAAGTTGAGTAGTATATTAGACAGGAAGGTTGAGTAGTATATTAGACAGGGTGGTTGAGTAGTATATTATACAGGGTGGTTGAGTAGTATATTAGACAGGAGGGTTGAGTAGTATACTAGACAAGATTGTTGAGTAGTATATTAGGGTGGTTGAGTAGTATATTAGACAGGAGGGTTGAGTAGTATACTAGACAAGATGGTTGAGTAGTATATTAGACAGGGTGGTTGAGTAGTATATTAGACAGGGTGGTTGAGTAGTATATTATACAGGGTGGTTGAGTAGTATATTAGACAGGAGGGTTGAGTAGTATACTAGACAAGATGGTTGAGTAGTATATTAGACAGGGTGGTTGAGTAGTATATTAGACAGGGTGGTTGAGTAGTATATTAGACAGGAAGGTTGAGTAGTATATTAGAAAGAAGGGCTGTGTAGTATGCTAGAAAAAAAGTGTTGTGTAGCAACCTATTATTTGTGTGTTGTAGTATGGGTGGTGACGGGTAAACCTATTATATGTGGGTTGTAGTATGGGTGGTGACGGGTACACCTATTATTTGTGTGTTGTAGTATGGGTGGTGACGGGTAAACCTGTTATACGCGTGTTGTAGTATGGGTGGTGATTTGTAGACCTATTATATGTGTTGTAGTATGGGTAGAGATGGGTTAACCTATTATATGTGTGTTGTAGTATGGGTGGTGATGTGTAAACCTATTATATGTGTGTTGTAGTATTGTTGGTGATGTGTAAACCTATTATATGTGTGTTGTAGTATGGGTGGTGATGGGTAAACCTATTATATGTGTGTTGTAGTATGGGTGGTGATGTGTAAACCTATTATATGTGTGTTGTAGTATGGGTGGTGATGTGTAAACCTATTATATGTGTGTTGTAGTATGGGTGGTGATGTGTAAACCTATTATATGTGTGTTGTAGTATGGGTGGTTTGATCAGCCTATGAAATGTGTTTAAATTCATTAACTTTGTTTATAAGTCGCTGTATATTTGAAATATTTGAAAATTTAAAAGTTCTGATATTGAAATACATCATGCTTAAGCAACGTAAATGATGTTTCTTTCCATATTTGGAAAGCGAATAGTGAATAGCGAAAAGTCTCGTCGTGTAACGTACTAGTACTTAAAAAGTTTACTAGGTAGACATAACGTTAGTGTAACCTAACCATTACTCGCCGTCAGGAAGAAGTGGTGAAAGCATACTACAAGTATCCATACACCTTCAGAGTGATACCCATGATCCACAGCAGAGTACCAGTGGAATTTATATCCTCAAGAATTCCAGTATAAAGTCCAGCCTCCAGTGGGAATGGAAGCCAGATATTTACTTGCGATGTGAAACAGGTAACACATTTTGCACAACTTTGGTGAAATCACACCTTATAACTTACACGTTTAACTTTTCAACTGTTCCAAGATCTACCTCCACCAGGAATACGGAGGTGATGTTATTTTTTTTTTCATAAGTTTACCCTACAAGCGACCGGAAATTTCTTCGACTCTATTTCATGTTTGTAATAAAATATATCATCACTTTTAAATATCAACTTCTCTCAACTACTGATTTCTGTGTAAAAGTCACTGAAAATGGAACGTTAGTGTTTTTATAAGGTCTGGGAACATTCCTGCGGGTATACTTTCTTAAACAGGTTACACACATAAACAATAAAATCACCAGAGAATACTAACTTGTGAATGATGAAGGTTTATACCGAGACCCCTGAATGACATAGATTACAAAACATTGTCCGTTTCCGTGAAGCCTCTTGAGACCTTTATGGGTATCTGACAATTGTATCTAAAACAAAAATAACCTCGGGGATAGCCAGAACCCTTCGGACAAGCGAATGTGTTTGGTACAATAAATACTCCTCGGTTAGGATTAAATAATTTCATGACAAAATTGTCTGCTAACATTTCTAACCCTGAAGGGTGGCGCAGTCGTAAATCACTCGCCTTTCACCTAGCCGCCCGGGGTTCGATTCCTGGAATGGAAGGTGAAAGACTGCATGACCACTTGGGTTTTTCCCCGGTTAACCCCGTTTCCTCCCTGCGCGCACTTACATCCGGGCCAACAAGAATAATTAGTATACGTTGAAATAACTTGTTTCGCAATTGTTGTAAAATAAATGAAGTTTATATCATATATGACAAATGTCTGGAGAAAAAAAGATAAAAATGGTAGGAACAGAACTGACAGTGTCGTTTAACTAATTGTTGTCACCTAAGCTAGGATGTCACGACGAATGATGAAAGATGAGATAGGATTCATCGGAGCTCTGTTTGTTTTCTTCTTTAGGTAGAAACACATCAAGAAACAAGCGCTCTGTTTTGTAAGTATACTTGTTGTTCTTGTTTCGTACATAAGATCATATACCAGTTGGATTTATCTTTCTGTATCCAATGTATCTTCAAATTACAGATCTATTGAGCTGAATTTTCAATGAAATCTATATATTTTTTTTAAATTATCGGATCATTTTAGATCCTGCATACATGTAAATTTTCAGGAATATAATCGTGTAGTTAAGCTAAACATATAAATGGGCAACCCCAGCTATGGACGTTTAATGTGAATGTGTTGCAGTCTCATTATTCTTGGTATAACATCGCTTGTTGCCACAATCACAACCACTGTTTTCCGCGGAGTTGCTATGCAGAGAGGTTGCTTGTTTTTTCCTGAAGTCTGCAAAATAAAGTAAGTTTGACCCATTCGCTGTAATGATTTTTAAATATTTTGTTTTAAATCTAGTATAAAGTGTGATATCATACATGTTGACAATTTATCTCGTTTACTTTTGATATAATAATACATCTGTTTTGCCCCACCACATAACATTGTATCTGTGTAACCGTTTTGCCCCAACACACAACTTTGTATCTGTGTATCCGTTTTGCCCCAACACACAACATTGTATCTGTGTATCCGTTTTGCCCCAACACACAACTTTGTATCTGTGTAACCGTTTTGCCCCAACACACAACATTGTATCTGTGTAACCGTTTTGCCCCAACACACAACATTGTATCTGTGTATCCGTTTTGCCCCAACACACAACTTTGTATCTGTGTAACCGTTTTGCCCCAACACACAACATTGTATCTGTGTATCCGTTTTGCCCCAACACACAACATTGTATCTGTGTAACCGTTTTGCCCCAACACACAACATTGTATCCGTGTATTTGTGTTGCCCCACCACATAACTTTGTATCTGTGTATCCGTTTTACCCCAACACATAACATTGTATCTGTGTATCTATGTTGCCCCACCACATAACATTGTATCTGTATATCTGTGTTGCCCCACCACATAACTTTGTATCTGTGTATCTGTGTTGCCCCACCACATAACATTGTATCTGTGTATCTGTGTTGCCCCGCCACATAACTTTGTATCTGTGTAGCCCCACCACATAACATTGTATCTGTGTATCTGTGTTGCCCCACCACATAACTTTGTATCTGTGTATCTGTGTTGCCCCACCACATAACATTGTATCTGTGTTGCCCCACCACATAACACTGCATCTGGTTTGATCCGCTACATCAAATGTATGTATTGATCCACCATATAACATTGTATCTGTTTTAGCCGTCTACATAACGTTGTATCTGTTTTAGCCGTCTACACAACGTTGTATCTGTTTTAGCCGTCTACACAACGTTGTATCTGTTTTAGCCGTCTACACAACGTTGTATCTGTTTTAGCCGTCTACACAACGTTGTATCTGTTTTAGCCGTCTACACAACGTTGTATCTGTTTTAGCCGTCTACACAACGTTGTATCTGTTTTAGCCGTCTACACAACGTTGTATCTGTTTTAGCCGTCTACACAACGTTGTATATGTTTTAGCCGTCTACACAACGTTGTATCTGTTTTAGCCGTCTACACAACGTTGTATATGTTTTAGCCGTCTACACAACGTTGTATCTGTTTTAGCCGTCTACACAACGTTGTATCTGTTTTAGCCGTCTTCATAACGTTGTATCTGTTTTAGCCGTCTACATAACGTTGTATCTGTTTTGCTCCACGAAATGTCATTGTGTCTGTTTTGAGATATGTAGGGTAATATAATGTGATATTCAATGTCCTCTTCCATGTAATCTTTTTAGGAAGGAATTCGAAACAAGTTTAAAACCAAGAGCAAACACGCTTCGGTCTGAACTAAGAAAGCAGCTTAATGACTTCGAACAGATGTCTTCACAACTGGAAGAAACAAAAGAACATTATATAGATTTAGCGAAGTGGATTAAACCCATGATGGATCCTTTAAAGAACACTTCATTATCTGAAATGGGTTACAACGTTTCGCCTGAGCTTACGAGTTACAGAGATTGGCATAATAGTAACTCGATACGCTACATTATTAATCTTTTCGGATCCGGAATGGAGTTTTTGTTATTTTATAAAGTGGTTACTAAACCTGCTATGCTTGTGTTCAGTACTGTAACTTTCGGACTAGGTATAGCATTATCTGCGTATGATATATATGATCAGGTACAACAGGAAAAGGAGACTCTAGATAAACTAAAGCAGCAAAAATCTGATGTAACAAAGACCATAGATATCATGGAGCGGGATATAAGACAAATTGAAAACTTCAAATCGAAATACAGAGATGAAATAGTAAAACCACTGCAGTCACTTCTTGATAACTACTTTCCAAATCAATTTAAATCTTTTCGTGTATACTTGAAGAAGCTAAACAACATCAAAAACATTAACCATAGGTTTACATATCATATGAATGTTCACTTGAATAACACTATAAATGACATCAAAATGAACACGAATGAAACAATAAATAGCAGGAATCTTTACCAGAATGCTTTGGAAGAAATAAATAAAGGCATTGCAAAGAAAATGACCCCAACACAAATTATTACTACAATTCATATGATCTACAACAGTACCAGTTTGCCCACAGAATTTAAGTCTACTTTCAATTTACTGCGATATTTAGCTGTTAACTTCACCAGCGTAGGATACTGTTACTGGGGAATTTCTATGGATCGAATTAGAAGTGGCGAAGTGGACATGGACACTTCCGGTCCGCTGTGTCAGTCCCCAGAGCTGGAAGATGACGAGAGAGATATTCTTGCCAATGTGAACAAAACAGTGGCTCCTTGTAGAATCCTACGTCAGATGAAAGGAGACATATTTGACAGCATGTTCAAACTCATTAAATTTATTGCCGATTTCATTTTACCGGACAAAGACTGCTACTGGGGGTATGATCTTGTCTACTTAAGAAACACTAGTAAAACGTCATCTGCCTTTAACAAAATGGAACTAGATTATCGTGTATATCTTTATTTAAATGAAGCTATGACAAGAAACCTTTCAACCCCTAGTGTCTTCAATGGGTTATGTCAGATATTTAAGATCTGTGATCAAAGATGGCAAACATTTGTATATTGCTCTATACGCCCGACTTCGGAATATGACACTGACGTTTGTGCTCAGCAAAACTCTTTAGACTGCAGAAATATGGCGAGTGTATATATCGGAGATGTGGATTGTTACGGATAATTTTAATGCCGTTTCTTAAAACGTTTTTCATCAACATATTTTAAAGAACAATACTGTTACTCTTTGTCTGCAAACACTGATAGATGACTGAAAATGGTACAAGTTACCAGATATTACAGACCTCACTTGTTTGACGTTTGGAGAGTTAGCAAATACATTGTTTTCTGTCTTGAAAATACGTGTGCATTTTACAGCAACTTACTTATATTTTGTAGCAGCATTGGTGTGAAATATGTGTACAATTGTATAGTAACTTTTTATTTAATACATTGTTTGTGTAGAAGTACTTGTACGGAATGTGTGTACAATTGTATAGTACTTTTTATTTAATACATTGTTTGTGTAGAAGTACTTGTACGGAATGTGTGTACAATTGTAGAGTAACTTTTATTTAATACATTGTTTGTGTAGAAGTACTTGTACGGAATGTGTGTACAATTGTAGAGTAACTTTTATTTAGTACATTGTTTGTGTAGAAGTACTTGTACGGAATGTGTATACAATTGTATAGTACTTTTTATTTAATACATTGTTTGTGTAGAAGTACTTGTACGGAATGTGTGTACAATTGTATAGTACTTTTTATTTAATACATTGTTTGTGTAGAAGTACGTGTACGGCATGTGTGTACAATTGTAGAGTAACTTTTATTTAATACATTGTTTGTGTAGAAGTACGTGTACGGCATGTGTGTACAATTGTAGAGTAACTTTTATTTAGTACATTGTTTGTGTAGAAGTACTTGTACGGAATGTGTGTACAATTGTGTAGTAACTTTTATTTAGTACATTGTTTGTGTAGAAGTACTTGTACGGAATGTGTGTACAATTGTATAGTAACTTTTATTTAGTACATTGTTTGTGTAGAAGTACTTGTACGGAATGTGTGTACAATTGTATAGTAACTTTTATTAAGTACTTGTTTGTGTAGAAGTACTTGTACGGAATGTGTGTACAATTGTGTAGTAACTTTTATTTAGTACATTGTTTGTGTAGAAGTACTTGTACGGAATGTGTGTACAATTGTGTAGTAACTTTTATTTAGTACATTGTTTGTGTAGAAGTACTTGTACGGAATGTGTGTACAATTGTGTAGTAACTTTTATTTAGTACATTGTTTGTGTAGAAGTACTTGTACGGAATGTGTGTACAATTGTGTAGTAACTTTTATTTAGTACATTGTTTGTGTAGAAGTACTTGTACGGAATGTGTGTACAATTGTGTAGTAACTTTTATTTAGTACATTGTTTGTGTAGAAGTACTTGTACGGAATGTGTGTACAATTGTGTAGTAACTTTTATTTAGTACATTGTTTGTGTAGAAGTACTTGTACGGAATGTGTGTACAATTGTATAGTAACTTTTATTTAGTACATTGTATGTGTAGAAGTACTTGTACGGAATGTGTGTACAATTGTAGAGTAACTTTTATTTAGTACATTGTTTGTGTAGAAGTACTTGTACGGAATGTGTGTACAATTGTATAGTAACTTTTATTTAGTACATTGTTTGTGTAGAAGTACTTGTACGGAATGTGTGTACAATTGTAGAGTAACTTTTATTTAGTACATTGTTTGTGTAGAAGTACTTGTACGGAATGTGTGTACAATTGTAGAGTAACTTTTATTTAGTACATTGTTTGTGTAGAAGTACTTGTACGGAATGTGTGTACAATTGTAGAGTAACTTTTATTTAGTACATTGTTTGTGTAGAAGTACTTGTACGGAATGTGTGTACAATTGTAGAGTAACTTTTATTTAGTACATTGTTTGTGTAGAAGTACTTGTACGGAATGTGTGTACAATTGTAGAGTAACTTTTATTTAGTACATTGTTTGTGTAGAAGTACTTGTACGGAATGTGTGTACAATTGTATAGTAACTTTTATTTAGTACATTGTTTGTGTTGGAGAAGCACTGCTGTGGAATATGTAGAGCTATGATTAACTGACATCGTTTACAGATGCCGTGTTTTGGGGTAAGTGATTGACCTTCATTTAAGCAAAGTAATTTTAATTTTTAAAAATCACATTAAGCTTTACACAATTAACGCTGTTACGTGCACCAAGGGAAGGTTCATACCAACACCAAAACATGACATCTGTCGGAATGTTTAAGTAAATGATACTGATGTTTTGACATAAACGAAATAGGAACGAAATTGTTGGAACTTCAATCTTAAACTAGTAAATTAACGACAAGTTTGACACCTAGAATGTCACCTTAAATCAACCATATATAATTGTTCTCGCCAGTGGCTGTATTGTCCAGTGTTGACAATTTACTTAATTTACTTAAGTCCATCACAAGGTTTTGTCTGAAGCTTTGACACCTACAACACTGGAAAATTGTTTGCCATCTCTTGAATGACTCAGAAATTCTAATTTACATAACATAAGTTCTTGATGAAAAAAAAATAAAGATTTGTCTCCAGATTCCCTACTTTGCTCGATGCGGCTGTATTAGACCTACTGTTTATACCAAAATGAGTTTTCTTAACACATCGATGCTTCAGACCAATCATGGACCAAATAATGTAATACTTGCAAGATTTCACAGAATTTGTTTAATTTCATCTAGTAAGCCCCGACCAACTGCCTTCTTGGGGTTAAACCTATCGTTTCTTTCAATCAATTTTTAAGACAAAGTTTAGAAAACAAAGGATCTGCTCTCCCCGCCATTATAAACAAAATCAGTTCCTCTTCTTCTTTGATGCCTCTGACCCAATCTAATCAAATTACTTTCATAATAACATAAGTATCTAAATTCATATTCCCTATTTGGATCCGCCCCTCAAACTCCAAGAGGTTTAGGTGGGGATTATTTTGAGTCTTGCTTTATTCAGGAATACCACTAATCATAGTTACACGTAATCATGGCACTCATACGCAGACGAGTATAAAAAAATTGCTGAATCTCTATATCGGGCCTCTTCCCTCTAGCCCTGATGGACTATACCCACCATCAATACAAAATTGATTACGCTTTCACAAAGGACGTTTCTTACCAAATTATATAAAAAAAAACCCACTTCATACTAAGAAAGATTTAAAGGTTTCATATTATGTTCCCTAATTGCGTGCCCTATCACGCTGGTCAGGGAAAGGAGTGTCATACTAGCAAAGCAAATAAATTTTTTTCTCGTCCAATAATACTTCAATCCAAATTTGGCCAAAATCAAAATCAAAAGCTGGATTTCCCCTCCCCAGTGTCTCTAACGAATACACATGGCGAGGAGTTCCGAGTGAAGACGGCATTCTAATAGAAGTTGTTAAAGGCGGAAAATCGTATATCAAAGACTTGTTACAGGAAAATAATAAGAAATACACGGTTAACGAATGTTAAGTATAACTTTACTGTGATCGGTCTTGGTTACCTGTGGGACCAACCAAACAAAATCTTAATTATCCTATCATCAAGGAACGACTTTGTGATAATGTTTAAGAAGGATGCTTTTAAAAGAGAAAAGATACATGCATCGTCTAACGTAATAATAATAATAATGACGTCATTTATATTATCATCTTCATGGTGTTTGTTTAATAATTGAAATGAACCCGAACATGTGGTGATTTGTAATCATAAGTATCCCATCATGCCATCAGTAGTTTTTCTGTAACAATATTTATCAAAGACAAAATTACTTCTAAGTTTTTTTCAAAGAGGCTATAAATTATATTGCATTTGATTTCACTTCTGTAAAGATAATATACCACTCGTTAATGTATAAACAGGGTACATCTTTTGAAATATTGAAATAACTGCTGGATTGTTAAACAGTGATATTTCGTTTATTGTCAAAGGTAGGGTTAAGTAAATTACATCCGTTATTAATGTTTAAAACAAAAAAGAAATGATAAAACTTTTATGAAATGTGCATGATTTTGTGTATGTGATAATTTCCAAACCATACAGATCAGTCATTCGGATAACTTTGCTAATATAAAGAAGGCTTTGCTAAACGGGAGTTTGAAAAAAACACTGTATTTTTATGTACTGGTTAATATAGATAGGTAAGTTGGATAATGAAAATATCGTCGTAATCAGTTGGATGGACATGTTGTTAATATTAAAACATCTAATATTATTCACGTGAAATACAATATAAAACGGTCAAAATCGTTGATTTCGGATATTAACACAAACCAATTGGCCTGTATCGTTCACATGATATATCAGAACAAAATAAAAAAAAAAAGGAATTCATGGTGACATATCTCAGAATGGACACGATATCCATGCATATTTACAGGATATATTGAATAAATTAAATAAAACACCCATATGCAGTAAAGCATTGAGAAAAATAGGATTTTAAATTGCAAGCAAAATAATTGTTCGACTTCGGTTAATAGTTGGCATTTTGATCATTGTGACATTTGATAAAATAATAAAAGTCTACTTCAACTTTACTGGCGTTGGCTCTCTCTTCATCTTACCATTTAAACAAGAGATCCCAGGGGGGTCTTGGCGCCCACCATTTGAGGATCTGTTTTCAGTTCTTGAAGATGTTTATTTTTTTTTTTGTGTCACAGGTTTTGTAAATGTTCATGAACTGGTCTTCATTGAATGCTCTCAATGATGGCACAAGATATTTTTATTAAGCACCTATTAGCAAATATCATTTGAAAAAGATCCCAAAGTATTATTAGATAGCAGTCAGTTACAGGTTGATAGTGGACAATATGCTTGTGCTTATTACTGTCGACATCCAAGATGGCTGCCTGTGGGCCAACTTGATTTCAAATCAGTCCCAAAAAAGTACAATGCACAACTAGGGACCAAGGGAAACCAATACCTATGAAATATCAGAAGTATCCATCCAGTACTTCCTCAGAAATAGCGGTAACAAGATTTTACTCTCAAAATCCAAGATGGCTGCCTGTTAGCCATCTTGATTTTAGATCAGTCCAAAAAGGTACAATGCAAAACTAGGGACTAAGGGGAACCTGCATATGAAATTTGAGAAAGATCCACCCAGTACTTTCCAAGAAATAGCGGTAACAATCTTTTACTTTCAAACTCCAAGATGGCCGCCTGTCAGCCATCTTGAATTTGAATCAGTCCTAAAAAGGTACAATGCACAATTAGGGACCAAGGGGAACTTGCATATGAAATTTAAGAAAGATCCATCCAGTACTTTCCAAGAAATAGCGGTAACAAACTTTTACTTCCAAAATCCAAGATGGCTGTCTGTCGGCCATTTTGAATTCAAATCAGTCCAAAAAAGGTACAATGCACAACTAGGGACCAAGGGGAAACTGCATATGAAATTTGAGAAAGATCCATCCAGTTCTTTCCCAGAAATAGCGGTAACAAGAATTGTTTACGGACGGACGGACAGATAGACGGACGGCCAGACGGACCACGGACGCAGGGCGATTTGAATACCCCACCATCTGATGATGGTGGGCTAAAATTTTGCATTATTTATCTACATAACACACTAGACTTTCTTCCTCTTCGGAGAATTTTGATGTTTCAAAATCTGTCGCCCTCACAAGGTAGATCAAGGTAATTCATGTGAGGAAACTATGTAACATCTCGTCTATGCTATCTGGAATAAAGTATATTCTGTGTTTTACCAATTATGATATTAACTATCAAATGTTACTAATTATTTGACATAACTAATCACAGAAATATCTACCTACGCAGATTCTGCATACCAACAAGTCTGTATCCCGATTTGCCCACTTTTTAAAAATAACATTGGCAGGCGAAGGATTATAGTCTATTTCAGATGAGTTTACATGTGTTTGACCATCATCAGGATGATCTAGGATATTTAGGCCGCCAACGAAATCAACAGGATACAACACGATGCAAAAATAACAAGACCAATTGAAAAACGATACTTAACATCAGCAACCGACTGACCTATCTAAAGGAGAGCCTTCACACTAAGATGATCGACATCATGGAGTACGTAAACGCATTATCACATTTTCTTCGCTCCTCCTACGTTGTATTATTAAATGTAATGTGTATCGAAAAACCAAGGACACATAATATTACTCTGCATTATACGTCCCCGCAACAAATAAATATAATACCATACGTATTAAGAAATGTAATTTAATGCACGTTTTTCATGCCAACAAATGTAATATTACACGTAATCTGTACCAGGAATTGTTATTTTAATTCCCTGTCAGTTCTTACCAACACAACCAATTTATTGGTCGTGTTTTAAGAACTGCCATTCTTGTGTACGTGTATTATGAAATGTAATTTCATTGTATGTATTTTAAATCAGACAATATTTTGTATGCCTCTATACCATAGTATTTCAAAAACTTAAATGTTATAATAAAAAATGATTTATAGCAGTAACGTATAATACAGAATTATACCTCCATCTCCCTGTCTATAATATCGAGTATAGCATTTAAGGGAACAGATCAAACAGGTAAAAACACAGGTAAATGAACTTGGGTGAAATATATAATTAGTATGGAATTGGTGTTCCATTCTTCATAAAGTCTTCTTGTTCTTATAAAAAGTGGGCAAATCGGGAACCTCCGATCTACAGACACCAATACTAACGTTTCATCACAGTCAGATGAGTAACCAGAGATACCTTGGTACCCACCATTGTTCCAGTTATACTTTATCCTCAAAAGTACATTTATCGGATTCTATCAGAGGGACAAAAAGAAAGCACGACCCCTGATCGTTATCGATTGGAGATTATAAAAGGTCATACTGACCAAGGTACCGAATTCGCCGTTTCTAAATGTTGGCGGACGGACGCTGCATCACACTGGGATTTCACTAGTATCTTGCTTAAAATAAAACTGAACGACAATAGCTAATGTCGACGACCCAAAATAACTGACATACTACAATTCTTTTAATCCGTTACTCATGGCAAGTCATTTTATCGAAAACTATCTAGAATAGTGAGCAAACTTCTCGAATACTTGCAACATAAGAAATCTAATTTAGTTTTAACACGAGCAAACTCCTGCTCCAATGTCAAATCCTTTCTCGTTAAATTCATCCAGAAAAAGACGACTCTTCCATGTTTTCCAACATATTTGCCGGAAGTGTAATACTCTTCTCGCTAATAGTAGCGCCTTTCGGCCATTCTCGCACTCCTGATGGCATAGTTGGTGTTTTCGGAATCAGCATACCTTTCCCAACAATATCGAGAGTTTCGATATCAACTTCACTGTCGGTATCATGGTCATCGCTGCTTGAATGAATGTGCTGAGACTTCTGTTGTACATTTAAAACCTCGTCATAATCTAAACGAGGTTTCGGTTTCGATTTTCTTCGATCCCGTTTCCGTAAACTTGCAAAACATTTATTCTCGGCGCTTCCAGAAATTTCGGTATCGTCGATGCAAATGATATCATCACCATCCATCGTATTATTGCTTACAAATGTTACACTCTTTTCTGGATCATTTGAAGTATTTTGTGCAGTCCCTTTCATGCAAGAAGCCGATTTTACTGTCGGAAGCTTATCCTGCCGAACATTCGAAGGTACTGGATCATGCAGGATTCTTTCATTGGATATCGCTTTATTATGCTGGTTAGTCGATGCGTCACTTTGACTTTTAATGGCTTCATTTCTTTCAAGTAATAATTTCATTTTTTTCGCAACAGATGGCTTAGAAAATCCATCATTTTCTTGATCGCGACTTTCGGTATTTTTATCAACTGCATTAGCCACAGCTTGGGCAGAACTAGTTGGTTCCGCTGGGACGAGCAAGTATTTCTGATTTCCAATTGTAACTGTTTTTCCTTCCATTGATAAATTGGATTGAGTGATTTTATTTTCTACGATTCTTTCATTGTCAGCGGCGGTCTTTTTAGCTTGTTTTTCTGCCATTAGTTTAATCATAGCCTGCTGTCCTGGTTGCGAGCGAGCTTCTGGGAGAGAATTTCGTTTAAAAACTATTGTACCTGGCGGAAATGGTGTTTTGTTGGGCAAGATGCTGGAGGTTTGTATCACAGGAATAGGTTGTTGAGCTCCAGGGAATGTCGGTGCCCCAACACCTGGCCTTTGCACAGGTGAAACAATTGTTCCGTTTATAATCTGCGACTGAGCATGTGGCGTAGCTGGTATATTCAACAAATTTGGTTGTTGTTGAAGTTGTTGAATAGGTTGATTTATTACAAGCTGTCCCGTTTGTAAAACATTCGCCTGGTTTGGATTGAAGACATTAGCATAAACAATTTGTTGCTGGCCATTACTGGCAACTGACTGTGAGCTGTTGGAAAATATTGGAAGATTTGGGGCGTTTTGCGAGACTGAAAGTTTTGAATTTGTGTTTGCCAAAAGTAACTGTGGTGTTCCGCTTGAATCATTATTTGTGATTAAAATTTGAGGGCATTGCGTAGTAGGTGGTCTGTTTGTAGTTGTCAGAATAATCTGTGGCTGATTTGTATTGGTAAACTGATTCGAATTTGTTAGAATCAGTTGGCCAGGATTCTGGATGTTTGTTGCATTTGTCCCTGTCAAAACGATCTGGGTTTGGTTTTGAGTCCTTGGCTGTGCGTTCAAACCAGTCAAAACTAACTGTGGCGAGTTTGAACTTGTAAGAATCATTTGGGGTGTGTTCTGAGTACCTGTTGAGTTTATACCTGCCAGAAGTAATTGGAGTGGTACCTGGGGTGATGATACATGGTTACCAGTTGTTAAGAAAACTGAAGAATTTTGCATTAAAGGCACTGTGTTGGTTAGTGTTTTGAGATCCTGGTTTCCCTGCGCATTTGAAGAAGCATTTAAACATTTGCTATTATCGTCAACATTCATATTCGGTTTCTTACACTTATACGGAGGAAAGGGCGTGGATATCCTATGTGGAACGTTGGGTAATTCACCTGGCACAGAGAACTTGGATTTTGACTTTAAAACCTCTATAGCTGATTGAGTTGTGACGGGTTTGTCTTTGAATTCAACCGTTTTCTTCTGTGTCACAGATGTATTTCCTTCAGACATCATATCTGTGCCAAGAATTCCTTTCAGCGTAGAATACTTAACCATTTCTTCCAAAACGTGGAAGTCTTTTCTCTTCTTCAAAAGTGACACCAATCCAGGCTTCACATCGATATCTGCATCAATGCTATTTTCATTCGAAGGCTCGGTTTTCACTTTAACATTTTCATACGTTGATGATTCATCTTCAGGTGTCATCTTTTCTTCTTCAATCCCTGGTTCTATTTTCACTTTCACTTTTCGGAGTGTTTCGGAAGCACACTGTTTACTGAGTGTGATTTTTTCCGTGGTCGCTTTTGTTTGTAGCACATGGTCTTCCGCCAAACGAGTGACCTGATCAGAGAGTGATTTTTTATGCATTAAATCCCGAAGCTGTACCGATTTTTTGTTCGAGGATTGCTTGTTATCTACATTTGCTTTTAACGAAGCGTCTTCGTCAACATCCATTTGTCGCGACACATTTTCCAAGCAAGACCGAGACATGTTGCTTGTGTTTCTCGTGTCTTTTTTGTACATATATGGTTTCCGTGTCTTTTTGGGGACTTTTGGTCGGGGTCTCAGTACACCATCAATGTATTTGTATCTACAAGATTTTCCACACTTATCGAAACGCCGCTTCCATTGACGGTAAAAAACGCGGTGTCTTCCAGCAAGGTCATGATCGATGTTTTGTAACACAACAGAAAACGGCTTGCACTGGGCTTCAAGAGCTTTAGTAAGTCTATCTTTTTGAATGATCTGCTCTATTGGTCGAGAAATATGCTCTTCTGATTTTTCTTCTAAATACGTATCCAATGGCAATGTGAATACGGAATCAATCTTTAATCCCATGTCCATGATTTCCTCTTCCGTATTAATATCATCCTTTTCATCACAAGATGACTGGTTAAGCATGTGCTCAATTGGATTAAATGATGTGTCACATGGCGCGTCACATGCATCTTTTGTCAGCATATCCATCGTGTTTCTCGCAGCAGCCCACAGCTTAGCAGCTATAAAAGATTTGTCCCTGTCCGTGTTTGAACTTAAAGCCATGATGCCTAACAGTTCTGAAAATAAACAAAATAGTACATATAGTTAAGTATGCAATACTTAGATTAGAAAATGTCATAATTATCATCAGTGTATGTAGATGTAAGTCATCAGTTATTCACATATTCAACATGAATATAGAAACGTAGAAAAGCTGACCATTCATAAACAGTAAACAATTTCTAAATCAAATCAACTGCGACATGTCAACACCATTGGTTTGGGTAGCTGGAATGTTATTATCTAAAACTGGAAGGTTTACAATAGGTAAATTGAAATCGTCACACTTATCATACAGCTCGGTGGAAATCTGTCTCTTTTAGTTTCGTTGTATGAAAACTATCAAGTTCAGCGGCTGATGCAGAGTTCAAATTTTGTGGGTTGCATATACCATAAAAACTATACACTTCATAGCAATTGCAAACAAGTTGTTCACCTATATCAACCACTCGCGCGAGGCGCTTGCTGTGGTGGGGGGAGGTATATGACGAAAATGACTTTCAAGACAACATATCATCAATTTATCAAATATTGGAAATGAGAGACTTTGCAATATCTTTGTAGCCTGTTTTATAAGCTCTTCGATAAACATAAACTATGTGATCAGGTTGGGGAAATATTGCTTTTTGATCTCATTCGATGCCCGTTTGTTGCATTGTTGTTCGTCTTGTTCTCATTTGAGAACGCAACCGAGATCTATCTCATGCTTATACTTCTCATTGTACTTTCTCAAAAGCATCCGTGTAAATATTTCTTTGTGTATATTTTGCCCTCTTTTACCGATTTGTAGCATATGATACAACTACAAAATCTTCGTTTTCTAAAAAACGATATTTTTTCACACACACGTGTACGCTTTAATTTTCCAGTTTGGCACGCTTTAATGTTCCAGTTTGGCACAGTCATCATTTCAATCAGATCATCACACATCGAAAAAAAAAGGATGAAACACTTGAACGCGAAAATTCACGTTTCCGCTATGGTTTCCTTGCGGTCGGTTAATACAAAATTTTGAATTATAATGATTGATAAATATATATGCTTTTCAATTTTACACTACATAAAATCGGTGTTGGATGTATTTTCCGTTCCAACACTTGCCAAAACCTATATAATCACACCATCCCATCAAATCAAAGACTTACGATCATATATACGATCTTGTAATACGAGTGGACTTGTCATAATGAAAACGAAGTTGAAGCAAGTGTTATATCAAATAACTGAACGTTTAATAATTCAAAATGATGAGGATTGTATTTTTCAGATAATATATAGTTATTAAACAAGCGAAAACTCGCATTAAAACAGTATAATTTCCAGTCCTCACGGACAATGTTCCCTGCCAATTTAGACAATGATATGACGTCATTTATTTTTTGACGTCTGAATATTTTATAAACAGCAAGTTATCGAACTGTCGTAGTTTACTATTATATAAAGTCGAGATCGACCAGAGTACCTCATAGATACACACCATGTAGATATAAGTGATACAACATTTCGACACACGTACGATTCTTTTAGGTTATATAAGACAACGCTCAAAAAAAGCATGGACAATTACAGGAAATCAAACAATGGCAAAAGCAGACAAATAAATATATCAAAGGAGCTGTATAACAAGTATATCGCTTGAAAACTCGTCAAAACGTACATGTACTAAATTTTAACATACAACCAACCTAAGTAACAGATAAATTTAAAAGCGTAACCAACGAACTTGTCTTGATCAAACATGTCAGAGAGCAGTAATATAATAATTAATTTAGCTTTCATTCGAGTGATGGTGGATTGTAGACAAGCTAAAAATAACACCGGCGAAGAAAAATATTTCCGTAACATGCCACTGTAAAATGAAGCGCTTATATAAAACGAAAGAAACGTAATAATTATTATAAAAACGACACAATGAAAGTACAACTAGATTTCTCACTATGACCGAACCGACCATCTACCATAAAGCATCCAAAAGGGGCAATAACTCTATCAAATACAGTCAACTAACCCTTGCTATAAAAACAGTAAAGCCTTCCTAGTTTGAGGAGATAGGTCCAACGTTTGGAAAAGATACTCGAAAAAAATGCAGGCTGGCAACGCCATATGAAGATATTGGGGTATTTCAAAAGGTGTGCGTACCACTGCCTTTTTACGACAAAGTTAACCAAAGGAATTCGTGGAAAGAAGTCAATCATTTTTGGTATAGAGCACAAACTACTGAATCTGTGTCAAATTCCTCTCTAATTCCAATACTGCAATAACATGGACACTTTTCCGAACTGTCAACGGAGTTACAAGACGTCGAATTATACATCGGCATCGTCTGCACACCGGCAAAGCGCATTGATATCGTTAGAAATCATGGCGAAAATCAAGCCACGCCTACATGCCTCGTCGTGAATGCGCGATGGAGAACATGGGAAGTTGCCGCCATTATGGTTGTTGAAGTTTAGTTTTATTTGCATCATATCCCACAAATGCTAGAATAATAGCTGAAGACTTGTCCATAAGCAGCTAAAAACTTACATGCATAAATACTTACCGATGTAATATCGGAAGTTAGACGTCTTAAACGCTTAAAATCCCAAGGTTTTACCGGACCATAGCTCTGGCTTGCTGCGACTAAATATAGCGACGGACTACATGCGAGCTAGTGCTTAGTCAACATAAAGTGGGTCACGGTATTGATTGACGGGTAACCCGCCCATCGCTGTTGTATGGTCTATTATTAGCTTGAACGGCCAATCACGCTAACGCTACGTGTAGGAGTCACGTACGCGTCAAATGTTTACGTTCTTCCAAAGTAATTCGTTATTAAATAAAACCACTTTTATATATTCAATTGGTATAAATATATTGAAAAGCTGATTTAATTACGACTAAAGTAGAAATAATTCATTAAAATTTGATTAAATTTGAATATTCAAATATCATGCGATTTGTTGATAATTATAAAAATGAATTTAGTCCAACAATTGACGTCAGGTTATACCAATAAACCAGTTTGATTACATACAAATCTCTCCGGCTATCTTTGTAAAATTCATAAACTCATAAATATACCCCATGATCAATAACACTGTTTTCAGAAAATAGATCACAAATTACAACTTATACGTCTCATATTGTACCGTCGTAAAATCACCATCTTACACGTTTCAGATTGTACCCTCGTAAAATCACCATCTTACACGTCTCAGATTGTACCCTCGTAAAATCACCATCTTACACGTCTCAGACTGTACCCTCGTAAAATCACCATCTTACACGTCTCAGACTGTACCCTCGTAAAATCACCATCTTACACGTCTCAGATTGTACCCTCGTAAAATCAACATCTTACACGTCTCAGTTTGTACCCTCGTAAAATCACCAACTTATTTGTTTCCTGTGTGCTGCTATTAAAATGACATAAAAAATGTCAATTGTCATTTCGAATATAAAAATAACACATACTTGTATGTGGTGTCGTGTAGTATTTGTCTTCAAAATGAACTAAATAATTTATTGATATCATTAAATGAATTATTGATATCAATTATTCGAATTGGTGATATCAATAAATGTCCATAATAACTAACATCATTAATCCCAATAGGTGATATCAGTTATTCATTTAATGATATCAATGATTCGAACTAGTGATTTCACTAAATGAATGAATGATATCAGTAATTCGAGATCAATAATTCAAATTATGGACGTCACTAAATGGAATTGATAATATCAATATTTAGGAGGATTTGACGATATCAAAAATTCGAATAATTATATCTATTTTACATATAATTATATCAATAATTCAAATTATTGTCATCATTAATTTATCTATTGATATTATTAAATGAATTATTGATATCAATTATTGGAATAATTGATATTACGAAATGTCCTGAATTATGTCCAGAATTCAGTATTGATCAAATTGGTGATATCAATAATTCGTTGAATGAATTCATGTTTTTTAGCTGGATGTTCAATAGAGCTTTAGTTTCAATGAAATGAGGTGAAAATAATTTCTGTAGTGAGTCGTTTTTGTTTTGCTTTGTGTTTTTGTTTAAATTCTATGACGATACGAATCTTTTTACAAGTTCTGTTCCACGGAGTCGGTTTTGAGCCTAGTGCATTGTGTATCTAACCGGCGTTGTGAGCCAATTTTGAGCCAATGAATGCGAGTCCAAAATCAACAATTTATTTTCTTACTTTATATACTGGTTTACTGGGGGGGGGGATATCCTACCTACCTATTGAAATCTGACTTCGATATCTTTCTTCAGAAGTGACGTCACTACACGTGATATAATGCTACAGCAGTTTCGCGTTCCTATTGGTTCGACAGAAGTAAATAAAAATTTGACAACTTGGTGTAGTATTCACATTAATTTGTTTGGTTTTCTTTTACACTCGATTGTACTAGGGTTTTAATGGTAGGATGAATGCACAGCTATCTTCTGTTTTTCACGATCCTTTCGTAAATATCCAATATTGGTGTTATTTAAGTAATAATAAAGGCCGACAGAGGTTGTGAATGCCTTGTATCAAACCACGTGATCAAACAATCCTTCTCGAAAAAAGTGGTCGGAAACTGCTGTATAAAAGTTGGCAGTGAAATGAAATGAAAAGGTAGTATGATATTAAGAATTACTCACTTTGTTGGTATATATGAGTTTTTTAATTGCTTCTAAGTAAATGGTCGTGTAACAATTTTATAGACAACGATAAAAAATCACAACCTGCCTCCCACCTGCACGAGTTGCGGTTCTTCTAAGAATTTTTCAAAATTATTTGACAGGGGGCGCTCCTTCGCGGTATTTTTAAACCACGTGGGTCAGAAAACAAACATGGCGAAACGGGCGACCACTTTCGATGTGTTTGTAGGAAACCTACCCACCGATGCAAATGAAGTAAGCTTTATTAGTGTGAAATACTTAATGAAACTTACCCATTAATCATTTTTATCAATTCTATGAAAAAATATTTCCATCGAAAATTGAAACAAGAAACAATACTTTTATTTTTGACACATTTTCCCGGAAAATTTTGGGAATACAAGCAGTTCGAGTTGCATTAGTACTTTGAATGGCTGTAGTGTTTAATGCATGTAAGTAGTGATGAATTTCATCTACTCGGGAAATATTTTTGTTCGTAATGGTAGTACTGGCTCTGTTGACTTCAGACTTTCGTACGAGTTATGTTGGGAGCATCCTTGGTAATGGGAGGATGCTGTCAAACTCCAACACACCCTCTCATTACGGAGTATAAACATCATCTAAACTCAGATTTTTATTAACTCATGATTTCATAGAGATTGATTTACACATTGAAATGTGAGGTTGATGCAAACACTTAAACCTGATTAATAAGATCAGTTATTTTGATCTTAATGATCATATAATTAAATTTCAAATCACATACAATTTAACAACCACCTGTAACTGATACCATGCCAATTGTAACTAACCTGCCGGACACGAAGTCTTACCTGCCCCGGTAGTAGGGCATTGGTTATTCAGTGTTTAGACTATTCTTAAAGGTTTAAAATAAAAAAAAAACTTCCTTCATATGCTTTAAGTTATTGATTACTAAGTAATGCTTGATTTTAACAAATGTCAGAATTCCTTCACAAATGTACTTTGACAAATATCAGAGATTTTTTTTTATTAATTTCATATATTTGTGTTTCTTGCCATTGGTTTATTATCAGCTGAAAGGTAACAGTTTGTGATTGAAATATCATCATGGAGAATATAAAGCAATTCATTCTATTACACATGGAAATATTGATTCCATCTTTTCTGTTAATTTGATAAGTTAAAGTAACCTTTATTTTGACAGAACATTAGTCATTTAACACTTATAATTGCATTGAAATACTCTGAAAAAAAAACTGTGGTTAGTATTGTCATAAGTAATCTGGACACTATTTAGACTGGTATGCTATTATATATTAAAATCTTGATAATTAGTTTTAAATACGATATGTCAATCTGTCAATTTTCCTTCACCGAGAACTACATTTCTGTTCTATATTTAAAAATCAATTTTGTTTCAGTGAATTGTACTGCTTATATATATGTTATTGTGGCTGTTATTTGGTTTATGATTATCTCTGAATTTTCAAAGTTCTAAGCAGTATAATTCTAAAATGTGTTACACATATTCACATGAGTTGATCATGTGGTGTTGCATGTGCCATTGACATTGAGGTTCTTTCAATTAGGAGGAAATGAATTAAGGTATTTAGGTATGAGTGCAAAGTAATTTTTCAGGACAAAATATACATACTGCAAGGCATCTGAAACTGTATGATTCATAATTTGATATATTGTCATGATTGATTTTCAGCGCAATGTCGGCAAAATATTTTCAAAGTATGGAGAAATTCAAGGAATCATTGTCAAAGAACCAAGTAACAACCCACTAATCAGATATGCGTAAGTAAAGCCAATGATTTCAGGACAACAAGAGGCAGAGTACAGAATGATGACAAGTAGGGTTGTACATTACAACAAGTATTTGCATCACCTACTTCTGGCCTTGTGTTATTGGAATAGGGAAGAATGTACCACAGCCTAAAATTGCATATGTAAGATAATGTTCTTTTTTAGATAAATAGAAAACTTGATAGACTCTAAATGACCCAACTTTCTTCACATATATGATCAGAATAATTATTTTCCAGAACCTCACGTCTTGGTAAAGAATTGCATTTTTTAAGGCAAGTTGATTTCTGAAGACAAGTCTTCTTGCCATAGTTACATGATGAAAACAAAAATTTCTAAATGAGGGGGGGGGGGCATATGCTTTTTATCCATTGCTATTATGTTCTACCTTGTAACAATGTTGTCACTACAGCTGTTTTATTTCTTGGGGATTTTTTTGTATCAAACTTGATGTAATAGACTATTTCATTGCTTCATGTGAGATTGCATTTCAGGGTGTTAGAGATCACTGTTCTGTTTATAGAAAATCAGCAAGCAATACCATGACATCATTAATGTTATGATGAGGTCAAATGTGTATTATAGCATGTCTTGCAGACTACTTCAATTTTGTATCATAATCCATATATTGTAATATAAGCAAGAATATTTTGCTGTAATTTTGAAAATCTCAACAGAGCTGCAACAAAGTAGATCCACTGAGTTTCATGTTGCTATTCCAAATCAAGTCATGAATTTTACTGTATGTAGATATATATTGAAATCTTGATGATAGATTCTTGCTGAAACATCCAGGCTGTTCACTGCAAAATTTTGTACAAAGTTCAGTCATTATTTTCTGAAATTTATTCATGTATACTGCATTTCTTAGGATGGATAGTCCTTTAAAGAATATCCTTCAGAGAAACACTCCTAGAAAGGCTCTGTTCATGGTATAATTTTTGCTGTATTAATGCTATTTCCCTTGTCATCATTTGCTCATTAGTTTTATCTGGAAACATATTTAGATCAGGTTAATATGGAATGTAACAAGTTTTGTTATTTTTTCTCTATTCTAGCTTTGTGAAATATCTGTGTGAACCTGATGCTGACAAAGCTTGTTCAGAGCTAAATGGACAAGAAGTGCAAGGGAAGAAGGTGTCAGTTCGACGTCAGGAACAAAGAAAAGGGTAAAGGATCAGTAGTGAAATATCTACCCTGAAAAATAATATGAGTAGTGTACCTACTATATGGCCTTCGATGGTCAATTTTCATTGTCGTCACTTTCCTGCATGTTAGACATATATTGATGGAAATTACAAATATGGCTTTAAAGAATTCATATTTATAACATTTACATATACTTCAGGCAGTGGTATCTTACTTTAAATTCACCATTATAATATTGGTACAAAAGAAGCTTTTAAAGAAGATTCCTATGTTCTTGAAACCTTTTACAGAATCCACATAGGGATTTCAGATTCACCAAATGACAGTCATTGTGTCATATCTATAACCAAAAGTGGACATATGTTTAACTAGGATTGTGATGACAAACTTAACGAGGTTAAAATTAATTGACACAAGCACAAATTTATGGCAAGTAGGAATGTACATTGCGATAGGTATTTGCATCACCTTATTTAGTACTTATGGCCTGGTGTTATTGGGGTTAGAAAGCATTTAGCCTAGCCAAGTATTATGTATGTAAGATAATGTGCTTTTAATAGTAAAACATTGACTGCCTCTATCTTTTTAAGCCAACTTTTTTCACAAATGATTGGATCAGAATCAATAATTGCATACGTTTCTTTTTCTTGAAAAGTACTTGCACATTTAATGAGACAAGCTGATTTCTGAGGACTAGGCCTTCTCGTCTTAGTTAGATGTTTAAAACAAAAGTTTGTTATTTTATTTCTAGAAGGATGGGGGAAGCACTTTTGTAACCAAAGAAGAGACATATGTATAATGAAGATTATGGTGACAAATCAACTTGATGAGAGGAAATGAATTGACTCAATAGAAAAATAAGCTATCTGCCAAATTGGCAAAGAAAACAAAACTCCTGAATTCTGATACTGTGTATTAGGATAGATATATGAATTTATGTGAAATATCAAAAAGAATAATTGTATGATATAAGGTACAAATATATATATATATTTATCTTGTACTAATGAATGAAGTATAAAATAACTTCCACACCAGTGTAGCATAAAAAATCTACTAAATACACTAAAAAACAGACCAGCTATTAGTTTGGTTGGTTTTTATTATTGAAATTCTGGTAAGTAATTCTTTTTTAGGAGAACAGAACAAAGTTATATTTTATCATGCTACAGAAAGAGAAAAAAAGCTTGACCTGGAATAGTAGATATTAGCTTGAAGGAGTCTGTGTTATAACTTTAATATTTTGACGATTGGAAGGGAGTCAACAACATGTTTGTGTCAAATTCATGCTACCGGAAATTTGACAGATGAATGCATACAATTGTGTCTTCTCAAAGACATTTTTTAACTTTAAAGAATGCATCTTATTACATTATATGATGACTTTTGTGAACTTCACAAGGGCAAGTAAAATGGCTACAATAAAAATATCTTGAAGATAGTTTTATCCTTTGGAAATATAAATGATACAGGTACAGATTGGCTTGATAATTCAAACTTTTAAAACTTCCAAAACCTGATATGACCGATATAACCATTTGTCCAACATTTTGAGACTTCTGACTTTTTGTATTTTTCTGTCCTGTTTACTAGTGATAGATGTTGGGAGTGGGACCATTCTTTCAGATTGGATTCCTACACCAAAGATATTATCTAACAGTTTAGTTTTACCATGTACCAGATGCTTGTGATGCCTGAAGTATTCCAATTAATGTTACTGTGTTGTAGATAGTAGAAATGTTGGAAAGCATGTTGTTTGTAATCCAGTTGAAAATTTTACTAGACTAGTCTAGAAAAAAATAAAAAATGTTTGCAACAAGTTAATAACCTCAAAATTTAAGTTTAAAGCCTTTTTCCCATCATTCAAGGTGCTATAAATGTGTTTGAACATTTGTTTTTCAGTAAACAGATGGGACAGGGAAAGGAACCCAGTAGTCTTCAACAGCGCCCTCCAGGAAGTCGTATTGCCAAGACTTCACAACCTGATATTGGTAATTCTTGTAATTCTAAGAGTTCTGTATGCAGCCCTTGTGTCCCTTAACACATATAACAAGCATAGTGAATTTGCCCATATAATAATTTTGCGGATACATCACTGTAATATACTAAGGAACATTTTTTATCAGCTGCGCCAGTCAGAAATTAATGGAATGTCATGATATGGACATTGATGTTGTGTCCTGAATTGAAAATGGCTCCCTTCATTTTATTTTGTCTTCTACATTTATTTTAAAACCTGTAAATCTGTAACTTTTTAGAGTCGTGTGATAAAAAGTATCTCTCATTTGTTTTCATTTGATACGAAGTTTTATGAAACTAATCTTTAAGTTATGACTTTGCTTGCCAAGGCTCGCTAAAATTAAGACTTCTCAGGCTTACTTCACGAAATCTCATGTGAAATGAAAACTATACATAAATCAGTAATGGAAAATTGAATTGTCATTTGTGATATAACAGCTGTTCAGTATTTTAAGATCAGAAAGATGAGTGTTGATTTGCTTTAATCTTTCATTTGATACATTTAATTCTACAGTTCCAGAAGGGGCTGATTCCGACAACATATCCAATGCTGGGAGTACTGGCAGCAACATTAATGAGGTATATTTCTTGCTTTGCCCTTATAACACATGTAATCGCCATAGTTACAGATTTTTTCAACAAGCGAGCTCTGATTATTTTTCATGACAGTAAAAGCCTTGCTATCAACTTGTAAGTGGTATGGTGAAGGAGCACATTAACTTCTGATAAACAAAATAATCATCAGTAATGAATTTCTCTCTCTCTTAAAAAAATAATTTCAGGTGTCATACTGTTAAAGATGCATTAAATTATGATAGAAGAGTTTTAAATGTGTTGGAGTTGATTATAAATACTGTATCTTTAGGAGAGAGTCAGTTGTTTTTTCATTTATACTTTACAGAAGGAATCTGTAATGGTTACATTTGTGGAGAGTTGTGTAACTGTCTGGGTCCAAGTTGTCAATGAAGAAAATACAAGTAAACTGATGAAGATTACTGACCAGTTGGCTTCATTGTGTCCAGCTGCTTCCAAGGTCAACGATCCACCACAACAGGCCAAGGTCATTCATTGATATTTCTTTTTAAGTTATTGATTTCCAACATACATATGCTTCATATGTTATAATGGCATTGTTAAACCATATATTTCTTTACATTGATCTTTCTTAACCAAAGTTTCATTTAGACAAATCTTCTCAATTTAGTATTATCTTTAAAGATGATAACCAACCCTTTATTAGCTCACAGGTAATGGATAACTGAACTAATGCTGTGTTTGGGACAAGTTTTTGAATCAATAAGCAATCATTAAAGGTCTAATATTGATGTTATAACAATATTCTGATATTTTCTGTTTTCTTTTGTTTTGCCAAAATGACAATGTTTTTAACTTGATTTGAAATTATTCGAAAAGTGAAACAGCCTCCAGACAGTCATCATTTAAAGGGATATTCTGCACAAGTTAGGATTTGATGGGATACTTTTGAAGAAAACTACAAAAAAATTTACTTCCTATTTACCATTTAAACAAATGTAACGTATTCGACCCAATAAGCGTCCATGTCCCTATAAATGCCCCCTCCCCCCGTCAGATACCTAAAAGTCTAGATTTACTTACCTTTTAGTCACGATCAGGAATTATTTTAAGTCGGTTTATAAGGAGATGTACTCCAGAAAAACGTAAAAAAAAATTTATATTTAAGATGGTCTAAGATGGTTTTATTGAATGTAAAATAACTAGTGGTTTTATAAATACATGAACTCTACAGTAGATTTTTTAGAATTAAATGTGTTTCTTTTACATATAAGATGGTCTCTAATAATCGCCCCCATTAATTGCAATTTTTTAAGTGCCCTGGGCGCTTATTGGATCGAATACGGTATATCTAATTTCCAGAAGTTATTTATAGATCTAGCTGGATCGATTTACAGACGTTCATGCAGCTCTGATTGTGTCATAACAAAATCAACAGAAAATTGTAACCCTAGCGGAAACTTAAGTGAACAGCATACATATTCATACATTTACCTCCAGTTTTGCCTGTCTAAACTGACCACAGGAGAGATTTTTTAATGCTAACAATAGTTTTAAAAGTCATTAGAATGAGTTCTTAACGGGTACAGAACAGCTAGAAATTTTTCAACTTGAGCGGAATACCCCTTTAATACATGAAGGATCATTAGCAATCAAATTTACTTGCTTTTACTTGAAAACAAATGGGAAAACTCCACTTTTATGCCATCTAGAGGTATATCTTGACATTACATGTACACATTGCTACTGCTTTTATCATAAATCACCAAAGGGACCAGAGATAAAGCTCAGTAAGCTTGGTACCCTTAGTTTCTGTGTACATGCGCTAGCTGAAGGCTAAAATGCAGTATTAAAAATGGTGATGTATTTTTTAGGTGTATGCTGCTCAATTTTCAGAAGATAATATGTGGTACAGATGTGCAGTCAAGCAATTTGCAGGAACTGAAAAGGTAGTGTATTTACCATAATAATGTGTATATCTTCAATACTTGGTACAGACCAACATGTAATATTGGACATGTATCTTACTGGGGTAAAGGATTCAAATTTGTTCAAATTAATGAGCTTGATAATAAGTGTTGATGATATAATGGCCATTTCAAATTTAGTGAAGTAGTCAAGTTTAAGGACTTTCCGATTTTCACAATCCCTGATAATGTTATTTGGTCTGTAGGCGGCTGTCTTCAGGGCTGTAAATGCTTATAGATAGAACAGTATCCTTAAAATGTTCAATTGAAATGTGGTAAGCCTACCGCCGTCAGATGTTTGGGTATTCAAATTGCCATATGTTTGTGATTTGTAATCCATCTGTCCATCTTTGTTATTCTTGTTATCGCTCTTTTTTCAGATATCCTATATGGATCTTTCTCAAATTCAATTTGTAGGTTCCCTTTGGTCCCTAGTTGTGCATTTATTATTTTGGTACTGATCAGGAAAAAAATGGCCGACAGGCAGTCATCATTGATCTGGCAGTAAATGATTGTTACTGCATTATCTTATTTTTTTCAGAAATTCATATAATTAAGAGCAAAAATGGCAGAATAAAAAGAAGAGAAGGGAAAGATCTAGATTTCGAAAAACAAGTAAAGATGAGAGATGATGGGCAACATGATCCCCTGGGTTCTTTTGTTGAAACATTTTTTCGAATAGTAATATGGTATACCAATCAGTGATTGTACTGTGGTGTTGAAGGTGTCATTTTGATATTTTCAGGTAAGAGTTCAGTATATTGATTACGGGAACAGCGAGGAAATCTCTGTCAACAGTTTAGTAGAAATCCCCCAGACTTTAGCTGCCAACAAGCCTTTGGCAACCAAGTTCATGCTGCACAATACCAGAGCCAACAAGTTCAATGATGTGAATGTAAGTATTATATTGGCACTGTTCTATGGATATTATTCAAAACTTCCATTTCCTGAAATAATTTTTATGGCTGTAATGAAAATGAATTTTACTGTGGTTGACAGTGTTTACATAAGCATACATTTGATCAGGCAATGAAGACCCTTTAAATAATTAATACTTAGCACTGATATACCTACCACTTGCCTTGCAGGGAATCTCGCTTCTAAGGAGGTTAACTGAAGGAAAGGTGATAGAAGCTGTACGCACAAGGAAGCTAGGAGATGGGAATGGACATTATGCTTTGATTTATGTGGATGGCCAGAGCATCAATGACATGATGATAGAAGAAGGTTATGCTACTAAACGACCCCCAACCAATACTCGAATGATGACAGAGTCTTCAGAACAATTAGGTTTATATCATGCATTGTTCAAACTTTTTAAAGATTTGCATATGGGACATTTGTTTAGTGGACTAATGTAATTATTTCAGGTAACTTCAAGTTATATATGATGGTATTTATTAAAGTATTAGAGATCAGTAAAGATGATTGATTCATTTCTTCTTATCTTCATTGTTTTTAGGGTCATCTGACTATAGGTTATGGTGATTGATTTTACTGAATGTCTGCAATGTTACCAATTCGATAATAATTTGCAAATAAATGCTGTTTGCAGTTTTATAATTTTTAGCCCACCATCTAATAGATGGTGGGTTATTCAAATCGCCCTGCCTCCGTGGTCCGTCCGTCCGTAAACAATTCTTGTTACCGCTGTTTCTGGAAAAGCAATTAATGGATCTTTCTCAAATTTCATATGCAGTTTCCCCTTGGTCCCTAGTTGTGCATTGAACCTTTTTTGGACTGATTCGAATTCAAGATGGCCGACAGGTGGCCATCTTGGATTTTGGAAGAAAAAGTTTGTTACCGCTATTTCTGAGAAAGTACTGGATGGATCTTCCTCAAATTTCATATGCAGTTTCCCCTTGGTCCCTTATTGTGCATTGTACCTTATTTGGACTGATTCGAATTCAAGATGGCCGACAGGCAGCCATCTTGGATTTTGGAAGTAAAAGTTTGTTAGTGCTATTTCTTGGAAAGTACTGGATGGATCTTTCTCAAATTTCATATGCAGTTTCCCCTTAGTCCCTAGTTGTGCATTGTACCTTTTTTGGACTGATTCGAATTTAAGATGGCCGACAGGTGGCCATCTTGGATTTTGGATGTGAAAGTTTGTTACTGCTATTTCTTGGAAAGTACTGAATGGATCTTTCTCAAATTCCATATGCATTTTCCTCTTGGTCCCTAGTTGTGCATTGTACCTTTTTGGGACTGATTCGAATTCAAGATGGCCGACAGGTGGCCATCTTGGATTTTGGATGTAAAAGTTTGTTACCGCTATTTCTGAGAAAGTACTGGATGGATCTTCCTCAAATTTCATATGCAGTTTCCCCTTGGTCCCTTATTGTGCATTGTACCTTTTTTGGACTGATTCAAATTCAAGATGGCAGACAGGTGGCCATCTCGGATTTTGGATGTGAAAGTTTGTTACTGCTATTTCTTGGAAAGTACTGGATGGATCTTTCTCAAATTTCATATGCATTTTCCCCTTGGTCCCTAGTTGTGTATTGTACCTTTTTTGGACTGATTCGAATTCAAGATGGTCGACAGGTGGCCATCTTGGATTTTGGATGTAAAAGTTTGTTACTGCTATTTCTTGGAAAGTACTGGATGGATCTTTCTCAAATTTCATATGCATTTTCCCCTTGGTCCCTAGTTGTGCATTGTACCTTTTTTGGACTGATTCGAATTCAAGATGGCAGACAGGTGGCCATCTTGGATTTTGAATGTAAAAGTTTGTTACTGCTATTTCTTGGAAAGTACTGAATGGATCTTTCTCAAATTTCATATGCAGGTTCCCTTTGGTTCCAAGTTGTGCATTATACCTTTTTGGACTGATCCGAAATCAAGATTTTGAGAGTAAAATCTTGTTACTGCTATATCTGAGGAAGTACTGGATGGATCCTTCTGATATTTCATAGATATTGGTTTCCCTTGGTCCCTAGTTGTGCATTGTACCTTTTTTGGACTGATTTGAAATCAAGGTGGCCCACAGGCAGCCATCTTGGATGTCGACAGTAATACAGCACAAGCATATTGTCCATTATCCACCTGTAACTGACTGCTATCTAATAATACTTTGGGATCTTTTTCAAATGATATTTGCTAATAAGTGCTTAATAAAAATATCTTGTGCCATCATTGAGTACATTCAATGAAGACCAGTTCATGAATATTTACAACACCTGTAACAAACAAACAAAAATAAACAAATCTTCAAGAACTGAAAACAGATCCTCAAATGGTGGGCGCCAAGATCCCTCTGGGATCTCTTGTTGGATCTTGTGAACACAATAATTTGAGTAAATATAAACTGATTTTGATGAAACTTTGTATACATTTTTAACAACGTGATCTTGGATGAGTGCAACAATGATGTTAATATAGAGTTATGGCTCATTGCAATTAAGTTAATTTGAGATATATCATGTTGCTGTTTAGACCCATTAGTCTCTTGTTTATATCGAATTATGTGTGAAAATGATAATAAGATACTAAATTTCAGGAGGTAACCAGCTATTTGGAAGTGGAGACCCTCTAGCAGGTACATCATCTCTAAGGTATAACAGATTTGGTAGTGGTGATGCTGGACCATTTGCCTTAGGTGGAGGCTATGCTGGATCTGGAGATGCAGCAGGAGGTAGTGTAGGTGGCTGCTTCCCTCAGAGTAGAAGAATGGCTCAAAGGTAATTTAGGTAACATGTGTTGGTGTATGTTTCCACAATTACTAATTTTCATGATTACCCCATCACAGCAAGTTGGAAGCATTTAACATTGGCAAAAGGAATTATGTATTTACAGTTATTAAATACAATAATTGATGATGATGATAACTATATCTGTTTGAATTTGTTATAATGGCGAAATTAATGAAAATAAACTGCTTGTGAAAGAAAATGAAGGAATTTAAAGTGACATCAGAGTTAAAAAAAAATTGTTTAGCCAACCATCATCAGATGATTGGCTTTCAAAATCACCCTACATCCATGGTCATTGGTCCATTCGTCCGTAAACAATTGTTGTTAATGCTATTTCTTGAGAAATACAGGATGGAACTCTCGTAAATTTCATAACTTTGTTCCCCCTTAGTCTGTAGTTATGCCTATTCGATTTATCGTCTGATAAAAAAAAAAAAAAATGGCGGATTGGAAGCCATCTTTGATTTTGACTTTGCAAGTTTGTTATCACTATTCCTTGAGAACCACAACATAGATCTTTCACAAATTTCATATGTTTGTTTCCCTTGATCCCTAGTTGTGCCTGGTTGATTATGGTACTGATCGAGGAAGAAAAAGGCCAACAAGGGTCATCTTGAATTTTGACTTTGAAAGTTTGTTAGCACATTTTCTTGAGAAATACTGCATTTATCTTTATCAAATTTCATGTATAGGTTCTTCTTGGTCCCTAGTTATGCCTGTCTGATTTTGGGACTGATCAAAGAAAATAAAATTGTCGACGATGTTCAAATTTCTCAGCATTAAGAGCAAAATCGGGGAAGAGAAGAGAAAAGAAGGGAAAAGATCCAACTTTCAAAGAGCATATAAAGATCAAACATTGGTGGTGCCAAGATCCCTCTGAGATCTCTTGTTTATTATTATTATTGCATGTATGTATCAAGTGTATCACCTGATGAACAATGCCAGTTGTTTTTCATAGAAATATGCACATACAGATGTTATCTAATTATTATGTAGGGAAAATCTCTTGCTGTTGATCAACACTCCTTATATTTTTTTGGGGAAATGGAAACATGCACAAGCAATAAGAATAATCAGTTTTTTTTTGGTTTTGCATTTATCATCTATATCCATTTAAAATTTTGCAGTGCTAAAGATTGCTTGCCCAATATCTATGAAGTTTTCTCTATATATTTGGTAGACGGGAGTTAAGCAATAATTAGCATTTTTTTAAGCATTTGCGCCATGCTGTTGTTACACTTTAAAGTACCTGTCACTATGCAGGTAGAAATGGAAAGAACCATTATGTATTGAAGTTATCTACCTTGATCTGTAACCAAATCCTTAAAGTTTATTGGCTTTCTTGTATATTGCTTAACAGGAACGTTTCATTTCAATCTCCATGATATAGGTATAAAAGTTCATACCAACAAAATGGTAAACATGGTTCAAATCATGGAAGTAAATACTCACAAATCCTTTTTTTCAGCCTCACAAAATATACATGTAGATAACTGGTTCACTTTGTCATTTAGAAACATGTTCATTGATAGTTCTATAGATTTGCGTTGTCGGTCCATTTTTCCCTTGTCTTTTCTAGGCTCTATTTCCTTCACTATGTGTTACTGGAACGCTATATTTAGGGTATAGGTCCCCCTTGAAAAGTGTTGTGTTTTGTATCAAAAGAAGGTCACTGACCTACATTTTTACATTTGACCTACATTGAAAATAAAAGTTTGTCTGGGCTCTTCCCTACTGATCACTTGATCTTCATTCATTGGGTATGGTTTCACCTTAGTGAGGTTGTCTGTTGTATATGAAATTAGACAAATTGTCTTGTTTATAGTGTACAATTATAAATAAATCTATTCACCCATCACTTGTTACAGTTCCAAGACTTACCTACTTATCAATTCATGTTGAGTAATATGCTTTTTATTTGTACTTCACAGCAATGATGGAAATGAGGAGCTATTGAAAAATGATCTAAACAAGAAAAAAAGAGAGGTTGATAAATTGCGTGGAGAAGTAGCAAAAAGAGATCTTCAGCTCCAACAATTGACAGCAAACAAGGTGCAAGTAAGTGCAACGTTTCTGACATTTGTTATTCATTGAATACTGTATACAAGATGTATCAGTCAACTTGTTGATATTGTACTTAGGGCTGTAATTGTTGTATTCTCGTCTGTACAGCTCTTGTAACCTGATCATACTGGAACTTCACTTCAGGTTGTATATTGTAGGAGGTGAATATCCATGCCTGAACAGAACTCAATATTAATGTGTCTGATTTCATAAAAGTATAAATGATTGTTTTTCTTTTTCCATCTTGTGCACAAAAGCATAACTCTTACACAAAAGAAACATAAAATTTGACAATATTATTTAGGGATTCAACACTTTTGTATTTGAAAATGGTAGGCAGATGGGGATATACAAACTTAGAATTGAGGTGTTAACAGAGAGCTAAAGAGTAGGGAAAAACATTCTGAGTGAAATCATGAAGATATGTGTGGTAGGTGATAAAATGAAGGAAGGAGGGCCAATATACCAGGAGACTACTGTATATGAAAGGTGTGACTGGAACAAAAATCAAAACACAAAAAACAAAAATGAATAGTTCACAAAGTAAACAGCAAGCAAAATACAGACACTGATGTATGAAAGTGTCTAATCCAGATCAAGAATGATAATTATAATTCATACATATTTCTTTTTGGTTTTTATACGCCGCCAGAGCCGGTCGTATATTGGTGTCATCTTCTCGGTCTGTCAGTCTGTACGTCCGTCCATATGTCCATTTCTGGAGAATGCAACTCCTCCTAAACTAATCATCAGATTTTCATGAAACTTGTTCAATGTCACTACTACAATGGGTAGATGTGCATGAAGGGGCGATTTTTCAGTTTTTTTTTGTAAGATTTATACCATTTTCATATTTGTATCTGTAGCTTGCGTCCGTCCGTCCGTAAACAATTCTTGTTACAGCTATTTCTGGAAAAGTCCCGGATGGATCTTTCTCAAATTTCATATGCAGGTTCCCCTTAGTCCCTAGTTGTGCATTGTACCTTTTTTTGGATTGATTCGAATTCAAGATGGCCGACAGGTGGCCATCTTGGATTTTGGATGTAAAAGTTTGTTACCACTATTTCTGAGAAAGTACTGGATGGATCTTTCTCAAATTTCATATGCAGTTTCACCTTGGTCCCTAGTTGTGCATTGTACCTTTTTTGGACTGATTCAAATTCAAGATGGCCGACAGGTGGCCATCTTGGATTTTGGATGTAAAAGTTTGTTACTGCTATTTCTTGGAAAAAACTGGATGGATCTTTCTCAAATTTCATATACAGGTTCCCTTTGGTTCCAAGTTGTGCATTGTACCTTTTTGGACTGATCCGAAATCAAGATGGCTGACAGGCAGCCATCTTGGATTTTGAGAGTAAAATCTTGTTACTGCTATATCTGAGGAAGTACTGGATGGATCCTTCTGATATTTCATAGATATTGGTTTCCCTTGGTCCCTAGTTGTGCATTGTACCTTTTTTGGACTGATTTGAAATCAAGGTGGCCCACAGGCAAACATATTGTCCATTATCCACCTGTAACTGACTGCTATCTAATAATACTTTGGGATCTTTTTCAAATGATATTTGGTAATAAGTGCTTAATAAAAATATCTTGTGCCATCATTGAGTGTATTCAATAAAGACCAGTTCATAAACATTTACAACACCTAAATAAACAAATCTTCAAGAACTGAAAATAGATCCTCAAATGGTGGGCAGCAAGATCCCTCTGGGATCTCTTGTTAATAAACATAGATGTCATGACAAGTTGTTTTACTTTTTTGTGTTGTAATTCTTTAAGAATCAGTTCTATTTGTAACAATTCTTCAATTGATTTTTTGTAGCTGCAGAGTGTAGTTGATCTAGCTGATAAAGTGAAAAGACTCCGGTAAGTAATATGTTGACCTAATGTAATGATGAAATTCTATCTTGTATTGAAATTCTGATTTTAGATACGAATTTCAATTCAATTCTTTTACATATCTTTTTGAATTCCATGTATTTAGGAAAAAATATCAATAATCATTATATTATTTTGTGTCTGTTCAATGTTCTACATTTCACCCCTGAATTATTAAAACAAAATGAATGGCTGCCTTTAAACATAAGAATGCTTGTGATCCAAAGCCAAGTGCAAAAAAGGGTAGAAGCAAGGATAAGGTTTTTAGAGCTAAAAAGTTTGTCACAGTCTGTTGTTATTGGTCAGAAGGTGACCATTTCAGTCCAGATAAAATATTTGGTTGTGAAATATTATTCCCATTTCCATGTTGAGAGTATTGAAGAAATGATTATGCATGTTATCAAAGAACCTATACTGAGCCTCCCCCTTTCCCCATCCGAAAAAAAAAAAAAAAAAATCAGGAAAGCGGTTCTAAGCATGCAACTTTCTTGCAGATGTCTTATTTGGAAGTTGTTTTCATCGACAAGTATTGTATATACTACTTTTTGTCTAGGGTTTAAGGCATTGACGTGTAATATGTAGATAATATTACAACTGTCTTCCTGAATATAACAACAAAAGGTGGTAAACAATTAGATTAAACAAAAAGGAAGTGGGGTCTATTGTTGGTATTGTCACCAATGTTCCAACGATTTCAAGTTTTGAGAATTGGAGTCTTATTTTGCCTTGTTTATAATGAATTCCCTATATTACATCCTGTTGTACAAGACACTTTATATAGTGGGCTTCTTTTTAAACATTTGATCATTAGACACAGAAATTTTTTTTCAATTTTTTTTTCCTGTTGCTGTAAATACAGCTATAGGAATCTAAAATGTGTCACAAAATTCCTGACTTTAATGTATTTATCTGGTTTGCCCATGCCTCATAATCAGCCCTCTCATGTTCATTACCATTCCGAAGATTTACCGACGGTAGGTATTTCAATGATCTGTAATAAACTTTCAACTTTAATTTTGAGTGAGAAATAATGTGTTGCCCTGTCAGGCTTATTTCAAGATGATACAATTGTCACTGGACATGTTAATATCTGCCCAGTCTTCTAATTGTTCAGAGCTCTTACAATTTTCCTCCTTGAGTTTCATGTTTCTTCTTTTTCAGTGTGCAGTTTCCAACAGGACGCTCCAGTGGCCTTGAAGAGGCCATGGCACTAGCACTTTCAAGTGAGAAAGTTCAAAATTCATCGGTCCACTCCCTCCAGGCTGTCATGTCCACTATGTCTACCTATAAGGCTGCCCAGAAGGAAATCATCTGCTCCAGCAATCACGTTAGTACATTTAACATAAAGAAACAGAAATAATATAAAACTGGTTATTCTACTGTTTTAGAGAATAAGAATACATATGAAAGATATTGTGAAATCTTTCCTTTCTTAATGAATATATTTTGCCAATTTTACAGCATCTTATTCAATATAGATATATCATCTATCTAATGGAATGAATTTTGTTTTCTTCTTCAAGGATTCTCTTACAAACAAATGAAATTCTTTAGGATATTGTAATTATGAGTCACTGTTAGTGGTGTCTAGAGGAGTAGGAAAGCTAATCGAAGGTTCAGTTTTAGACTTTATTTCTGCAAACATGCAATCTTTCTATATAGGAGGAATTAACAAACCTGATCTTGGAGAGAGACAATGCTAGACGAGACTTACATGGCAAATTACAGGAGTGTATTGATGAGCTGGCAAGGATGCCACTTGATACCAGATACAAAGCTCTTAAGGTTTGACTTTATTCATGTCACATATCAACATGATTAAATTTTAAAAAATGGAATATCAGTAGAGCCCTGCTTGTGACTTTAATTTCATTTCAAATTTTGATTGATGCTCACTAGAGATATCCATTTCCAAAGCGTACATGATGCAGCCTACAGATTCTCTCTAGGGAAGGTCAGGTCTTTATGGTAGTTGCTTTTGAATGTGATGAAAAGCATAGGACTATCTTATCCACAGAACATAATTGATTCCATGAATTCCTGGTTTATGATATATTTTATGATTTTTTTTTTTTTATAAAGAATGATACATTTATACTTTTCACAGGATACAGAGGAGAAAGTGATAAAAGACTACAAAATGTTTGTAGGCTACAATGTGCATGGATGCCCTCTGCTGGAAGATCTTGCATTTGGTTTCAAGGATTGGAAGGTGGGTGTATAGAATGCAAACAGAGCTTCTCAAGTTGCTTTAGAAGGTGTTAGATATGGTAGTATATATTTAGATCCACGAAGGTAATATAGTTTGTCTGACATGATTTACGATAATATTTACAATTTCCAGTGTCATCTTTCAATGTTTTTCACATCATTTTGTCATTAGTGACTCGTTGGATATGGCACAGCTACGGTAATTAATGCATCAACATTTCATAGGGAAAATTGCTAAAATTAATCTAACCTTCCTGATTGAACCATTTCCATATAATCAGTGATTGTAACAGATATAATTCAGTTGTCACATCCACTACAGGTAAATGATGTCAATCATTAGTTATATTTTGGATGGATCCTTTTGTTGATTGAAACAAATTCCTTGTGTACATTGGCTGAATATAAATGAATATTGCAAAATCTGGTGATCTTTTCCTTAATGTTTGTTGCATGTTCTTTTCTTAAGAGTCGAAAGGAAGAGGAATTTCGTTTAGTGCGGGAGAACTGTGACACCTGTCAGAATAACATGACAGCATTCTTGCATCGCTTATTAGGAGTAAGTGTCCTAGTTCTACCCTCAAAGAAATATTGGGGTGTTTATAACAGTTTCCTGTGTTTTCTCTGTATTGAATCATCTGGAAGACTAGTTGAATATCTAGTAGATGATTGAGGGTTGACTGCAGAATGTAACATCTTTAGTATGAATCAGGAAATAAGATTGCTATATGTAATTTCAGTCCTGTTGCGATAAAAGTGTACATAAATAACCATGGGCACTTTTTGGAAATAACCTATCAACAGAAGTATTTTTGGCATGTATTTAGCCCACTTAACCCACTATTAACAGATGGTAGGCTGTTGAAATCATCCTGCATCCATTCATCATGAGTTGTCTAACAATTCTTGTCATTGCTATTTTGTGAGAAATATTGGATGTATCTTTCTCAAATTTTATATGTAGGTCACTCTTCCTCTGCAACTGCGCCCTTTAGATTTTGGCACTGATAAGGGAAAACAAAATGGCAGATATGACAGAAATTATTATGACTATTTCTTAGAGAAATTTTGAAATTTCATGTAATTAAGAACAAATACAGGAAAGCTGAGAAAAAAAGTGGAGTAGAGTCAACTTATGAAGAAAGATCAAAAGAATCGTGGGTGCCTTGATACCTCTGGTATCTCGCTACAGTGCCTGACAACTTTTTAGGGTTGATGGTTCTTTGATATTTTCGAAATTTGACATTCTTTGAAGTATTAGTTTCAAACCCTGAAAATTTTTGACTACTGATAAATATATATCTATTGTAACAGTAAGACTTTTGCTAATTCAATAAGGTCACATTAAGAGACCAACTTTAAATCACCAGATGTTTTAGGTTCAGATATCGTACCATATGTATATTGAGTATAACTCTGATCTGGTGACATTAGTAATGGAAGTGTAACAGGTATGCTGTTATCAAAGGATGTTGTAGAGATGACCTTAAATAGACTTTAATAGGAACTGAAAGGATTTTGCCATACACTGAAAGCAATTATATTTCACAAAATGTTTTCCTGGTTGGACATATACCATTAACTAGTCTTGTACTGGGCATTGCTGTGTATTCTTCTATCTGTTATTATCATTTTCTACAGCTGATGTCACTGGATATACTGACAGAGGATACCAACTCTGTAGTGGATTTGGACAGTCTTCTGAGGTCCTACAGTCAGGCTTTACAACAGGAGCTTGTTATCACTGATATGGTAAGGTTCATTCATGAGATGTTAATTGTTAGCTCTCCTGGCTCGAAGGGCAAAGTGAGCATATGCCGGGTTCATCTGTCTGTCCATCTTCCGCCATTAACTTTTTCTTTTAAACAACTTCTCAATGACCAATAAACCAACAAAATTTGCGAAAGGAAATGACTTTGACTTATATTCAAGGTCACAGGAGTCAAATTTGTTTAAACTTTTAAACAAATCCTCCTCATGAACTCATAGGCCTAGAGGCATGATATTTGGATGGTTTGTTCCTAAGATAGAGCCCAACAAAGTTAGTGAAAATAAATGACCTAGAATTATGTTCAAGGTCACTGGGGTCAAATTTGTTAAAACCTTTATACAACTTCAGCCCTACAGACATTATATTTGATTGGTATATATATATATATATATATATACACCAGGTGAGCGCTTTAGGCCCATTGGGCCTCTTGTTCAAGATTTCTAGACATCTGTTGATGTATTTAAGGATTGCAAAATTTTGAGAATATTTCGGTATATATTGTAATATCTGGACAAGTTAGATATGACTGAAGGTGGTCCTAACTTAAGTTTAGACCTGTGCTACAGTAAAGAGGGCCATCATAGGCTATCTGAAAATGTTGTTACTGCAGAAAGTCGTTGCTTTTAACAAACTTTTTATTTTTAACAAAAGGTCATAAAGACCAGACTTTCACCAGTGTTGTGTTTGGGCTGTAAATGTTAGACACTACAGTATACAAAGATGGCAATTTGACTACAGGTGTCTTGTTTTGCCTTTGTAGGAACACAGCTCAGATGCCAACATGGTTGCCACGATAATAGCTGCTATATTAAAAGAATTAAGAGGGGAAATGAAGACGCTAGAAAATTTGAAAGGAGTTGCCTCTGACTTCACAAGTTTGAAGTCTTCCATTGAACCATGGCTTGAAGCAAGGCCAAACTTAGAAAGCATCACAGAGAGAAGGAAGGCAATCCGCAGCCTCAAGTCTAAACTGCGACACAAGGAGGCTGACCGACAAGATCTAGAGGAGGTAAGAACATGGAGACTTCAATACAAGAGTTGCAAGTCTTTTTAGTGGAGGAGGATACTTTTAAGATCAGAAGAAATAACCAGGATAATATTTAAGGTTTCAATTTTTAAACTGTTCAGAAACAAACATCCTGAAGTGATACATTTGGGCTGGCATGGAGAACTCCTTTTATATGAAAAGGAAAAAACTTGGTCTTTATTGAAGGTCACAGACCATCTTTTAAATACTTTCTTGCAACTAATGAAGAATTTAATAGTAAAATGATATTTGATTGGAAACTTTTTTTTTTGGAACGTTACCTGAAACAGTAAAACCTTTTGATTTACGTATTGATTTCTACCAAGTTTCCTGCAGAAACAACTTTTCAAGGTTAAGGAGTTATGTTAATTAGTAAAGTTTTCTGAAAGATCAATAAGAACTAATTATAACATTGAATATACAGCTTGATAGGATACAACTTTGGATAATTTCTGTTTTTGGTGAATTAAACATGTTAATGTTTTCTAATAAAAAAAATTTGAGAGAAAAGTTTCTGCTTGTTTCCTATATGTAAATTGACTTTCAGTTTATTTGAAGGTTTACAGATGTGAAATGTATTTGGAGAAAAAAGCTACTGGGTCCATTTTTAATAAGAAATCTCAACATTATGGGATATTTATAGGATATATTGTGAAATTTCAGTGGTATGGTATAAAAAAAGTCAAGTAAAATGTGTTTAAATGTAACAGACTCAAATTTTAGCTTGTATGCTTGATACCTGATGTCTTTCCCACCTGACTTTATAGAGTGGTGATGGCACTGAAGAAGAGATGGCAGAGATACAGTTGGAAGTGTCTGAATTGAAATCTAAGCTACACAAAGAACTGCTTTCTATGGATGACCTATTGGTTTGTAATTCTCAAACTTTGGAGTGTACTAGTAGAATTTCCTTATCATCCTTATCAGTAACTAATCATGACGCTAGTTCCTTTTTTTTATGTCCCTGCCATAAATTTGGCTGAGGTTATATTTGTTTTGTCAGTCTTTGACCCTTTGGAAAGACTTCATTTGTCCAGTCAATTTTTCGCACATTGGAAAGACCTCTTGTATTGATGTTTTTGAGGATTGGTTTTGGATGTTTAGAGTTTGTGAATGAAAACTGAATTATTTTGACTGTTTGATGTTTTTCATATTAGTATTAGCCCTAAAAGCAAGTGATGTTTTAGGGGATATAAAACATAATGAATCTCCTTCTGGTCACTTCCTCAGTAATAATCCTTTTATAAAGTTACAAATTTACATTGCAAATTTGCAATTGAGTTATTGGAAATTTCATCTTAAAGTACAGGTATTTATTTGCCTTTCCAGTTAGTTCATAAAAAGTGACTTCATCAGAGATACATACTTTCTTTTTCTGGTTTGATAAGTGTGATATTGTGTTTCTTACATTGTCAGGCCAGCTTAGCTGTCAATGCAGATGAGCACTTCCCAGAGTTGAGCCTGCAACACCAAGACATTGGCATTGACATTCAACTGGTGTGTGTTAATGAAAATTAATGAAAGTTAATGCTCATGCAGTCCTTAGTAGTAATCCGTTTATTCCATGGTGCAGCATCGATCTTTCAATTATTTTTAATGCTATTTAATGCCAAAATCTTGCTTGAATTTTGACCAGATACAAACTGGTGTATTAATGGATAAAGAAGACACTATTAGTTTTGCTAATGCAGATTTGAAACCTTCCTCTGAATGAGAATGTTTTGCCAAGATTGCTGAAAAATAATTGAGTGAGCGATGCAGGTCCTCTGTGCCTCTTTTATTAAAATGCCTTTTATTGTTTTGAGATGTTATGTTGCAACTGTGTTTCGCTTTATATATTGATTTTCATGCTGGTTTATTGACTTTTAACAGTTATTTTACAGGGCATATCATTGGCAAAACTGGAAACTTTTTTCAGATAATTTTCGCTCTTTAAGATTTCTCTTGAATTTCTATTATATTTGACAGCTTAATGTAATGTGCCTTAGATGCTGAAATGTTGTCACTTAAATCACTGGTGAAATGCCCTGTTGACTTAATGCCTCACCATCAACAAAATTCAGTTGAAATTTTTAACAATCCTTTCACCTAGCTATTTACGTAAAGTGATGTAATTTGCCTTACGAAAGACATAATTCTTTTTTATTACTTCCACAGTGTTTGAGATTATAAATAGTCTGCTATAACCAGTTTTAGGGATACATGATCAAGGAATAACTATATATATATAGAGCTTGTTGACACTTGTATACAAAAAATTTAACTTATTCAATATTCACTTCCTTGAAAGTAATCATATACATTTGATAGCAAATTGATTAAATAACTTGTGGTACTTGTCTGTATTGGAGATGTATCAGTTCTTGGTTAAGAGGAAACTAGAAAATAAAAAACATGTTTTGGTCAGATAGGTAACCTAATTGTTTGTCAGGATTGAACAGAGATAAAGTTGCCCAAGACTTGGAGATTATTTTGAGATTGTTAGGTACCCTGTCATATATCAGTAAAAAGAAGATGGTTAAATTTCGAGAGTCCCGCGTCTGTTAAATGTTTTATGTAAATCAGGACTGGATTTAAGCCAGCTGTGGCCTCTGTAGATATCTTTATCTGAGTTTGTACTATTGGTAGGTATTGAACTTACTGCAGTTGGCTTAATAGCTGAAATTGAAGACCGATACAAATTGACTTACACAATTTAGATTCATTGAGAGAATTGATGAGAAATTGATATTAATGCTCATGATTATGTGATCAATGCAGTGATTTTGCCAATATAAACAATAAAATGTGTGAAACACAGTCTTTAAATGTTTTCGTAGAAATTTGACTTAGCTCCTTTTAATCATTATGAACATAATATAATACTGGTACTTATTTTTTTTTTAAAAACTTATTAAAAAGGTTGAAACTAGACATCAGACGATTTAATGGTGACTGAAGTATTCTAGCAATACATCTTTATGGACAATGTTCCTGTTTGTCAGATATTTGGAACTCAGATATTTGATTTTCCTGTTGGACTCCTTCAAATTTTTAGAAACCACATTACCTTAACAGGGGTCCGAAATTGTCTCGGACAACCAGATTTATCTTTATGAGTCGTTCATCAGGCCGAGTACTTCTTTCCAATGATATTAATGTTACAACTTAAATTTCAATAAAAATGTAAAGAAAATTTAAAACCAAGAAACGTGTTTACGGTACTTTAAAAACAAAATATTCCAGTCTGCTCTCTAACTTTCGATTACACCGGAACTCCCATGACGTCAAATATGGCATTCGGAATACCTTAGTCATTTTCCTGCGGTCATACTGATGTCAGCACCTAGTCAGTCGGATGTAAACAAACACTACGACTAGGCCTAAGTCGAGCACAATGTCTGACGCAAAGCAGCCATCACTGCATAGTTTTTCCACTAAAACTTCAAATAAAAATAGAAAAAAAAAGTCACGTTTCATCCTCGCTGATTAAGTCGCAATTTCTTTGCTGAATTTGGCCAAGTAAATTTCCAATCTGAACAAGTAAACTTTTCATCCCACCAGTCCTGTGCCTAGTGGTTTAAAATAATTTTCCAAACCCCTGCTTTATGAGATGTAAAATTTTAAAAATGGTGATACTTGTTTGAAAATCCTACAAACATTTCTGGTAACTGCATCCAGGTTTTGTTTTAGCTGCAATTGTATGATTGAGTGTGAGGGAGCAAAATGAGTTAAGTGTTTGCATGAATAAACTATGATGTAATTATGATTGGTTGGTTTTATTGGTTCACTTATATAAATAATAAACCTATATAATTACTTTGCCCGAAATCACATTAAGAAAATTATTTGAATGGAATGAGACATTGAATTTTGGACACGAACAGCTAAATTGAATGTCAATTATTCATACAAAATACTGACATCTATTTTCAGGATTTTGGATATATGAAAAGAAAAATGACTGGTATTATGTAGAAGTCTACAACTCTGTTTCAGTTTTGACCAAAAACTGGTCTATAACATCCTTGTGTGAATGAGTCTAAATTTAGTTGATAAAGTTAGGCAAACCAAAAACTAGTGAAAGCAGGTGAAAACATTCAGAATAAAAGTTTAGTCATTTTCCATTTCAATAATGGCATTTAGTGTACATTGAATACAAGAGAGTATAATAGGTATACTAAACTTTTGTGTTCTCTTCATATTTTTTAGGGATATGGCGGCCTTGTAAAACTTGGTCGTGACATTGAACACTACACTTTGAAGCAGACATCAAGGACTGGCATGTATTCTAGTGTATTTGTGAACAAACCAGTCTACATTCAGGTAAAACATCTATAATAGAAGTAAAACTTTACAGATATCAACATTGGCCAAGGTTAATATAGATTTTAATGAACCATAAGGTTATGATTCTGATTAAATACTGTGATGCCTCAGTCATTCTATAACTACACCATGACCTTTACGTTTGCATATGGTTAGGAGAATGATCCATTTTGATTTTTAACACATGAAAGGTTTCAGAGGTGGGACATGACCTACATTTTTCTAGTTACACATTTTTAACCCATCACCAGCTGTCTGTTCTGTCAATCGCCCTTAAACAATCCTTGTTGCCACTATCTCTTTGAGAAGTACTCCATGGAGCTTTCTCAAATTTCCTGTGTAGGTTCCCCTTGATCTCTTATTGTGCCTATTTGATTTTGACACTGATCTTCAGTTTTCCTGTTAAATTTTGGGATTGATTAGATGGCAGACGGATATCCATCTTGGATTTTGGCAATAAAAGTTTGTTATTGCTATTTCTCGAGCAGTTCTAGAAATATCTTTCTCAAATTATTTTCCACATGTTGTGCTATTTTGATTTAGAATAGAATGCCAAAAAGCATTCATCTTGGATTTTGCAGTTAAGGTTATTATTGCTAACTCTTAAGGAAAAGAAGGGAAAAGATCCAATTTTTAAAGAAATAAGGTCAAACTATGGTGGGTTTGGAATCCTTCTGGAATCTCTTCTATGCTTTCTTGGCATAACATTAGACAACTAGTTTTCTCCAAATATTGTTAATTTAGGATGTGTATTTTACAAGTACTACATTGCTTAAATCAATTAAAATTTTGATGTTTAAGTGGCGTATAACCAACAGATTATGTTGGTCACAAAGTCTGATCATTAAATTTGTTTTAATTGTATGTGAAAGGTTTGTTTTATGTTATAGGAGCTTCACATCAATGATGATGATCATGTAAACAAGGAAGAGTTTGTACAACACATTATAGCCTATGCTGATGTGGCGAGCAACTGTGATTTCTTGATGAAGTTAGATGGGATATTCTTTTCAAAGGTAGGTAGAAGTAGCATTTCCAACACTTGTTTTAATCTAATACTGTAGATGGGAAATGCTGAAAATAACATAAATGATTTATTAAGATCTATGACATAGAATTGATATAATTCTGTGATGCTATAGAAAAGCTTTAGCTGACCTTTTCTCTCTGTAGAATGAACGTTCAGCATACATCCAGATGGAATGGAATGACTTACAACTTCTACATGATCTGATGAAGAAAGAAACAATGACAGACCAGGTAAGAAAAAGTACAGTTCATATTAATGTAACCAGGATCCTTATTGACAAAAGATACCTACAGGAATTAAACTGAATTATCATATTGGACTCCTAACATTTTCTGGTCTGTATTGGTTCTCCTTGGTCCCTACTTGTGTCCCTTATTGATTTTGAAACTACTCAGAGGAACAAAATGGCCAACATGTGGCCATCTTGGATTTTGCTGATGAAAATTTGTTATCTTATTTCTTGATTGGTATTGGATTGATGTTTCTAAAATGTTGTATGTAGGTTCCCTTTTTCCCTGATCAAACTGATAAGAAAATCAAAGTTGCCTACATCTGACCATTTTGGATTTGGCAATTGAAGACTATTTTGCTATTTCATAGAGGAATTTTCAAATTTCACATAGTTAATAGCAAGGACAGAGGAAAGAAGAGAAACATCAAAGTTTTAAAGATGAAACAAAGACCAAACAATGATGGGTGCCAAGATCTCTGGGATCTCTGAGGAGTTTTTAGAGTTTTTGCTTTTGTCAAGCAATAATATGAGCTCTTGTATGTAGATATACTCCTTTCAACACTTTGACTAAAGCATACAGTAAATCCTGCCCATACGGATCTTATTGTATGCTACTGATAGTGGTGATTCTCAACTTGTCAGTCCAAATGTGTAGAAATTTGGGGCCACTTGGAAAGAAAAGGCATTGCCAATTTTTGTTTTTTTCTTCTTTTATCAAACACAAATAATAAGATAATTTGTGCAGCAGTCAGTAAATGGGTCAATTGAATGTTTCAGTCAGCTTAACTTTCATCAACCAGGAATTTAAGAAAACATTTTGAGAATGTTAATAGGTTCAGTGTTTTTATTTGTTTCAAAATGTTTTCATGATGTCAGTGATGTGTAAGTCCCATTGAAATGAAACAACTCAAATCAAGCCAAATTGCATTGTGGGAATGTTGTTCAGTCCTCTGTTGGTATCTGTGTATAGAAAAAAAAACCTGTTCTGAAGTATGTGAATTGTCAATTGATATGAAGAGCAGTGAGAGTGATGGTCAGATTTTGCATTATTGATATAAGCATTTAAGGTTTAACCACAATCCTTATGTGCCAGATTGACCCAGCAGTATGTTAAATTGCACCTAATAACCAAGGGGACATTTGTCCAATAGCCTGGCCTTAATTGAACACTGTTTGCTGATATATCTCAGAGTTCTTTTGTTTTCTAAGTATACATGCATGCATGAGCTTAAAGGTCTCGGGATTCTGTTGAGTTTAAGAGTTTACTGAATTGACATTAGTCATGCTGTGAAATAAAGCAAGGGAGGGAGAATGTATTCTATGAATATTTAATACAGAGATGAAGCCATAATAATAGTGAGTTGATGCAAAGTTGCATTTTACTGCTTGCAAACATTAAGAAACTATCTAATTTTATGAAATTCTTCTTATCTCTTGTTAAAGTTAATTATCATGATGGAAAACCAGTTTTTTGTGTTTAATTTGATCTGAAGTGAAAAATATAATAAAGTTATCTTCCATTTGACTTCACTCTCATTAATGTGCATTATAATGTGTTCTATTGAAGGCCAAGCAGAGAGTGTATGAAGGAGTAACCGAAGGCTTGATGCATTTACACAGCAAGGGCTTCGTCCATGGGGAGATAAATCCATCTAACATAGGTGTCAAACCAGACGGCTCTGCTATCTTACTGCCTCCAGACTTTTCAAGATCTTTGGTAAGATTTAGGAGATTTGTGACAATAGCTGATATTTTCCATTCTTAGGGTGACCTACTGCTATAACCTTTGTCTGCATTGTGCGTTGGTTAGCATCCTTAGACTAAGGTCAACTGAAATAATTAATTATACAGTCCCCACCCAATAATGAGGGGAGGGGGATGCAAAAGTGTCAAATTGACTGAAATTTTCAAAAATTGTCTTCTGAACAATTTCAAATTTCAAAAATCTTCTTCTCAACACCCAGATATGGTAGAATCAAATGCTATTCACAGATGGAAGCATCATAGATGCTTTACCAAAATTGTGAATTTCATGGCCCCAGGGTCTCACATTTTTCTTTGGGAAGGGGTGAGTGGGTAAAGTTTGTTATAGTTTATATAAGAAAAATATTCTCTTTTTTTTGGTATAATTTGCTTAATTTCAGTTGGAAATAAGTATAGGATGACAATTTTGATGGTATGCATATATTGACAATGGCTTACTGTCATCAATGTTTCTTTTTCATGACACTTGAAAGCTACTTACCCTTTACCTGTATATTCAATATTGCTTATCTCAGATGACAGTCAAAGCCACTATGCCTCCTGTTATTATGCCCCCTAGAAATCAGGATTTGGAAGGGGAGGGGGTGAGGGGTGGCTTGTGTGAGGGATAATCTCCATTGTAGTTACATATTGACCTTTGTAACAGTTGGGTTCTGTGAGGGATATTCTCTATCATCGTTACATATTGATTTTTGTTTCAGTTGGATCGTGTGAGGAAGAGATATGTCACAGAGAATGGGTTGACATTCATGCCAATAGAAATGGTTACTTTTGCCCAGCAAGGTTTGACCCCTCAAGTGTCCACTAGCTGTGACCTGTACAACCATGGTCTCCTCCTGCTGTGGGTAAGTTTTAAGTCATTCCCCTTCAGCTTGTTGTGACTATAATTGAGTTGAGACCAAAGTAAGAATGTCCAAACTACAAATTCTTACTTTCTGAAAGTGGTCAATAAAAAATTATGGATTTAAGACATATCTTTTACCACTAACTTAAGGCTTCCTGTAAAACCATAAATTTTCAAGCCGGATTCAGTTTCATAGATTTTGTGAGTACACTTGATCCACAAATTCATAAGTCTGTGAAAATGTAAAAATAGGTACTAGTAGATTATTGGGCATAATTCGTCCACAAAGTCAAGCTTTTTAGGTCACCTGACCATTAGTCATGGTAACCTATACGAGATCCTTGTTTGCTGGGAAGCGATTTTGATGAACTTTGGTATGCAGCCTTATATTTGTAAGATCTTGCAGGAGTTTGATTATGGGACTTATTCAATAATAATTTAAAGAGTTATGGCCCTTTTTATTGTATTATCATCAGACTTTATGAACATGATAACTTCAGTCAATATGAAGCTATTTTGATAAATTTTGGTATGCAGACTTACGTAAATAAGAACAGGGGCTGATTTGATGTACCTTGTAGAGTTATGGATCCTTCATATCTTGTTCATATTTGCTAGAAGACATTATGTAAAACAACTTAATAGTTTTACCCCAGACAATGAACCTGCCCTAAAAACAAAACGGAGGACAATTTGACATGTTTATACAATAACAATGTCACTACTTTGGTTGAAAACATCAAGCAACATTTTTCAACACCCAAGATATCAATGGTGTGTAATTCTGTTGCTTCACAACTCCATATGTATTGGACTGATCAGGCAATAATGCCGTAAACCTACTTTGACATATGTTCAGTGTTTCCAAAAACAGTAAGTGCCATTGCAAATTGTGAGTACTTGGCTTTATCAGGAGGTTTAGGAGATCTCAATTATTATTTCAGTGCTTGTTCAAAATTGACATGAATTTACGGACTACATTGCTATAATTCTACAAAAGAAACGTTGCTTATGTTTATGTGAATATCTGCAGTGTTCCAGATACTTGGTTGCCTTGTTTTCGATGTTTCATAATTAATTGAAATGAAACTCAACGACATTAAATATGGAAATATGTTTTAATTATTTGATCACCTTTACAGTATTGTATACAAACAGTCTTTGATATGGAACCAGTTTTTTCCTTATATATTCTATGTAATCCAACATCTGATAATGTCACTTATTTTCATGTGGGCAACGCTTAATATCCCTTTATTTTGATGACATCACAAAAAACACAGGTAAATATTTTAAATGAGGACTTGTGTTATGGATTCATGCTTGAAGCGCTATATGTGTTTCAAGAAAACATGATATTAACTGGAAACAGGGGTGTTCAATTCCCCTAGCCAGACACCTGGGGTTAGTGATTTTCAGGTCAGGGCTAGCTGTTCCAAGACACTAACTAGCCCACGGGCTAGTGAATTTTTTCTGTTCTTAGTCTGCATTAAAAATCTGTACACATTGGTCAGAGTAGTAAAATTTTACAACCCTAGGTGGTTTCCATCGGTCCATCAAGATTTTCAAATATAAAGAAAACCATCGTCAAGGTGTATTAAACACTTGGTTATGTCATAGATGGATTTAAGAATTCAAGCCTAGTAGCAACCCAGATGTAAATGTGAATTTACTGACATGTAAACTAGCTTAAGAATTGCAGGAATGATTTAGATAAGAATTGTAATATAAAGAGACAGTAAGTGAACATGTCAATGATGGTTTAATAGGGTTCTTAATTATCAATTAAGCAAATCCTGATGCTGTTGAAATTAAAACAAGATCGTTCATGCTTAGTGCTGCTGCTCTGATAGGTGTTACATCACACAAAACGTGTTCTCGTCAAAATAAGCCACTGTTGGCTTTCCAGATAATATAAGGAAATATTTTAGTTACATGAAGATTTGTATATTTGACAGATGTTTGCAACATCATCTTCTGAAATATACATTTCGCAGTAATTTTGTTGGCTTTATATTTCAAATATTGCAAATCTATAAATAAAAACCGTCAATGTTACACATTTCCCTATGAGAAATATAGGAGTAACAATTTCATTGATATTTTAGCACCAATAGTTCAGATCCAATGTATTCTTTGTTGCCTGAACGATTTCCCACTGGAAATGATATGGGAGAATAAATTACACACATCTAAAAAGTAGAAGTCAGTGTGACTTGCTAAACCTGTGGTATACATAAACAATGTATATCAATTGATTTCCTTCATGTTAATTGTCAACTCATTGCACAGAAACTAGACAAACCATATCATTTATACATTTTAATTCTTTATTGAATAACACAGATGGGATTAATTCTATTGAGGAAATGGTAAATTAAAGTAAATGAAGGACAGCATTTAGCGTTAATTGAAAAATTCCAAAAGTGGGACTAGTAGTTTTGATCAGGGCTATTGAGGAAAAGTGGTTCATTGGCCCTTTGGCTAATGGAAGATTTTCAGAATTGAACACCCCGCAGAAAGTGACATTGACAAATGTGACATTAAGTGGGTTCCACTGGTAGTAGCCTGTAGCATTAAGGACATGTCCTCATCAAATACAAGCTAGTCCAGTGAACACAATTCCTAAAGAGAAAAAATATCTGTTCACTTATATAGAACTCTAGTTAATGTAAAGAAAATTTTGTTTGCATATTAACGGTGAATGATTATCGTATGTTTTCTATTACCAGTTGCACAATCCTCAGGGATCTGTCGAACTTCAGCATGATGGATCTCCCAAACTCATGAGCATGAGGCTGGTAAGTAATAACTACTTTTGGTGAGCTTTTCAAATGCCCTGCATCTCTTGTCTGTAATCCAAATTTGGTTTTGACAGTGAAATTTTGTTATCTCGGTCTCTTGAAAAGTCCAGGATGGATCGTTTCTAGATTTCCCTTGTTTCTCAGAGAATAAGATAGTCATAAAGTCTAAAATGTTATGCAGTCTTTCATTGTTTGTTCACCTGGCCCAAAAGGCCAAGTGAGCTTATGCCAAGGCACAGCATCCATCCTCCGTTGTTCAGCAAAGATGATCAATTGCTACCATGTATCATCCATTGTCGTCCACCTGCAGACTTTTCCTTTAAAAATCTACTCCTGATTAATGCCTGGATGGGTTTCAAACAAATTTTGTCTGTAAAATTAGGGAGATTAAAACGACTTCACTGTTCACATTAAAGAAAAATCTTAGTTTGTGGCAAATTCAAAAATGCAAGAGGAGTTTCAATTCATTCTTTTAATGATAACTTTTTCTTTAGAGCATTGACGATATGTCTCTACTTGCTACAGTGGACTAAACAAAACCAGTTGTATTCAGTTTCAGAATGTTTATTTTGAGTCTGAAAAGATCACTCTTTTCTTTACTTTCTTAAAATTTTCGAACGCAGACTTGAAATTAAAGCTATCCTTGTCCTTCCCCTCAGTGCACACCCTGAGGAGCATGTCTTGTGTCTCGGGAAGCAGTAGCTTTGATGTTCTGAATGCTAAATCCTGGTTCACAATCGGAAGTATGAGCTGGTCAAGTTAAAGCGTCAGATTTGGACATTCGTCCCTGTGATATTTTGAAATCAGGTTCCACGGTTGATTCATGTTGTCTCGTGGATACATTTGAGTCACAACTCGTGCTAAAAGCCAAGGATATAATCTCCGCCATTTTTCTTGGAAGGTTCTGCTACTTATAGTGGCTGATTTTTCTTTGTTGTCACTGTTATGATTGTTCGCACCATTCGAGAAAAAGTTGGACAACAACGACTGATCATTTCTTTTTCTTTCAGCCGCCATGCTTTCGCTACAGTTAATTGTAGCCAATGCACGAAAACGCTTAATTTACGTTTCGGGTCGCCAACATTACAAGCGCACTAAAGCTGTAGATCGGTTTTGGTGATTACTCTATAGAAAAGTCTAGAAGTATTCCAAACAAATCATTCCAAAACAATGTACTTTCAATTTTGTCCCAAAACGAGTTGGACACTTTAAGATGAAACGGGGTTGGTCAATTGTCATATGAGATAGAAAAAAATTTGGTCATTTTTTAATTGAATCGGTCAATGACCGACACCTATCAGAATCACTGTGTGGGACTTCTTATGTAATACACACACATAATGCAGTTTTGCATCTGAAACTTTTTATGAACAAATGTAAGAATATGAAAACTTCAGATTTTGATGCATATTTTAGGTGTCATGGTGACCAATAGTAATACCACCTTTGCATCTGTAAAACTTTTCAACATTTTCTTCTCAAAATCCCTGAAACTATTTCAATCAAATATTGCAGTAACCTTTCCTGGCCCAAGATGAACCAGAATAGTGAATTATTTGGTCCCTGCCCCACAGGGGCCTGAGGTGCATGGCCAAAAGGTGGTAGAATCAAATACTTTTCATGGATGGAAGCATCTTAACGTGCTTTACCAAAATGTGTCTTACATTTCTCCCAGGGGAGGAGGTTAACTTAACTATATTTTTCATAGAAAATTACCATTTTTGAGCATAAAGTTGTTTATTTCCCTTTGGAAATAACTTTGTAAGAATTATTAGTATAGGGTGACAGTTTTGATGTTATGCATGTGTCGACACTGACTTACTGTCATTAATGTCACCATTTCTTTCTCATGCCACTTGAAAGCTAATTACCTTTTTACCATTATATTCAATATTGCTTTTCTCTGGTGACCGTCAAGACTGCTAGGACCTTTTGTTTATAAAAGATGGATAGATCTTAATTGTTAGGAAAGAATAATTGATGAGGTTTAATTTTATAGGACCCCACTGTGATGGAGTTGTTGTACAGTCAACTATTTCCAGTCTGTGACAAGAGACTTCCGGTTAAACAAATACTCAAATCACGATACCTCACCCAAGTGATTCTACAAACACCAGATGTTGCTCCCAGGTAAAATTTCCACTTTCATTAATAATAAGGCGCTATTATAGATTAATCACAAAGTGAAACAACTATTGTTGTGAAGTTGAGGAAATTAATATTGTGTGAAAACACGATTTTCAGAAAAAAAAAATTCTGGAAAGAGCATACATTGTTTGTGGAATGAAATAAAATTGATGAAATGCTATTTGTAGGTCAGAGGCTGTATGTGAAAACGAAGAACAAATATTGAATGAGAGCATGGACAATATGCCTACTGTAGAGTCATCAGTACTGGTAGGTGGCTCTGAAGCTGAGTTCAACAGTTCAGGACAACATCAGCTTGTGGAGGACACCATGTCCAACATTGGGGTATTTGACTTCAACAATATGACAGCCATCAGTAATTCAGACATTTCCACTGAACAGGTTTTAGAACTGATACCTGAGAACACTTCTGGTGTGGACCAGCTGGCTAGGGATTTAGCAAGCATAAGTATGCCAGCTTGTCAGACAGATTTGTCTGGCCTGGGTGGTAATACAGGACTCGGCGGTGGTCCTCTGTCTAGTGTAGCAAGTGGAGAGGGTGTCGAGGACAACACCAGTGATCTGGCAACCACAGATAGTGGTAGTGAAGTTTGTGTAATAGACAATGAGCAAGTTGAAGACAAACAAGCCGAGAGCAATGAGACCAGTTGTGTGGTGACACAAACTGCAATAGAGGATAAGGAGATCCAAGACCAGAAACCGTCAGTGTCCGAGTCTCCACCCAGTACTGAAAAAAACAGCTCACTCAGTGATCTAGAATGTCAGTAAAATCTGTGATTATTATTTTGTTTATGATTTAGATAATACAGACAGTGTAGTTCTATTTTTAGTTTTGACAGTATGTATGGGTTGCACAAGATGATGTGGATGCTGATATTTTTGGCTAAGTGTACAGAAGTAATATTTGTGATGTGAGAGAGACTTCTTTTTATTATCGACTTTCTGGACATATCAATATATAATCATGTAGCTAACACAATAATACGTAGATGTATTGAATCTTATTTTGTTATGAAATCATTCATTTAAATTAGTATTTTTTTTCCATTATTATGCTCCCCGAAAAATTTTCAAAGCATAAAGTGGCCACCTTGTCTGCCCCTCCTTTCATATCCGGAGCAGAACTTTTCCCACAATTAAGCAAGGATCATGAAACTTGGGTGTATACATAGGTCATACTAAGGAGATGTGCATTGTACCAAATTCTGGGCCCTTAACCCTTAATTACAGGTTACTGCCCTTTGTTAAAATTTCATGTCCGGAGTATAACATTTCTTGTGTAAACACTAGGATGACGAAACTTGGTGTATACATGATTCAGACAAAGACGATATGCAGTGAAATTAGGGCCTGCAACCCCTTAATTACAGAGTTATTGCTCTTCGTTGAAAATTTTAATGCTAGAGCAAAACTTTAAATTGCTGGCATTTAAACTAGAATAATGAAACTTTATGGGGTATATTGATCATACTAAGACAATGAGACAGTCATTGTTACAAATAGCTTGTCCAGAGCATTCGTTTGTTTGTATTTACGGTAGGATAATGAAACTTGGTGTATACATTGATCATACGAAGACAATGTGCACTGTACTAGTGTTAGGGCCTGTAGCCTCTTAATTGCATTGTTAAATTTTTTTGTCTGGAGCATTACCTTGCCTGCATTTAAACTAGGATATTGAAACGTAATATATACATCAGACATACCAAAGCAAGGTGCAGTGTAGCAATGTCAGGGCCCATGACCCCTCCGTACTGAGTTATTGCTTAATTGTTAAAATTTTGTGTCATGATGCATTCAAACTAGGAGCATGAATCGTGGTGTATATGTTGGTCATACTAACAGAATGTGCTGTATACCAAATTTGTGGGCCTTTAACCTCTTTACAGAATTATTGCCCTTTAGTACAACTTTGTGTTTGATAAAGTTGTTTTCTGGGAGTATTCATCAGTGTCACTTATACTCTTGTTTTGTTTTTAATGTGAAATAGATTAGGCAGCAGCCAAAGATGAAATATTTCTCATGCATATTACTTATGAATATGAATTTCTTCAGATGAATATTAAATATTCAAAACCGCAAAATGAATGATGTCATAGCACTTGTGCACTTCATATATAAGCCATACATATTAATCTTATCATCGCATGCTTTGTGCACATTTTTCTATATATAAGCCATTCATATTAATCACATCATCACATGCTTTGTGCACTTTTTGTCTGCTGGGCACTTTTCTGACCTTGTTTAACATAACACAGCTGTTCAGAGATTGATTTAATTTCACTCTTGCATCAGAGTTCCTACAATTTTACAAGTCATACCAAGATATCCTTCTATATAATGATTTGATTTAAAATGCATGGGATGTTAAAAGTATCATTTTATGAAGCAATTATTGATATTTTTTAAAATTCCATGCCATTGAAAATGGTTTCAGGTTTTAATACTTATGATATGTTGCCACCCATTCGTGTATTCAGAAAAAAGTCATGGGTGACACATTTCCAAACTTTTTAGATTGATAATTTCAAATGAACATCTAGATTGATAATTTTGTATTCATAATATCAGAGACCAGTAATATTGTATAAGCCTTAGATATTAATATTCCATGTATGATTCATCTCTGGACAGCTGTAACTGCTAGTCATGCTTGCTTACTGTGTCGTGATAACATTCTCTTCATTTAACTTTACAGTGGTGACATCATCATTTGCCAGTCCAAACTCATTTCTTCGCCAAGATACAAGCTCAAGGTCACCATTACATAGACTACTCAAAATTGCTGCATCAAAGGAGAACCTTTGAGTTGACTTTCAGCACCAGAGCATTAGATTCATTTTCTATTTGATAACAAACTTCCTGTTGAACGAGATTAGCATTTATATCATGTAAGGCAGGTCACTACCAAGTTGTTGTTGGTATCGATATATAAATTTTCTTGATTTTACAATATGATTGATTTGTCAGTTTTTTTCAATTACCCTGTGTCGGTGGTTCGCAGTTTGTCAGTAAACAATTTTTGTTCTTACTATTTCTTGAGAAGAACTGGATGGAGCTCTCTCAAATTTCATACGTAGCTTTTCCTTGGTCCCTATTTATGTCTAATGATTTTAAGACTGATCATAAAGAGAAAATGGCTGACAGGCAGCCTTCGTAGGTGTTGACAAAGACAGTTTTTTTTTCGTCATTTGTTGAATCGATCTTTTTCAAATTTCATTCATAAGTTCCCCTTGTTCCTTAAAAAAAAAGAAAAAGAAAAATAGTCAACTGGCAGCCATCTTGTATTCCAATATTGAAAGTTTGTTATTGCTATTTATTGAATATTACTGGATGGACCTTTCTCAAATTTCATCTGGGGGTTCCCCTTTCTTCCTTGTTGTGCCTGTTTGAGTTTAGGACTGATCTAAAGAAAAAAGATTGCTGCCATTGTTGATTTAAACAGTGAAAACTTGTCACTTTTTGTGAGAAGTCCTAGATGGATCGTTATTAAATTTCATTTATAGCCATCTTGGGTTTTGACAAAGAAAGTTTGATTTCGCTATTTGTTGAACTTAGTAGATCTCTCTCAAATTTTATATGTAGGGACTCCTTGGTCTCTTGTTATACCCATTCAGTTTTGGTTGTAATCTGAAGAGGAAAGAAGGGAAAAAATCCAAGGAACAAATAAAGATAAAACAATTGGAGTGCCAAGATCCTTCTAGGGTCTCTTGATTTTTTTCTACACTGTAGGATACTGTGTGGTTAGTTTGTATTGCTTGGCAAGTTTTATTCAGCATTGCTACTTGGTTCTTAATAACATAACATGGCACATTAACAAGAATTTTGGTAATCCAATGTGGAATGCATATAAGTTAGCTTCCTAAAAAGATGTTACAAGGGGATGGGGCATTTATCATTGATCAGAAGTTGATCACCTTAGTTGATGCTAGACATAGGATACTTGGGAGTGTAAATGATTTGAATACTTGAAATGTATGTTTCCTGGTTTGAAATATTCAGATATTTACATTGACACTTAAGAATCCATGTTAAATATTCTAGTGTTGGGCAATAACACTAACTGTTAGTAAATGTTAGTCAGTAAATGAAGTCTGATCTGACATTGTTACAATAAGCATGGGTCTATCACTGATTAATAGTCTTCATGCCTTTTGAATAGCAATAACGTTCAAAATGTAAAGAGAATATACAAGTTGAACAAGTTCTTCCAAAATAGCAATAAGAAATGGCATTAGTGTTTAGAGTGATGGCTCCTGTTGTACAAGCCCAGTGCTCCAGATAACTTTTGGACATGTGGGGTTTTCACTCCTACCTTTATAAATTGAGGGGTTTTTTCACCCCTGCCTTCAACAAGTGTATGGGTTTTTCCATATTAGGGTAACACTGAATTTGTAAACATTTTTGACAGCGCCATATTTGCTATGCGACTGGTTTATAATCACGATCAAGAAAGCGCTTGTTACGAGTTTCGTTTACTTAATAAGTGTCTGTTTGACTTAGATTATTGAGTTTTCTAACTACGTAATATTGGAGCCGGACATTGACCCAGAGTCCGGATTTCGCACGGGGTAATGACGCAAATCTTATTTTTTTCCTAGCGTGAAATTAGAAATATTGTGCGTGAAAACGCATTCATGCAGGCTATCTGGAGCACTGAAGCCCACATTAATTCAAGTTCAGGATAAATATTGTACCAATTAATCTGTGTACTGTAGTCTGATTAATATGTTCCACTGATCAGACCAAGGCTGGCATTGAGTAGCACCCACTGAAGAATAGGCCCAATCTTCTTTGTTCATTACTTTTGAGGTACAAACATGTTCATACTTAATGGTTTATTGTGATCACTTACTTGTTTTTGTAATGTGTATTGAAAATGGGTTATGTATTTTTGTTCACTGTGAAGTTTCATTGGGTCATTTTGTGTTTCTTCTCCAGGTAGTTTGTATATTGGTATGAAGTCCAGGTGACATTGTTTTATTCTTTGTATCAGCTTAACGTGCCTTCTATATAGCAATAATATGTTGAAAATCTCCAGTAAAAGTTCCAGTATGCAATGTAGGTGTATATAACCAATGTTTAGTCTTACACTTCATACTTATTTGTATTTCCCCTCCTTGCTTTTTATAGAAACATGTTTTATTGTCCATTTTTGTGTCCTGTGTTTCAACCCTACCACACCTGTAGATTGATAGTTTATTCACCTCCATCCATGGTTTTCTGTCTGCCTTTAAACAATTATTGTTAATGCTCGTTGTTAAGAAGTATTTGATTGAACTTTTACATATTACATAGTTAGGTTCCCCATGGTCCATACTCATGAACTATCCTATCTTGGAACTGATCCTAAGAACATTGCTGACAGGTGGCCATCTTGGATTTAGAAAGTAATAGTTTCTTGTCTCTATTTCTGGAGAAGTACAGGATGGATCCTTTTCAAATTTCATATATAGAGATACCTTGGTCCCTAGTTGTGCATTATCTCATTTTGGGACTGATCCGAAAAGCTAAATTGGCCGATTGACAGCCATCTTGGATTTTCAGAGTAATACATGTAGTTTGTTAATGCTATTTCTGGAGAAAAGGTTTGATTGATCGATTGACAGCCATCTTGAATTTTCAGAATAATACATGTAGTGTTTCAATGCTATTTCTGGAGAAAAGGTTTGATTATCCGATTGACAGCCATCTTGGATTTTCAGAATAATACATGTAGTTTTTATTGCTATTTCTGGAGAAAAGGTTTGATTAGCCATCTTGGATTTTCAGAATAATACATGTAGTTTGTTAAAGCTATTTCTGGAGAAAAGTTTGATTAAAAAAGATCAAACAATTGTTTTAGAATTTATGCTGTTACTAATGAGATATCTTCTATATTGCTTTGTTATATGTCGTTAATAACACTCTACAAGTTATTAAATCACATCCAGTGAGAAGTGTAACATTGTGATGACTACACTGTCGCCTTAGTTCATCTTACATTGGTGTATTCTACCCCATCGGACAGAAATATCCACACTTCTGGTAAGGGGAAGATACCTCATTCCTGCTAGGGTAAGGGGAAGATACCTCATTCCTGCCAGGGTAAGGGGAAGATACCTCTTTCCTGCCAGGGTAAGGGGAAGATACCTCTTTCCTGCCAGGGTAAGGGGAAGATACCTCATTCCTGCCAGGGTAAGGGGAAGATACCTCATTCCTGCCAGGGTAAGGGGAAGATACCTCTTTCCTGCCAGGGTAAGGGGAAGATACCTCATTCCTGCCAGGGTAAGGGGAAGATACCTCATTCCTGCCAGGGTAAGGGGAAGATACCTCATTCCTGCCAGGGTAAGACTGCCTGCAGGCACAGAACATAAACACATGTTAAACCGCAAGTTGTAAATTTGAGACATGAGAAACATGACTGATTGATATTGACAGTTGAAGAAAAGTTTGATATTATTGTAAGATACAATCTGATCATCTTTGTTTATTCTAATCAGTATTAAATGCATAATGACATTGAGTTATAATTGTCATTGTACAGTTGATAATGTAGATGACACTGTCTAATTTTTCCCCATATTTCCCTGCCTATATTTGTCTCATTATTCATTTATTTCTAGCATGTTGGAGATCAGGGTAGGAAAAGATCAAGGGGTAGAAAAACAATAATTCCCTGATTTGAGGGTAGGACAAAGAAATCTCTACCCTACCAGGAGATTCCGAGCAGTCTAATCATCGTCAAAGTATCGGTTAGACAGTTTTCCTCGGGTAGAGATTTCTCTGTCCTACCCTCAAGCGAGGGAAAGATCCTATTAGCCCTTGAAGCATCACATGTCGTTTTCTTAATGGTTGTGGTATAAGAATTTCTATTAACAATCTCAAAGATACAATTGATAAAGAAAATGGAGCATCACCATCTGGATTCCGTGGTTTTATTGTAGGTCGTTTCGGCTGGGTAGACTACCCATCATCAGCACATCTCAAAGATATAATTCGCAACCTTTTTATCAAGATATCTTTAATTTCAGCTCCTGTTTTTAATACCCTTTTCGTCTTGAATATTCAACTTAATATGTTATTTTGGGTATATTTATTTCTGAGGAACAACATATTTAAGGTTATCAGTTTTATCTATAACAATGTTCTATGTATAGCATTGTTCAGAAATGCAGTGGTTTATACTTCTCTTGATGCAAACTTGTACCAGCAAAGCAAAATGGCTTCAGCGCAATAAAAAAATCTGAAGAAGTCTTACATTCTATTTTATAGACATATTTTTGATAAACAGTAGCTCTTTGGGTCAATATTTACTAAAACTAGGATTCTCCTGAAAAGATTCATAAAGATGTGTATTAAACAACATTAGATTCATGGGACCATATTTTTCTGGTAACTAGAATTTAAGTGTAATGTAAACAAACTGATATTTTTGTCTTCTTTTTTTAGCAGGATCAACTTTCCTTATAACCATATGATTAACAACAAAAGATGCACATGTAGAGTTAAATGGGTTTTTTTTCTAAATATAATTGGTGATGACTTGTAGACTTGTCAGTGTAGATTCACAAGTGTACCTTTGTAGATATCCCTGTTCTTTGGTGCTGTTAAGATTACTTATTTACACATTATCCAGACATTAAAGTGTCTAGATATATTAGTGTGACATTTTCTGTTACTTCTTTGCATCAGGATCAGAAATCGTATATATTGAGATGGGTAAGAAAACCATTATGTAGATTATGTTAAAGAGTCTAGTCAGTTTATGATTATTTTTGTTATGGGTAAAATATCCAATGTGCTTCTGGAGCTATTTTATTTCAAACATTTTCATGTAATGCCACCAAAAAACCTTTGTAATTTGGTGTCTGTTTTATATTTTACTGAGGTTTCTTATATTAACCTATCAAATCATGAACATTTCAGTCACCTGTGGTAGATCCATCTTTGTCCAAGTGTTGATGAGCACATGGTAGGCTTACTTCAAGCCTAGTACATGTATGTGTAAATAGTTATTGTGAATGCTGTTTTGAAAGTAGTGCACAGATCTTTTCCAGCTTTTGTAAACTGGTTACTTATGGATCTTTTTCTTTTACAGCACCTAATCTGTTTGTGGATAAAAAAAACAATATGGATACCATACAGCTCTTTCAGGATTTAGTCAAATTGTAGTATCACCATTTCTGAATGTGTGTAGATTTTTGTCAAAAGTCTAAAATTGTGCCAATTATAGCAGTCAATCCAAAAAACCACATGTAGTGCCATATTAAAATTTGTTTTGAATGTGTTCTATGGTATGTTAAAGGAAACTTTGGGAAAACAAGGTCAGAAATGTCCTAATTTTGTCTAAAATTATGCTGGCATAATATTCATGTTCAATATTTTATTTATGGTCAACAATACATGCTATCATTAAGCAATATTAATGTCCTGGTCAACCTCTGTATTATTCATCATGATAAAAGATCACAATTTAAAGTCTTAAATAGAATTTTTAGCTTTAAAAAAGCAGGTGATCTTTCTCTTCTATTGTTTATTCATATGCCGCCGATAGTGAGTACCAAGGCGTCGTCAAAACTTTTTCAATTTATACTCAAAATTACAGTCAGTAAAGTATGCTACAAACATTTGAAATAAAGTCAAGTATGGATGCTTGATTTCTCTGGCTGCCTAAGGAAAAAATATCTTGTTTTAGCAGATATAGCGTTTTAGAGTTCATGTGTATATATGTTAATCATAGATTTAGATAGTTCATTAACATATATGGAGTACTATCGCTGGTCTGCACTTACATTATAGTTTAATAGTAATCTTGTAAACCAGTTTTAATATATAATTTTGGTTATCTCTTTTTTTGTTTTGATAAAAGTTATTAAAAATGTTAATAGAACAATTCTTTTGTTTTTACTCTTGATTGAATACCTTGAAAATTGGGTATTGCTTACATGGATGCTACTAATCTGGTATGTATTACATGATTTTGTTAGCTGGACACGAGTACCTGGTATGTATTACATGATTTTGTTAGCTGGACACGAGTACCCTGGTATGTATTACATGATTTTGTTAGCTGGACACGAGTACCCTGGTATGTATTACATGATTTTGTTAGCTGGACACGAGTACCCTGGTATGTATTACATGATTTTGTTAGCTGGACACCAGTACCCTGGTATGTATTACATGATTTTGTTAGCTGGACACGAGTACCTGGTATGTATTACATGATTTTGTTAGCTGGACACGAGTACCCTGGTATGTATTACATGATTTTGTTAGCTGGACACCAGTACCCTGGTATGTATTACATGATTTTGTTAGCTGGACCCGAGTACCCTGGTATGTATTATTTTGTTAGCTGGATACGAGTACTCTGGTATATATTACATGATTGATCTGCTGTTGTTGAGTTAATTACAATATGGGAAGTGTCCCTCTGGATTAAGTGTTGACCTTCCCATCTCTGGACACCACACAGGTAAACTCTACTCGTTCATCTGACAGATTAAAGTTTGACTCCATTAGTACTAAAATAATTTCACTTTTGATGCAAACAACACACAATAAAGATTAAAATGGGATGTGGGCAAAATTACATGAAATGGGTCCTTTGGTCAAGACGATCCTTGAGTGAAGAGAAATCAATTTTGTATTAAGGTTTGTTCTTGTTTCCGTGAGATGGGAAGACTCGAACTTTAAATTCTTTCACAACTGAACTATGTAAATTTTCTAGAAATAAAAATCTTAAGCTGCATTTGATGTATAATAATTTACATACATTATAACATTTTGTCCAGTTTTTAGATTTTGGAAAATTAAAGACAGAAAAAATGATGGTGGCACTTGCAGTCGTCTAGGAACTATTTCAAGCTTTATACCTCTTCTTTTTAGTATGTTGTAGATGAAATATTTAGATTTTTCCAGACTTTCACCTTGCAAGAGAGTCAATGTCAACTGCTGTAACAAGACTATTATGCAAATAACTTTCCCCTCCAAACGTGAAATTGTATGCAAATAATGCATTGCAAGTGTACCTATCCCAAGCAAGAAGTTCCAGCGACTAGTTGTGTAGGACGCACTGCCTCAACAAGAATAACCGATACCTCAAATATGAAATTCCAGTAACGAGTAGTAGAAAAAATAAACACGAGGCTAAGCAGTCTTGATGGTCACCCAGGGTTAGCAATATTAAATATAAAGGTTACAGGGTAATTATCTTTCAAGTGTCATGAAAACAAAATTTCAACATAAATGACAGCAAGACATAAATGATGTTTTAAGCCTTTGGGGTTGGCTAGTGTCAATATACGCACACCATCAAAACTGTCATCCTATGCTGACAATTCTTTCAAACATATTTCCAGTGGAAAATAAATATTATTCTGAAGAATTCAATTATCCTACAGAAACAAGTAAACTTTGCCCCTCCCCAGGGGGAAATGTGAGACCTTGGGGTCTCTACTTCACAATTTTGTTCAGCACCTAAGACTTCCAACCATGTAGAGCATATGATTCTACCCTAACTGGTTGTTAAGTTTTTTGAAATGTGAGTCAATTTTAACCTTTTGGACCTACCCATCAGTCCCTGGGGGTCAGCCAGGATCAATATCTGCATACCATCAAACTCATAATTCAAACCAAGTTCGAATAATTCCCAATGGAAACTAAAATTATCCTCAAAAACATACTTTTCCTACATGCACTACTGTAAACATGGGGTAGGGACTGTATAATCAAGTTTTTAGTTCATCTTTAGCCTGCGAAGTTTTCTGCAAAATTTCCATGAAATCAGTTCGCATATTTTTGAGAAGTCAAAAATGTAAATGTTAAAAAGTTTATGGATGCACAACGTTGAACAAGTCTATCGCAAAAGGGCAAAACAAGACTTTGTCTTAGGTGATCTAAAATCTGGACAAGATGCCAGGATGAACAAAAACAATGCAAAACTATAGTTCTCCCAGCAAAGGAGGGAAAAACAAGCTTGATGGGACACTTCCTTCCAGCATGTTGTAGGTTAAATATTTAACACTTAAAGATTTTGACGTTGCAAGTAAATGAAGGTCATCTTTTGAAAAGCTTGTTGGCTTATAATATTACCCTAGCCAGTATTCTGATTAAAAGCGGATTGTCAGAATGGATGGACTACATTTTGAACAAATACATAGAATGATACTATCAAGTCAATATCCAGATGGTTATATTTACATTGGGACAATGTAGTCCACTTGCAATTTGAAATCAGACCGGGTACTTACACATATCACTCCTAGTCCTAATAGAAGTTTAATGATATTAAAGAAAATTTGTACACAATGTTAACTAGGGCCAATTACTTTAGCAGGTTTTGCCAAAATTTCAGCACATTTTGTTTAAAAGGAGCTGTCTGGCAATTTTGAAAGGACTTTGCAATATGGTGAAGAATTTTGACACTTAAACCCCTTTAAATTGTCCCTTCAAGACCTGCCACTTGTTTTAAATCTTTTTGAGAACACTGCTGGCTTGATTGATTTAGTCTTGTCAATTTATGTCAATATCATATAATGAAGGAGTTTGCTGTAGTAGACTAATGCTGATGACAAAACTGAACGATGCATCCACAGTTGTGTCTATATGTATCTTAACAATTTCTTCAATTACCATTAAAGACAACCACACATGTTATTTCCCCTTCTGTAAACTTTAATTTTGTAAGGAACAAATAAAGCACAGACAAAGGACCAGTCTTTTTTTCCCCTATCGCAATCACATTAGAAGAAGAATCCCAGCACCTTTCCTCCCAGGTGTTTTCTCCTGGCTTCTTCATGGTCCATGATTCCACCAGATGTTGTTAACACTATGTATCTGAAATATTTAAATACTTTTTTCACAATGTGTCCATTTTTTTCAATAATTTAATATCATAAGATATCAACACCTAAATAACAAGAGAGACCTACTTGTGTACTTTTCCAATAACCACCTATTCCACAAATAAAGAGAAATCTTTGACAAGCTTATTCTGGCAACTTTCATGTTCATCTCATACTTGAAACCATTTTTTCCAGAATGTAGCAGATGAAATATTCATAACCTTTGTTCTTCAGAAATTATTAATAACTTTGACATGTATGACAGCTGTGGCCTAGAAAGCAAATCAAAGTCAATGCAATTGTCCATTCTCCATGTGGCAAAGCTAAAATGCATCTGACGGCTATCTCCAATCTACATGGATATTGTTTTTGTCTTGACACCAATAATATCTTTGAAACAACGCATCACAAATACTGCAAATCTCCTCAAAGTTATTCATTGACTTATACACAATTAAGATGACGGTCTAGTTTGTTGTTTTATTAAAATTCCTAAAGATATGATGTCACTATTGCCAAGATATAGAATTTCTAAATTGATAACTCTGATTTAAGGTGACATTGACATAACAACCTATAAACAACCTATAAGGCAACCGACAGCTTTTGATACCATACATTTGTTTCTGCTCATAATGCCTTTTAGAGCACCGTTTTCCTTCCTTGGAGCAATGAAATAAATGGAAACCTTCCAATACTAAGCATGAAAAAAATTCTTCAAAGTAGATTTAATTTGTACTTACCCAAACTGTCGAGAAGGAAGAAGATTTGTGGTCCATTTTTCCATGTCACGAAGGGCTACATCAAATCTGGGACTGATCACACCGCACTGAAAACAATACAAAACCAATATATAACAGAAAAATAAAAGACACCAATGCAACTACAAATGTTTCAAGCTCTACCAGTTCAAACAGAATAGGCCATAGAAATTGTGGGCAACAGTATGAAAGTGGATCATAGATTTATATATTTAGTAGAAAATAAAGGTATCCTAAATGTAATCTTAGTTCTAACCTTTTCAAGAAAATCTTGTTCAATCATTTAAGCAAACTGAAGAAATCAGTGCTTTAGTGGGGAATGAACCAGTAGGTTTACACTTGTGAACTTCATTTTAGGGTATGGCTATGACACTTTACATCAAACTTTTGTGGATGGAAGCATTTCAAAGTAAGAAAGAATCACTGAAAAGGACATTTGTTTTATATTTGGTCACACTTGAAATATTTTATTCTAATTGCAATTGCATAGGTTTATGTTAAAAAAAAAAAGAGAGAACTCCATATTTCTCTCTTTAGTTTGGATTGAAAAGGGGACCACTTTTCTGGTGTTATTGTGATATATTGACACAATTGGCTTGATGTTGGCTTATTACGCAGATAGTACAAAATATTTACATATGTTCTTTAAAATAAATCTGGCAGACAATTGAACATGTCACATTTCCTACACTTTTCTTTTTTCAAATGAATTAACAGTCCAGCAAAAGTGATTTGAAATAGCGTGTCAATAAGAAGCTATGAAAAATGTAAACACACAGAAAAATATTATAATCCCATTATCATGAAACACTAAATATTACACATCAGTACATTTTTATTTCTATTGCAATCAGTTTGAGCATAGAGCACTGATGTAAATACCTGCATACATTCTGTCCTCTTCATTGTCACTAGAAGAAACATGTTTTCAGATATTTGTAGTTCTAGCTATCACAAGATACCACTGAATGATAAGATATACATTTTACACCTAGTCTACTTACTTTGTTCAACCTTCCTGTAAGGTTTACAACAATTTTTCCATTTCTGTGGTCATCTACTATTTCAAATTCTCCAATATAGCCTGCAAAATGAAAGTGGCTCTGTACATTGTGTCAGTGGTGTAAGAGTTCAAGATTAAAGAGTTACTCCAGATTATCATTGAACAATTCAATTTCTCACAAGCAAAATCTGGATTTCAGTTTCAATCAAATATTAGAATTCATATGTTAAAATGGCTTAACAGCCCAAAATTGTGATCCTTCTGTCAACATTGTAGTCTGTGGCATGGGTGCAGCCTAGATATGCGACATTACCTGATGGGACACAAGAAAATTATTGTGCCTATTGTGTTATGAAAGCACACTTCAACCAAAAGCATGGTATGAAAATTGGAAGGAAAAGTAAAGGTACATTTTCTTATTGAAATGAATAGAATAAAAATCAAGACAGAAAAATCAACTATAAAATTGAATGTCAACCTGAATCTTACAGTCCTTATAAGGAGTAAACATTGCTATTCATGCGTCTTACTGAAACTTTCTGATGTGCCATAATCCCAGCATGCATTTATTTGTTATCTTTTGGGTATGTGGCGATATAAATGGTATATTTCACATGAAGAACACCGAGTCCCATGATAGTGCTAAGTGTGACTATACAACTCAATCATTATCTTAATATCTTACCATGTTTCATCATCACGGTCAAAAACTTAATGATGACTTTGGAACAAGGCCGGATCAGCACCTGCCTTTTGTTACGTCGTTCAGCGGCAGCAATTGTGCGCAAGGCATCTGCTAGAACGTTCATCCGCACCATTTTCGTTCTACAATTCAAATAAAGATATGTTTCTGATCATGAAAATAAGAGAAAATATGCGATTGATCATGATGTATTGGTTGTTAATGTGCAATTTATAGGTGTTATAGGCTTCTCAAACACCCTCGAGTGAGGGAACAACCCTCAAATTTGTGAAATTCAATACTTGCACCCCACCCCCCCTCCTTCCCGGTTTTCAAGCACAAATACATTGATAGGGGTACACTCTACCCCTAGTTTCAAAAGGCAATGGGGAACATTGGTTTTAGCAAGAAATAATAAGTCTTTCTTCCTTTCCGTGTGAACTTAAATCGAATAGTCCTCTCAATTCATTAGCATTTCAGCAAATGTATGGAATTAAGTTTAGGCGATTATAGAACTTGCCTCAGCAACAATTTCATTTATATTTATGTAAACATTTTTCATTCCCCAATTGAACACACCAAAGTATACAATTGTCAGAACCAGATTCTCAAAAATAGAAGCATCGATCTGTGTTATCTGACGTTTTAACAAAACAGTGACGAAAGTTGCAATAACAGTATGAACATTATTTTCAACGTCCAGTTCTCTGACGACATGAAATTCGGATGAAGTTTTCAAAAATACTAAACCAATGTTAATTATTTAATCGTGTGCAGGTCACTAAATGACTTATTCTAATCACTTTGGTGAAGTGTTAAGGCTGAAATGTTTTAGGATTTGCTGATGGTGATCGATTTATTTATCAAGATTTTATTTCTAACATGTTTACCCTTAGGTTTAGCGGAAGTAAAAGAAAGACAGGAAGTCGAAGTTTGGCATTTTGGGTAACAATGTACTTTCTTTCGGACGGTATCAATGAAAGTAAGGCAAACCGACAAGGTAGTCCGAATTGCAATATGTTGGGTTTTCAAAAAGCTTGAACTACACAGCACTCAATACTGAAGCACTTTGGATGATGATCCGTAGACAACGACGCTTCGACATGTAAACAGAAAATTCAATGCTCGGTGGTTTTGCCATTTAAAACGGCGCTTCACGTAGAACCTCGATGCACAAATGAGTTGAAATAGTAAGCATTGAACTTTAAACTTAGCTGTCGAAAGGTCTGATAAAAATCCAAGTTCTATATCGATCTAATGGTACAAAAGTTATCGTTAGGTTACTGTGGTGTTTGTACAGAGGTGGTAATACACTATACTGCTTTACTTTTTCACGATTTGACCAATGCAAGTTCACTTATTATAATTGTCATTTATTTTTGTTATATATCTGATGGAGTCTTGATATATAACAAAAATAAAATAAATGTTCTGTCCTCAAAAACACTTTGAAAATTCGTATTGCTATTTTTCAGATGATTTGAGAACAATGCCTGAATCAGGAATATACGACCGGCCAAAGACGTTCCGTAGCGGGACAACATTACAGCCAAAGTACTCTGTTCAGCACCGTTCTGATATCCTTCTGGTGGAACAGGTTCGTTGAATTTGTCATAGAAATTGTGATTTTGATTTGACAGTTTCATTAAGGAAAAATGGCAGAAAATAACAACCAGGAACACAGAGGGATAAGAAACTAGGCGTAGTGGTGACTTCTCTGATGTCAGTTTTTGTGTTTGTTCATTGAGTCAGGAAGCCATGAAGACCCCTCTTTTAACTCCTGTTATCTAAGGTTATTTACTTGTGCCTTTAGGATGTAGTTAGTGTAGACTGATGTCTGACCAGTAAACCATAGCCATTGTGACGACCAGTGAGAAATGAAGCTCATTTTCGCACCAAAAATAATACTAATAAAGTAAAGTGATGTATCACAACAGTTACATGAGTCAGTCGGAAAAGTACTCAGCTTTTTAATGCCATCAATTTAAAAACGATTTTCTCCCATATTTCTGACAGAAAGTGGTATACAATATAGGATAGTATTTCAGTTGTAAACAGCTTAAACAGGCATATTGTTTTACAAATATTGAAATTAACAGAAATCATTTTTCACAAAAGTTAGCATAAATCAATTTGAAAATTATTAAGCTTTGTTATACTGTCTATAAAAAGATTTGTTGTGTACTTTTGGAGATAAATGGTTCTGCAGTGTTACAAGAAATATAGGCAGTTTCTCATCCCTCTATATGATACGTTCCTGTCAAAACTGACTCTACTGTAAGCTTATACTAAATACTATAATATTTAACCTGAACTCTAGATAGATATTTAAAACTCCAGATCAATATATTAAGTCAATAGATGTCAGAATGATGCAGAATTTTACATTAGGTGCATGCTGCTGCATTGGTACCCATGCAACAGAAGCCATTATTCATTTAAATACGTCCACACAAGGCATCAAACCAGGGACCTTTGGCTTGATAAGTCCAATGCTCAACAAATATAGCTAAAGAGAAGTTATTTCGCTAGCACAGTACATTGTAGCCACAGTATTTAACAAAGTTGAAAATATACCTTATGATATATTCATGATTTGTTTATCATTTAAAACATGCCTATTGATTCTATTTAAGACTGATACTGTGAGAAATGCCCAGAGCACTTTGCAGCAAATCTTAACAGACTTGGAAAATGCTAAGACTGAAGATGAAATTGAGCAGCTACGGGCAGAAGCCCAGGCAGCTCGAGACAAAGGAGATTCAGCAATTCTGGTATTACAGGTGTGTTGATGCACAGTATACTAAACAACAGATGTTCAAAAATTGGTGCTTGTTTGTGTGATTTCTGTTAATATTAAATTACTTTAAATACTTGTTCCAACTACAAATGAAATAACTCTACATGGATTTAGGACAGTTCAAATGATATACATGTACTGTACAGTTTATTTTGAATGAAAACCAAACTTTAAAAGCTTTGCAGAGAAAGCTTTAGAAACTCTTAATTTTGAAATGAATTTTATTTTTTATCAAGATATTGTAAATGTGAAATTTCCAGTATTGAAAAGTTTTAGCAATAAAAACCTCTTAATTACGGTATATATACATTTATATGTATTGAGGTCCCCCCTTTTTCTCAAAATGCACAAGATGGACCTTTTTCAAATTGCATGCTATGAATGCATTTATTCTAGGAAGAATGTAATTTCATGGCTTGAGCGTTGAAAGTGTTGTACTATGATATAATCACACTGATTTTAGTTTTTGTTTTTTATATAGCAAACATTTCGGATGCAAAAATTCATCATTTCACCAATTTAACAAAAGGTGATAATAAGCCAAAACCATTATCTGATTTCTCCAACTTGTTTAAGTATTTTTACCTTTTTCGGTACATGTAATTGGATTCTGCTTGGTTTGTATATGTCCATGTTCTTGGACAAGTTTATCTTTCAGGCCTCTTGATCAAAAGATGTAACTACAAATCAAAAATCTCTGTTAGTTGTTGGTTGTTTTGGCCCAGGCTGAAATTATACTACAGTCTTAGAACATATTACAGCCATACTAAACTATATATAAATATAATCATCAATATCAATAGTTTGACCAAATTATGGATAGATAAGCATGGTTAGAATACTACAATTGTGTACTTTACAGTGAAGGATTTACAGTAATGCTAACACAGTATTTCAAATTTGAAATGATGGTTTGAAACATACAGTATATGTAATTTTTATTACAGATTTTGTATAAGATTGACTCTGAGTTGGTTCATGCCAGAAAGGATCTAGAAAATGCCCTTGAGCATGAAAATGGGGACATCATGGAAGCCCGCAAGCGAGTCATGTGGCTCGAGGATAGGATGGGGGCTCTCTGTGGGAAAGTTAGAATCAGGGTGAGTAATTGAGGTGTGGTTCAAAGTTTAAACCTGCAGTGCAGGGTTTCATTATGGAATTATAACCAACTTCTGGGTTGCTGTAATTAGAAATCTGAATCTTTTTAGCAGTCTACTGACTTCTCATCAGTATAGGACTATATCAGACGTAATAGATGAATCTCTGAAATCCTGATATAGTTAGAGTTTCTCTGTGGTACAGTGGAAAGTTAAGAATGATTATGTAGGCCACTTATGTAAATAATATGTACAGGTGGTAGATATTGGAGGTAACTTGTGTATCTAACTATTAAGATTTTATTCTGTAGCAATTGATATTTTTGTATTGAATTCAATAGGATTGAATAAATTTTGAGATGAAGGCAAAAGTGGAGTGATTAAAATCACATTTATTGTCTTAACAAATAACACCTGTAATGATTTGCCGAAACATAAGATTTGTACTCTTTATGATCTACTTCCATATTGCATTCTACTTCTGACAAAGACATATATGTTGACAGGGTCAGCCCCCAAGACCAAACAGAAATAGAGGATCTGAAGAAAGGGGTGGAACAACATTCAGGTCTGGTATGTCAGACAATGATGACATGAGTGATGGAGAAGAGATGTATATGGGAAGGCGTATGTTACCACCGATCCAGTCTCGGCTCCCAGACTCAGAGGATGAGAGTAGAGGACATGGCTATAACTCGCCATCTATCAGTGGGTCGGAGGACTACAGAAAGTTAAGGCAGCAACGCCCAGGGTTCATGGACACACCTTCTTCAGCCTCCTCTATGACTCAAAGCAGGGCTATTTACCAACAGAGAGGCCTTGGGGCAGAGACAGAGGAAGAATCAGAGAGTGAAGCCCCACCACCAGACCAAGGTACGGCAAGTCAGAGTGAAGGAGGATCAGAGGCAAACGACCAACTGAGTGAACTTCCAACCATGTTTCAAAAAGATAAACGGGAGTTCACACCTCGCTCTGCTGATCAGTCACAACATACCTTGGCAGCAGGCGACGAAGATGAGGTGAGTATATGCAGACTAATTAATGATGTATTGTGATATTTAAGTGAATATGTTCATGGCTGAGACATGACATATCTCTCGTTATAACAATATTACTTCAGTAACAAAATTCAACACCACTGTAACTGCAAATTATTCAGTTTGGCACCTAATCATTACTGAGAAGACAAGAAAATATCTTACCTGTTAATTTCATTATGTAAGTGTTACAGTGTATCATATGAAGGAATTCCACAATGACATGTATTATGTAAGAGTGACAGGGTGTGATATGAAGGAAAGCCAGGATGACATGTATTATGTAAGGGTTACAAGGTGTGATATGAAGGAAATCCACAATGACGTGTATTATGTAAGGGTTACAAGGTGTGATATGAAGGAAATCCACAATGACGTGTATTATATAAGGGTTACAAGGTGTGATATGAAGGAAATCCACAATGACGTGTATTATGTAAGGGTTACAAGGTGTGATATGAAGGAAATCCACAATGACGTGTATTATATAAGGGTTACAAGGTGTGATATGAAGGAAATCCACAATGACGTGTTTTATGTAAGGGTTACAAGGTGTGATATGAAGGAAATTCACAATGACGTGTTTTATGTAAGGGTTACAAGGTGTGATATGAAGGAAATCCACAATGACGTGTATTATATAAGTGTTACAAGGTGTGATATGAAGGAAATCCACTATGATGTGTGTTATGTAAGAGTGACAGGGTGTGATATGAAGGAAATCCACTATGACAGGATGTTTCTAGACTTAACAGGTTATATAAATGATTGGTTTTTTAATTTCTCTATCATCTGCTTAAAAGTTGTTTATCAGTTGTCATAGGTTGTGCATTTATTGTATTGTTCATTGAACATATCTGATGATTGTTGGCCTCAAATAGCTCAAATTGTTGCTGTACAAAGTTTTTTATTGGCTGTACATAAACAATTCAACAATTATTGATCAATACATGTATGTACCCTATGTCTGTATGTAGATAGGATGTATGTTGCTGTGACTGCACATATCTTGTAAATGGGCTACACATACATCTATTGCTCTTACATTTCATTGTTATCTAATGTTTCTTTATGAATGGTATCACTTATGTTTAATGTTTGAAAGCGAGAAAGGGCCTTGATGTGTTAACTTGTCTATTGCTTGTTTAGACACATCCTATTTCTCTGATTTTCAGTTGACATCTCCTTTTAAAAGCATCCAGTTTTTTGTTGATGTTGTTAATATTTTTGCACAGAAAAAAGAAGATTTTACAGAAAATGTGGATGATACAGAAAGGAATGAAGACCAACAGACAGAGGGGACTCAAGAATCATCAACTGAATCGGAGGAGTCTTCAAGTTCAGAGGAGAGTAGTGAGGAAGAAGATGAGGTGTCTGAGGGAGAAGAAGAGGAAAAAGAAGAGGAAGGTGAGAAAATATCAGAAGAAAAGGATGAGGAGAAAGAAACACAAGAAAAAGAAACCCTGCAGGAAGAGGAGAGGGAAGCAGAGGACAAGGTAACAGGATTGGAGAGTATTGAAGATAAGAGAGGACAGACATTTATCACGGAGGTATCTGCCACTACAACCAAGAGTCGTGTCACGATTGTGTCACCCCGTAGGGAGGACACAAGAGCTGGTAAGTCCTGTGCAATCCAATCATAATTAATGTTGAGGTTAAAGGAAATTTGTATCTAATAGATGTTATCTTGGGGTTGTAGTCTATCTTTCTTGTTACAGTAGTAAAAATCTATTAATAGTGAATTCTATTCATATGTTATTATAATATATGAAACTGCATTTTTTTCTTCTTTGTAATTTATACTGTTTAAAAATTGAAAAATTACTTTGATATAGTTTGATTATTAATAAGTCTTATCTTTGTAATTATATAGCCAATTTCTTTTATGTTTCTACAATAGTTAGTAGCTATTTATTGTGTATAGGTGATAATGAGACTTAATTGCATGGATGAGTAAATTAATTTTTTTGTGTGGTTTGAAGCATGGATAAGAATTGCACGGAGTGAATTTGTTTTTCATACCTTTAACAATAAATTTCAATTAGAAAATTTGTTTAGAATGAAAATAGCATGGTGTACTGTTTCGTTTATGTGGTTTGGTGTCCTACATTTGAGTATAATCGGACTGTTATTGTAAGTTAGTAAGCTTTTCTTATTGAGAAGCTTGATACTTTCATATTTCAGAGAAACGAAAATATTTCTTTTTGTATATTCAAACATACAATATCAGCAGTAAGAAATTAGATTGACTGAGGAAAAAGTTGAATGTGACCCGTTCATCGATGTAATATTTTGAAAAATTTTATAGGTAAAGCTTTGGACTTTGCTTATGCTATATAGAAAGTAGCAAGCCTTAAAATAGAGTTATCTTTATACAGAGGTGTTCTAAATTTCTTGATGTAGAGGTGTTTTCAGATTCTGTATAGAGAGGTGCTTTGGGATTCTTTATATAGATGTAATCTGAGGTGTTTATACAAAATTGTTTTCAGATTCTTAAAACAGAAGTGCTCTCAATTTCCCTATACAGAAATACTAACAAATTCTTTATACAGCAGTGCTCTCTATATCTTTATACAGTGGTACTCTCAGTATCTTTATACAGTGGTACTCTCAATATCTTTATACAGTGGTACTCTCATTATCTTTATACAGTGGTACTCTCATTATCTTTATACAGTGGTACTCTCATTATTTTTATACAGTTGTACTCTCTATATCTTTATACAGCGGTACTCTCAGTATCTTTATACAGTGGTACTCTCATTATCTTTATACAGTGGTACTCTCAGTATCTTTATACAGCGGTACTCTCATTATCTTTATACAGTGGTACTCTCAGTATCTTTATACAGCGGTACTCTCATTATCTTTATACAGTGGTACTCTCAGTATCTTTATACAGCGGTACTCTCAGTATCTTTATACAGCGGTACTCTCAGTATCTATATACAGTGGTACTCTCAGTATCTTTATACAGTGGTACTCTCAGTATCTTTATACAGCGGTACTCTCAGTATCTATATACAGTGGTACTCTCAGTATCTTTATACAGTGGTACTCTCAGTATCTATATACAGTGGTACTCTCAGTATCTTTATACAGTGGTACTCTCAGTATCTTTATACAGTGGTACTCTCAGTATCTTTATACAGCGGTACTCTCAGTATCTTTATACAGTGGTACTCTCAGTATCTATATACAGTTGTACTCTCAGTATCTTTATACAGCGGTACTCTCAGTATCTTTATACAGCGGTACTCTCAGTATCTATATACAGTGGTACTCTCAGTATCTTTATACAGTGGTACTCTCAGTATCTTTATTCAGCGGTGCTCTCTATATCTTTATACAGCAGTACTCTCTATATCTTTATACAGTGGTACTCTCAGTATCTTTATACAGCGGTACTCTCTATATCTTTATACAGCGGTGCTCTCAATATCTTTATACAGTGGTACTCTCAATATCTTTATACAGTGGTACTCTCAGTATCTTTTTACAGTGGTACTCTCATTATCTTTATACAGTGGTACTCTCAGTATCTTTATACAGCGGTACTCTCAGTATCTTTATACAGCGGTATCTTTATACTCTCTATATCTTTATACAGCGGTGCTCTCAATATCTTTATACAGTGGTACTCTCAGTATCTTTATACAGCGGTACTCTCTATATCTTTATACAGCGGTGCTCTCAATATCTTTATACAGTGGTACTCTCAATATCTTTATACAGTGGTACTCTCAGTATCTTTATACAGCGGTACTCTCATACAGTATCTTTATACAGTGGTACTCTCAGTATCTTTATACAGCGGTACTCTCAGTATCTTTATACAGCGGTACTCTCAGTATCTATATACAGTGGTACTCTCAGTATCTTTATACAGTGGTACTCTCAGTATCTTTATACAGCGGTACTCTCAGTATCTTTATACAGCGGTACTCTCAGTATCTTTATACAGTGGTACTCTCAGTATCTTTATACAGCGGTACTCTCAGTATCTTTATACAGCGGTACTCTCAGTATCTTTATACAGTGGTACTCTCAGTATCTTTATACAGTGGTACTCTCAGTATCTTTATACAGTGGTACTCTCAGTATCTTTATACAGCGGTACTCTCAGTATCTTTATACAGCGGTACTCTCTATATCTTTATACAGTTATACAGTGGTACTCTCAGTATCTTTATACAGTGGTACTCTCAGTATCTTTATACAGTGGTACTCTCAGTATCTTTATACAGTGGTACTCTCAGTATCTTTATACAGCGGTACTCTCAGTATCTTTATACAGCGGTACTCTCAGTATCTTTATACAGCGGTACTCTCAGTATCTTTATACAGCGGTACTCTCAGTATACAGCGGTTCTCAATATCTTTATACAGTGGTACTCTCAGTATCTTTATACAGTGGTACTCTCAGTATCTTTATACAGCGGTACTCTCAGTATCTTTATACAGTGGTACTCTCAGTATCTTTATACAGCGGTACTCTCTCTCAGTATCTTACAGTGGTATACAGCGGTACTCTCAGTATCTTTATACAGCGGTACTCTCAGTATCTATATACAGTGGTACTCTCTAGTATCTTTATACAGTGGTACTCTCAGTATCTTTATACAGTGGTACTCTCAGTATCTTTATACAGCGGTACTCTCTAGTATCTTTATACAGTGGTACTCTCAGTATCTTTATACAGTGGTACTCTCATATCTTTATACAGTATATCTTTATACAGTGGTACTCTCAATATCTTTATACAGTGGTACTCTCAGTATCTTTTTACAGTGGTACTCTCATTATCTTTATACAGTGGTACTCTCAGTATCTTTATACAGCGGTACTCTCTATATCTTTATACAGCGGTGCTCTCAATATCTTTATACAGTGGTACTCTCAGTATCTTTATACAGCGGTACTCTCTATATCTTTATACAGCGGTGCTCTCAATATCTTTATACAGTGGTACTCTCAATATCTTTATACAGTGGTACTCTCAGTATCTTTATACAGCGGTACTCTCATTATCTTTATACAGTGGTACTCTCAGTATCTTTATACAGCGGTACTCTCAGTATCTTTATACAGTGGTACTCTCAGTATCTTTATACAGTGGTACTCTCAGTATCTTTATACAGCGGTACTCTCAGTATCTTTATACAGCGGTACTCTCAGTATCTATATACAGTGGTACTCTCAGTATCTTTATACAGTGGTACTCTCAGTATCTATATACAGTGGTACTCTCAGTATCTTTATACAGTGGTACTCTCAGTATCTTTATACAGTGGTACTCTCAGTATCTTTATACAGCGGTACTCTCAGTATCTTTATACAGCGGTACTCTCAGTATCTATATACAGTTGTACTCTCAGTATCTTTATACAGTGGTACTCTCAGTATCTATATACAGTGGTACTCTCAGTATCTTTATACAGTGGTACTCTCAGTATCTTTATTCAGCGGTGCTCTCTATATCTTTATACAGCAGTACTCTCTATATCTTTATACAGTGGTACTCTCAGTATCTTTATACAGCGGTACTCTCTATATCTTTATACAGCGGTGCTCTCAATATCTTTATACAGCGGTGCTCTCAATATCTTTATACAGAGGTGCTCTCAGTATTTTTATACAGCTATGCTCTCTGTATCTTTATACAGTTGTACTCTCAGTATGTTTATACAGCGGTACTCTCAGTATCTTTATACAGCGGTGCTCTCAATATCTTTATACAGAGGTGCTCTCAGTATTTTTATACAGCTATGCTCTCTGTATCTTTATACAGTTGTACTCTCAGTATGTTTATACAGCATTTCTCTTAGTATTGTTATACAGTGGTGATCTCTTTATCTGTAAACATTGGTGCTCTCAGATTCTTTGTATAGAATTAGGTACTCTCATTATCTTTATGCATAGTGTTTTTAGATTGACCTAATATGGATGGAGATGTTCATTCCCTTGTCGATGATATTGACTGAAATGCATCATTATTACTGGTTTGTCATCAGTGTGTACATTTGTTGATCCAGATCATTTCTGTGAACCTGAATGTCCATCATACAGAGTTGTCCATCATACAGAGTTGTCCATCAGACAGAGGTTTTATTTTCACAGACTTGTTCCCCAACACATATGTCCATTATACAAAGGTGTCCTATGAACAGAAGTGTTCTTTACAAAGACATGTGTCCATTATACAAAGGTGTCCTGTGTACAGAAGTGTTCATTATAAACACATGTGTTCTTTATAAACATGTGTGTCCATTATACAAAGGTGTCCTATGTACAGAAGTGTTCTTTACAAAGACATGTGTCCATTATACAAAGGTGTCCTATGTACAGAAGTGTTCTTTACAAAGACATGTGTCCATTATACAAAGGTGTCCTATGTACAGAAGTGTTCTTTACAAAGACATGTGTCCATTATACAAAGGTGTCCTATGTACAGAAGTGTTCTTTATAAACACGTGTGTCCATTAGACAAAGGTCTTCTATGTACAGAAGTGTTCTTTACAAACATGTGTGTTCATTATACAAAGGTGTCCTATGTACAGAAGTGTTCTTTATAAACACGTGTGTCCATTAGACAAAGGTGTCCTCTGTATGTAGGTAATTTAAATGTGAATGTGTATGAATTATCACTACCACTGCCATCAGAACGTCATCGGAAGAAGATGTTGAAGAAGTACCAGCCAGGTAGAGTATCATTGTGTGTAGCTTCAGGAGGTACCATGTGCATGGAAAGTTGATGTGGTTTTAGTCAGGAATGATTTTGTTGGAATTTGTTTGTTTTTGTTTTTTTACACATTAATATACAAGTAGTGGAGTAACGGTTAAGGGAATGAATTGTTTTAATAATGTGCATGACATTGGCATGGCATGATTGTATTTGCATAGCTATGTAGTTGTGTACTAACCCATACCGGCCATCACTTACTGTAGTTTTTCCTCATGTTTGTAACGTGCGTACAATGTTTATAATGCTAAATCCATCTAGTTGCTTTATACCCTCCTTAGCTTCAAACCATATTACCAATGTTTATATTGTGTACAGAAATGTATTCAACGAGATACAGAATGTATGTACTTAAATTTACATATGTGTTACAAGTTTCTATAAATACCAGGAGTAAATGGTTCATGAAAGCATGAATGCAATTTCATCTGCTCTTAAATATTTGATTGATACATTGTAATATATGTAACATTTATATGATGTTAAGCTTGACCAGTAATGATATTGGTACAGGCACTACAGAAATGTTAGTACAAATACCTAGAAATATTTCTAATGGGATTACTGATTGGTTAACAACTTGTTATCAAATGTTATGCTATTGAACTACAGTACATTTTCAATATTCATGCTGGTATAAATGCAATAGCTATATTCCTATAGATATAACTCATTGGCATTCATACCTCATGAATATTTAAAATTTCATTCGGTATGTTGTTAAATGCATGCTAGATTTTCAGTTGGTTGATTTGAGTGCATGATAAGCTTTGATGAATTAAAATAGTATCATAATGTGAGTGTTTATAGAAAACTTAACAATTTGAGCATGCCGTCAAGTGTTGGAACTAAAACCTTAATTTTGTCCATACAAACCCTGTTGTTGAGATGTAAGTTATTACACCCCCTACCTGTAGCTTAAGGATTAGCAGTCTGTTACGTCGAACCAGGATAGAAAAGGATTCCTAGATGATCCAATTCTGCAGATTCTGACGAAGATTTAAATCTCAAACGAAAGAATTAATGAATTAAATGTCATAGTGTTATATATGTATTTAGATACTTTTATTTGACAAACACAAAGTTCATATTCATTGCTGGTAGGAAAGAATAGTACTTTCGGAAGAACACTTACATATTACAATGAACTGCTCATCACTTATAAAAATTACTCTGGCCACATTGGCCTTCTCTCACCTAATTATGTCTGATATAATTGTCATTAAAGTTGATATTTAACCCATCATAGCTCAGTAGTCAGGGAAATTGTACCAACCATACTATCATACATTAGCATGCTCATGTTTCTTGTTTTGATGTTGATAAGTTTACTCATGTTAAAGTAAATCTGTTTGTCATGTTTATGAATTTCACAGAGGAAATATGAAAATAAATAAAAATCGCTGACGGTATGACTGGTGGTCTGACTATATGTATGTTCTAAAATACATTTAGTTTCATATCTGACAGTACATGATAAGTGACCACATTAATGGTAAATTATTTCTGTGTTACTAATTGGTAACAGTATAAGAAATTTACATTAAATGAAAGCAAAGAGTTGCTAACAGTGTGATTGTACACACATATAGTCCTACCAGTATTTTTAAAAAAATATTTGAGATAATGCCTTGAGATGTTTTTATATTGCTGTCTAGAATTATTTACATCGTGGAGACAAATTTCAGATTTAAAAGCCTAGGCTTAGAGTGACATTATTTATTAACCAACACACCCTGCTGTGTAACCTCTACCCATATTCCGTACATACAGTTTCAAATGTGGTTGGGTTTATTGCAAAAGTTCATATACATTTCACTTTCTGTAGACTGTTCAATTTTCCTTGGTAGTTATTAATTTTACACTGTAAGTGTGAATTTGACAATCCTCAGTTAATATGTAGGCAGTTTAAATTGAATCTTATGTCCAATTGAAAATAATGATATGCTGTTGTGGTGTTTAGCATTCCTGCGAGAGATTGCAGAAGAGGAGCGTGACTTGGTGATGGAGTACTGGCTGTCAGAGCATCACAGATTCGAGTACGGGGAATATGCGGATGTGATGTGTCAGTTAGATCCACTTTCTTACCACCAGATGGGGCTAGCTGTACCAGGATCATTTTTACCTCGCCGTACGTAATCACCATTTAACCAAAACTATAAACGCCTAGAAATCAAATAACCTGCTGTTTTATTATCAAGATATGTTTAAAATATCATTGAACTTAAACACTTCATTATTCAAACTTTCAAAATCATCAATGTATCTGTTTTATCTGAAATTTAAGAGTTTGGAATTAAATGAGAAAATTTGATTGTTATTCATACTTTTCAGTTGTACAATTGCAATGAGAATAACAATAATGATATATTGTAGCTGATAAGAAGTATGAAGCACTACCGTGGAGGGAGCCAAGTAAAGGTGGTACAGACATTATGGATATTCATGTGAGTTGAGGGAAACAATGATTTAAATTAGTCCAAAATTAGTGATAAAAACATCATGATCATTTAGGGTACTGAAATCTCATTCTTTGTTTTAAACATCAGTCATGAACAAAATTCTCATCATTGGTTCATGTTGATGTAGTTACTACTACCTCCTACCTATAAACAGAACTAGTACAGTATATCAGTAAGTCTACCAGCCCTGTTATAGGTCCCAATAAGTAACTCCATACCTTTTCATGTCGGTATTGGGCAAAAAACTCTGGTCATTTTAGTGAAAAGTGATGCACTATTTTCTGTACTACTTGGTCACCCGTTACGAGATTTAATACCCAAATGAAAACAAAAATCATTTCTTTGTTTCCTGATTCCAAATTGGTGTCAATTTTTACTTTTCTGCTGTCATTAATAAGTACTGACACAACCTAATTTGTTAGGACTTGATTTAAGAATGTATGACTCATGTCAGGGTATAAACATAGAGAATATGTATAAACCTACTTTAGTGATTTCAGATTGATATAAAATTGTACACACCTACAATAAACAACACATAAAAGATGTACACACCTACAATAAACAACACATAAAAGATGTACACACCTACAATAAACAACACATAAAAGATGTACACACCTACAATAAACAACACATAAAAGATGTACACACCTACAATAAACAACACATAAAAGATGTACACACCTACAATAAACAACACATAAAAGATGTACACACCTACAATAAACAACACATAAAAGATGTACACACCTACAATAAACAACACATAAAAGATGTACACACCTACAATAAACAACACATAAAAGATGTACACACCTACAATAAACAACACATAAAAGATGTACACACCTACAATAAACAACACATAAAAGATACACTTTGTGCTGCTTCTGTCAGGTTTATTTATCTGACTTAACATGGACCTTAAGATATCAAGTTCTGCCAAATTACTTGTTTATCATAAATAAAAAACAAAAATACAATTTGTTTTAACTCTTTAATATCTGATATACCTGGGTCAAACTACTGTCAGAAAGTGACTGAGGCTAAGGCGGATGAGTGTCTTAGACACTTTGATTGAATGACTTTTTATTTGTAAAATGACAACAACAGGTGCTTTCTGGTGTAAGAATACTTCAATAACAAAAATTATCAGCTGACCCTGTAAATTGTACTGGGATCTAAAGTGCTTGTATATTCACTTTGGTTTTCTTTAATCACAGAAAATGGATCTAGACAGACTAGCACACAGACTTCATCGCATGTATGATAAGGTTTACAAGGCGTCCATGTTGTCTGTTCGTCCTACCAGAAAGTCAAATGACAGACGAGAACACAGTTTGCTCCAGAGCAGTAGTAAGTTTTAAGTTAGAAACTCTAAATACAACAAAGCATTTGATGGAGTACATAAACTTGTGGCCTTATTTATTCACGGTCACTTCAGGATGTACTCCTCTGAGAAGTAAAAAAACTTCCAGGATTGGTGAGGACTTTTTGAATGGTCAAACATTAGGGGAGTCCATCTTAACTTGTCCCTCAGACTTATTGTAGCTCATTTGGAGTCTGATACCTGTGTTTATAAATACTGTACCTGTTTGTTTACATATTGAGTGCTGGTACCAGTGTGTTATGTAAGTGGGTTTTTTTTTATATTTTATACAAGTGGATGTGAATACTTAGAGCTATTTGTTACATTTTGTACAAGTATGTGTTAATACTGATATTTTGTACCAGTATGTGTGAATACTGATATTTTGTACCAGTAAGTGTGAATACTGATATATTGTACCAGTATGTGTGAATACTGATATATTGTACCAGTATGTGTGAATACTGATATATTGTACCAGTATGTGTGAATACTGATATATTGTACCAGTAAGTGTGAATACTGATATATTGTACCAGTATGTGTGAATACTGATATTTTGTACCGATATTTGTGGATACTGATATATTGTACCAGAAAGTGTGAATACTGATAACTATATCTGATATTTTGTACCAGTAAGTGTGAATACTGATATTTTGTACCAGTATGTGTGAATACTGATATTTTGTACTGATATGTGTGAATACTGATATATTGTACCAGTAAGTGTGAATACTGATAGCAATTTCTGATATTTTGTACCAGTAAGTGTGAATACTGATAACTATATCTGATATTTTGTACCAGTAAGTGTGAATACTGATATTTGTTACCAGTAAGTGTGAATACTGATATTTTGTACCAGTATGTGTGAATACTGATATTTTGTACTGATATGTGTGAATACTGATTTATTATACTGATATGTGTGAATACTGATATATTGTACCAGTAAGTGTGAATACTGATAGCAATTTCTGATATTTTGTACCAGTAAGTGTGAATACTGATATATTGTACCAGTAAGTGTGAATACTGATATTTTGTACCAGTAAGTGTGAATACTGATATTTTGTACTGATATGTGTGAATACTGATATATTATACTGATATGTGTGAATACTGATATATTGTACCAGTAAGTGTGAATACTGATAGCTATTTCTGATATTTTGTACCAGTAAGTGTGAATACTGATATTTTGTACTGATATGTGTGAATACTGATATATTATACTGATATGTGTGAATACTGATATATTGTACCAGTAAGTGTGAATACTGATAACTATATCTGATATTTTGTACCAGTAAGTGTGAATACTGATATTTTGTACCAGTATGTGTGAATACTGATATTTTGTACTGATATGTGTGAATACTGATATATTGTACCAGTAAGTGTGAATACTGATAGCAATTTCTGATATTTTGTACCAGTAAGTGTGAATACTGATATTGTGTACCAGTATGTGTGAATGCTGATATATTATACTGATATGTGTGAATACTGATATATTGTACCAGTAAGTGTGAATACTGATAGCTATTTCTGATATTTTGTACCAGTAAGTGTGAATACTGATATTTTGTACTGATGTGTGAATACTGATATATTATACTGATATGTGTGAATACTGATATATTGTACCAGTAAGTGTGAATACTGATATATTGTACCAGTATGTGTGAATACTGATAGCTATTTCTGATATTTTGTACCAGTAAGTGTGAATACTGATAGCTATTTCTGATATATTGTACCAGTAAGTGTGAATACTGATAGCTATTTCTGATATTTTGTACCAGTAAGTGTGAATACTGATAGCTTTTTCTGATATTTTGTACCAGTAAGTGTGAATACTGATAGCTTTTTCTGATATTTTGTACCAGTAAGAGTAAATAGCTGTTTGTTATGTTACAGTGGCCAGTAAGGAGACCACCTCAGTCTCAGCCTCTACTGTCCTCGCTCCAAAGGTATTGTACCGTCACATAGCTTCCCATTGCCATGTTGGTAGAGTATGCATGTATAATAACACGACATCATCTCGTGATAAAAAATAAAAATCATCCAGTAATGTTTAATAATTGTATCCAGCTATAAGTTTCAATCCTGGAATTAAATTAATTGTTTATAATTTGCATGATCATCAATATGAAATTAAAATCTAACCATGTAAAACCATTAATTAATTTCTGTTGGCCTTATTTTGATTCCTATATACAGACACTGTAAATGTTATCTCAGGTATTCAGAATATGGATGTCACAGTAACTGCTTCAAATATGCAGTTAATTGATTGTTTGTGTGTATAATTATAATTGGAGTGATACCTGTGTTTTACTCCTACCTAGTTATCAGAACATACTTTTTCTGAAGTATCAGATTGTGTGATCTGTATAAACAGTGGTGTAGTATATACAAATACAGCTTTACATTTTCTCAAGATGATTTCACATTTAATGTACACATATGTAACACCTGATACAAAAAGAAATACAATCTTATCACAGTAATAGTGACATCCATATTTATGTGAATTTTATCTGTAGTTAAAGATGTCAGCTCAACAGCAGCTCTCACAGCTTCTGTTCTTGTTATATATCTTAATCTACACACAGTGTGTGTGTAAAGCACGTGCATGACCTAATCACTTTATTGCAGGCGTCAACAGTAGAATCCCAAGACTTAACACGGTCCCACACATTGGACTCCATAGAGACCCCTGAATTACCAAAACTGGAGAACAGACGACTTGGCACATCAAAATCAGGGCGTCTTGTGTACTATCCAAAACCAATACCTCCCCCCGAGTTACTCCCCCTTACACGAACGGTAAGGACAGATGTCTGTAATTACACACACGTTCTAGATTTTGTCCTATTATAATTATTCATATGATTTAATATCTATAATTACATACACAATGGTTAACTCAATGTCAGCGATCTTCATCTCCATTTGAGTGACTGAACAGCGAATCTTCTGTAGAACCTAGAATTTTTTCCAAAGAGAAATCTAACAATCATGTTCACTGGCTGGATAATGTTGTCTGCTAAAAGGCTGACAGACTGAAAGGCCCTAATAGTAAACATAAAACCTGTTAAATAGATAAATAAATAAATAGCTAAATAGGTGGATAGTTGAACAATCGGACTGATGGAGGCTACAAATCAGAACAACCAAATTTCTGAGAGCAGGATACAACCACATTAATGGATTAATGTACTACTACATGACATACTTACAGCTTTTAACCCCTCCATTACAATATGAAAATAGCATTGTAACATACTGTTTATTGGTATAAATACTAATCAATATCAACATCTAATGCTAAATTCTTTAAAAATAGATGGAAAAATATTACTGGATTCTCTAATGAAGACAAACAATGTAGAATGGAAAGTTATATAACAATGAATTATTATACCCATGATTATGTATCAGGTCGGTCAATAAATCTAGATAGTTTTCCCTGGCCTTCTGTTTGTTTTTCACAAAAACAATTTCTAGCCAGTTTTAGCACCTTTTGATGTATACCAATAATATGACAGTCTGTTATTTTGAGATCTCTTGTTTGTGGTGACATTTCAGCATTTCAAATTTACCAAATTTGGAATATTTGAAATGTTACCGATGACCTGAGGAAATTTAATTCTAAACCTTCTCTCCTCACTGGTTTCTGATTATTTTTTACTATTTCTTCCATTTGACTCATACAAATAGTAAAATTGTTTTGCTTCCTCTGAATCTGAGAGTGTAATTTTGGTTTTTTCAATTTTGGTTAAGTTAAGAAGCCAAGGACACCATAACCCTTATGTATATGTTTTATGCAATATGTTATTCTTCAAGTTTTCAAATGGAAAGAAAGAAAGGGTAGAAAAGAACAGCATTGATGAAATCATCGGTATGTTTCATTTCATAATTGGATTTGAAAAATAACAGCACTTCAGGATTGAAGTGTAAATATCTACCATTGAAACCTGTCTTTGTTGCTCCTAGACGGCAGGAAAAGCATACCCTCGAATGGCTGATGCCTTTGCCAACTCAGACCCTACAGTAAGAAATCCTGCTATTCGCATTGTGAATCAAAGAAATCTGGCAAAGGAGACGAAATTGACTCTGTTTAGGGAACGAACCCGAGCCAGTCAGAAGGGGCCAAACAGCACAGAAAGAAAGTTTAGGCTTATGTTGGAACAGGAAAAGAGTGTGGTCAGCAGTCGAAAGTCTACAGCGTAAGTACAGATGTGTAGTTTATGTCACAGAGCATTAACATGTTAGTCTATGGTGTCAAAACATTTACTGAGGTACATGTGTATGCATAAATCAGTATAATCATTGTTTCCATCATCTTCCAAATAATCCAGCACATTAATATATTTTTCTGATAGTCCATAGAGGGGTTGATAGCTCAGTCTGTAGAGTGTTAGTCAATAATCCGAGGTGTGTAGTTTTATGTTCCCTACCCCTGGTGATGTGTTTCTCAGGCGAGACTCTTAAAGCCTTCTGTATGTTGTTCAGTGAGGTATACAGCTACCTGCTACTACAACGGAGGAGACACTGCTTCAAAATGACCCTAGCTGTTAAAGGGCAATAACTACAGCAAACAACCAAATTTGTCAATGCTTCAGCAGCTTCATTCATTGAGGGATCATACTACACATGTTCATAAAGAACCTTAATGGCTTGAAAAAACTTTCAAACATCTTGAATGAAGGTTTAGGGGTCAAGGAGTTGTCATTTTTACTTTAAAATCTTTGTCAGTACCCTTGTGACTTCATTCCTTGAGAAATTTTTGTCTAACTTCACGTACTTGTAGAATAACATAAATTTTCAAACATGTGTTTTAAGGTTGTAGGGTCAAGGTCACCATCACTATTTTGAGAAAATCCTTGTCAGCATTCTAGTGACATCGTTCTTTGAGGAATTTTGATTAGATTTATTAGGACAGCAACATCTTACCATCATTTTAACAGATTCATTCATTGAAAGATATTGATCAAAATGTCTTATTTGAGCTCAGCAAACAAGGTTGTAGAGTCAAGGTGAAGGTCACAATTGCTCCTTTTATAAAATCTTTGTCAAAGCTCTAAGTTAATTTCTGGAGGGATTTTGATCAAACTTGATACAGTTATGAAGACCAAAACATCTCATTTACCATGACAGTGATTGCCTCTGAATATAAACTTAGACAAAGTAAAACAGTGTTTTAGCATGGAGACCAGTGTTAATATATAGCCACCAATTGTCCACACTGAAGTATATCAGCTAGTGCAACCCGTTGATTATGATAATTTTTTTTTTACCAGATGAAAGATATAATACATTATTCTACTGTTTTGAATGTATTGCTGGAACTACAGTTTTTAAACATATGATGGATGTCATAGGTTGTAATAATGTTTCAGGCAATATTGTTACTATATATTTACAGGACCAAACCAACTTTCTCCCGAGCCGTAACTAAAGCCTCAGGAGGTAGGTCAGAGTGTTATTTTTAGAAATTGCATGTGATGACCTTCACTATTGCACTATATGTTGTTCAATACATGTTATCACATTGGAACATTTATGTGATACCTTGTAATAGATTTGTGATACCCTGTAATACATTATTGATACCCTGTAATACATTGTTGATACCCCATAATACATTATTGATACCCTGTAATACATTGTTGATACCCCATAATACATTATTGATACCCTGTAATACATTATTGATACCCCATAATACATTATTGATACCCTGTAATACATTGTTATTATCTTGTAATACACATGTTGATACCCCATAATATATTATTGTTATCTTGTAATACATATGTTGATACCCTGTAATACATTGTTGATACCCTGTAATACATTGTTGATACATTGTAATATATTGTTAAACATGTGACACTTGTATCATATGATACCTTGCACCATATAGGTATACACATTTTTCAGATACACTGATATACATTGTTTTACACTGTAAATAAGATGTAATCATTTAATGATATCCAACCTGTCCCATTATATACATTTAGTTTTTCCCCATAAAATATTGAATCCAACCTGTCCCATTATATACATTTAGCTTTACCCCATAAAATATTGATATCCAACCTGTCCCATTATATATATTTAGTTTTAACCCATAAAATATTGATATCCATCCTGTCCCATTATATACATTTAGCTTTACCCCATAAAATATTGAATCCAACCTGTCCCATTATATACATTTAGCTTTACCCCATAAAATATTGAATCCAACCTGTCCCATTATATACATTTAGCTTTACCCCATAAAATATTGATATCCAACCTGTCCCATTATATATATTTAGTTTTTCCCCATAAAATATTGAATCCAACCTGTCCCATTATATACATTTAGCTTTACCCCATAAAATATTGATATCCAACCTGTCCCATTATATATATTTAGTTTTAACCCATAAAATATTGATATCCATCCTGTCCCATTATATACATTTAGCTTTACCCCATAAAATATTGAATCCAACCTGTCCCATTATATACATTTAGCTTTACCCCATAAAATATTGATATCCAACCTGTCCCATTATATATATTTAGTTTTAACCCATAAAATATTGATATCCATCCTGTCCCATTATATACATTTAGCTTTACCCCATAAAATATTGAATCCAACCTGTCCCATTATATACATTTAGCTTTACCCCATAAAATATTGATATCCAACCTGTCCCATTATATATATTTAGTTTTAACCCATAAAATATTGATATCCATCCTGTCCCATTATATACATTTAGCTTTACCCCATAAAATATTGAATCCAACCTGTCCCATTATATACATTTAGCTTTACCCCATAAAATATTGATATCCAACCTGTCCCATTATATATATTTAGTTTTACCCCATAAAATATTGATATCCAACCTGTCCCATTATATATATTTAGTTTTTCCCCATAAAATATTGAATCCAACCTGTCCCATTATATACATTTAGCTTTACCCCATAAAATATTGATATCCAACCTGTCCCATTATATATATTTAGTTTTAACCCATAAAATATTGATATCCATCCTGTCCCATTATATACATTTAGCTTTACCCCATAAAATATTGAATCCAACCTGTCCCATTATATACATTTAGCTTTACCCCATAAAATATTGATATCCAACCTGTCCCATTATATATATTTAGTTTTAACCCATAAAATATTGATATCCATCCTGTCCCATTATATACATTTAGCTTTACCCCATAAAATATTGAATCCAACCTGTCCCATTATATACATTTAGCTTTACCCCATAAAATATTGATATCCAACCTGTCCCATTATATATATTTAGTTTTAACCCATAAAATATTGATATCCATCCTGTCCCATTATATACATTTAGCTTTACCCCATAAAATATTGAATCCAACCTGTCCCATTATATACATTTAGCTTTACCCCATAAAATATTGATATCCAACCTGTCCCATTATATATATTTAGTTTTACCCCATAAAATATTGATATCCATCCTGTCCCATTATATACATTTAGCTTTACCCCATAAAATATTGATTTCCAACCTGTCCCGTTATATACATTTAGCTTTTCCCCATAAAATATTAATATCCCATTATATAAATTTATTTCAATTGTAAAATCTCTGATAACCAGGATATTGACATCCTTGATAGTATTTGCATCACTTCTGCTACTGCATGTTTCTTTGTTCATTTGTGGTAAACTTCTTGTAGATGAATGTGTATGCATGCAAACATGTGTGAAAACCTACTAAACATCACAAATTAGTTGAGGGAGTTACTTCCCTTGGTTTGTACACACAACTAACTGGTGTGAGCACCACCTATGTTTTGGTAGATTTCGAAGATGAATTAGTGGACCTGAAGAGTGAAGACTCTGACAATGAAGGTAAACAGCTTGTTTAGGTTCTATAGCTTCCTTGGAGTCAGGGAATCACTCACATGCTTTGCTAATCGGCTCACCTGCTGTTGCTTTGAATAATTGATATTTTGTGATACTGTAATTTATTTGGTTTTGTTTATTTGTAGTTTTAAAAGTTACTGAATAACTGTTGGTTTACATTTTCAGAAATTTCATTAAATAAATTGCATTTGTTTACTTTGGCATTTATTTATTTTGTGTTTTTTTTTGTAGGAATTGATATAGAATCTTTCACAGTGATGTTATGTTATAATACATACCAAGTTAATAGAAAAAAATGAAAACATTATTGTATTTTAGTTATGCATTCAATTTATTTTGGTTTTCATCATCAACTACACATGTTCTTTCTGTCAAGACTTTTTGAGGCAGTATATTATAACTATATAACTGACCAGACATTGTATTTCTTGATAGAGACTGTCCAGTTGAATCAAATTAGAAACAACTAAGTTATATTATCTATCCTGAAAAAAACTTGTTCATCATCAGTATAGTTAAAATGATTCAGACCTTAACATAGAAATCCTAAGATGGATGTGCAGGATTTTTTTCTGCTATCAGAGCTCCTCATTTTGCCGTTTTTAAAAAAACTCTGTTGTCCAACTGTTCTTGTACTGATATTTGGTCAGAGCTAATACTTATTTAATGTGCCACACCAGTTTTTACGATTTATATTTTCATTATTCAAACATACATTTTGCAGTTTTGTCATATTTTGATACTACATAGTCTTTTTAAAGTTTTTTTTATTCATTTTCTGTGCTTTTCTATTTAATCAAATGTGCTTGATTTATTGACCAGCTTAACAACAGGTCAGGGTGGAAAGGTCAAAGGTTAATGGCTATTACATATGATCTATAAGATTTATTTCACCTTATGCAAGTTTCTCCCTTTGATGTCAAAACAGGCACATCAGATTTTAACCATATTTACATTACATCATAGAAGAGCAGGGAGTAAAATATATACCCAGTAACTGATTCTCATTATTTGTTGGTTCAGTACTTGCCATGAAATCTTTTGATAATATAGCCAGGAATTTGAAACTTTCAAAAAGGTCCTTGTCAGTGTTTTGACTTTTTTCTTTCAACAATTATCTGAGCCTGTGATGTGTATCATTGTTCTACTACTCTAATGGATTTTCAATCACTGATCCTAAAATCTTCTGATACATACTAGTATACATATTGGTCTTAATTTCTTGTGTGTGATGTATAATTACGATTAAACATTAAACACATTTGGGAAGCTAGAGTAATTAGTGTTTTCATCAAATTATTGATTACTAAATTAGAAGATATAGATTACTTAAAGATCATTTTAACATAGTCTTATCAGTATCATAGAAAATACATATCAAAAGTGAAATTAATGTCAACATATAACAATTAAACGTATATAAAAAAAATCTAGTAATACATACTTTATTACTTATTTCATACTGTTCATATAGTCAACGTCATTATATTGTTACTATATTATTTTATATTAATTCAACTTATTAAAAGTTGTATCATTTCAGCAACCTTTTTCAAATTCTTTCACATAAATATTTAACATGTTATCAAATTCCTAGTGTTTATTAGTGTAAGCATAATCACTATGATTCATATTATACCAAAATTTATAGATAAGCATCAATAAAAATCAAAGTTTTGAAATATACTCCTGATGACCATTTCAATGTACTGATGCCCATCCCTGGCATATTTTTCAGGAAGTACATGGAGCAGGATCAAACCCAAAAACAGGAACAGGGAATACTCAGGGTTGAAATGGGAGAGAGTCAAGGTGAGTACTCAGGAGAGTAGTGGAAGAGAGTGAAACTGAGTATTTGGAGTTGAAATTGGAGATAGTCAAGGTGAGTATTTGTGGCTGAAATGAGAAAGAGTCAAGTCTTGTACTCAGAACTGAAGTGTGCTGAAGGCTAAAGCAGGAGAGAGTTGACTTACATGTGGTATTAGGGAGTACTCGGGGCTTAAGTGAGAGAAAGTTATGTCACATATGTAGATAAAGAAGACTCAAGGCTGAAGCAGGAGAGAGTTGACTTACATATGGTATAAGGGAGTACTCAGGGCTGAAGTGAGAGAGAGTCAAGTCTTGTACTGAGAACTGAAGTGTACTCAGAGTTGACTTACATATGGTATTAAGGAGTACTCAGGACTGAAGTGAGAGAGAGTCATGTCACATATGTAGATAAGGAAGACTCTGGGCTGAAGTGGAAGAGAGTCAACGAACTTATATAAATAGAGAGCGTCTAGGTTTATAAAAAAATACCAGTACAAAATGTACTTTACGTCAGTATTCAGCCATGTGATAATGCTATACAGATCATTTTTCTCTGGTAGACGTTTACTTACAAGACATTTTTTGTCTGTTTGTAGACCCTGGTACATTCCAACCTGACATCTGAGCGTGCTGAGGAGCGGGTAGATGCTGCCAAGGTAAGTTTTCAAGGCAGCATTTCTTGATTCAATTTGGATATAAAATGTATCCATTAAAATCTTTAGAACTGTATAAACCTCAGGTGCACATCTAGTGAACACATTTAGCTGAATTCTGTAATTAGTAAGTGTCACTCTCAGAAATGTTATCTTACCTTTTTTAGTCAATCATAAATTTAGCCAAGCTATCACAGAGAATGAACTTTTGTTGCCTGATTTATACAGCATCTCGGCTTGCTAAGGTGTGGTGACACCATGGTGTTCTATGCTCTGAAAGACCGTATGAAGGCAGATGAAGACAAGCGAGTCCGTTATGAGGCAGCCAAATCCCTCATTCTAATAGGTATGTAATACAGACACAATCTAACACAGTAGGTATAGATAGTGTCGTGTACCATGTTAAACATAACAGATATTTTATTCCTTCATTTGAAGTTTTAAACAGACAGCAAACAGTGCAACTATTCATTTAAATATTGAAACAGACTAAACTACCACTGTTCATTTGAAATTTGATACAGGCTATACTACTATACCACAATGATCTTTTGAAGGTTAAAACAGACAATAGTACAAACTGTTCATTTAAGTTTGAAACAGACAAGAGTACATGTACAAGTGTTTTCAGCACTGTTTTATATTTCCATGTTACATACAGGCTGTTGGGAGGAGGATGTACAGATGGTGATAATCAAATACTTAGCCATAGGGAACACAGAGATCAGATTAGACTTGATCCGCACCATGATTGATGGCAGGAATGTCCAGTATGTCAACAAGGTCAGGGTTCAACATTATTGCATTCCAGGTTTATCACTGTACATTAAACACATCAAAGTTTAGGTCAAAAATGATCCAGATACTCTTGTAATTGGTAATTTCTGTTTGTTTTATGTAAGGTTTACCACTATATTATCATGGATCTCTCTTGATTCTGTAAACCTTAAACGATGGAACAAAGTCAAATACTGACCAGTGAATATCTCATAGAAATATCAAATATGGGCTTCTTGTGATTTACAGAGCTTGAGCACATTTCCTGAGCTTGCGAAGATGTTGAGTCATTTTTGTCGAAACCCAGACCCTGACGATCAAATTGCACTGGATGCTGCTATCCTGCTGGGAAAGCTTTGTGTGGCAGATAACAATGCCAAGGTCAAACTCAAACTGTCACTGGAGTACAACACCGACACACATGTCAAAGCCAAGGTTAGAATCCAAGAGGTCATAACCATGGGGTCAAAATCGAAGGGGTCAAAATACAAGGAAGGGGAAGGGAAGGGTCAGAGCCATTTGGGTTATAATCTTTGTGGAGGCATGGAGGGTTCAGAATCAGAGGAAAGGGATTCAGAACCGACCGAAGGATTGAAAGTTCAGAAGCAGGGGAAAGGAATGGATGTTTAGGACCAGAGGGAAGAGTAGGTGTTTAGAACCAGGAGGAAGGAGAGGGGTTCAGAACTAGAAAGAAGGATTGAAGATTCCGAGTCAGTGGACAGAATTGGGGCTTAGAACCAGAGAGAAGTTGAGCTCAGAACTAGAGGAAAGGAATGGATTTTTTAGACCAGGGGGAAGGAATTGGGGTTCAGAAATAGGGGGAATGAGTGGTGCTCAGAACCAGAGGGATGGATGGAGGTTCAGAGCTAGGGGAATGGGATTTGAGCTGAGAACCAGAAAAAAGGAGTGGGGCTCAGAACCAGGGAAAAGGAGTGGAGCTCAGAAGCAGGGGGAAGGAGTTGAGGTTCAGAATGAAAGAGAGAAATGGGCATCCAGAATCCAGAGGAAGGACTAGGGGTTTAGTGTCAGGGGAAGAACTAGGAGTTAAGTGACAAGGGTAGGACTGACAGTTTAGTGCCAGGGGTAGGACTGAGGGTTTAGTGCCTGGGGAAGGGCTGGGAGTTTAGTGCCAAGGGAAGGACAAGGGGTTTAGTGCTAAGGGAAAGACTAGGGGTTTAGTGCCATGGGTAGGACTGGGGGTTTAGTGCCAGGGGAAGGACTAGAGGTTTAGTGCCAGGGGAAGAACTAGGGGTTAAGTGCCAAGGGTAGGACTGACGGTTTAGTGCCAGGGGTAGGACTGAGGGTTTAGTGCAAGGGGAAACACTAAGGGTTTAGTGCCACGGGAAGGACAAGGGGTTTAGTGCTAAGGGAAGGACTAGGGGCTTAGTGCCAGGGGTAGGACTAGGGGTTTAGTGCCAGGGGAAGGACTGGGGGTTTAGTGCTAGAGGTAGGACTGGGGGTTTAGTGCCAGGGGTAGGACTGGTGGTTTAGTGCTAGAGGTAGGACTAGGGGTTTAGTGCGAGGGGAAGGACTGTGGGTTTAGTGCCAGGGGGATGAAAGGAGGTCAGATCCATGAAGTTAAAATACCTTTGGTGAAATTTTGAATCATTTAGCTGTGGTAGTCATGGAATGATTGTAAATGATGAAATATATACCATAAGATGAATGATGATAAATGTCTGACTGAAGTAAATTGTTGTCTTTGAAAATCATTATACTGTTAAGTTTGTTTTGCTTCAGCATTCTCTGTAAACTTGATTTCAGAAACTAAGTACCCGATGTAAAATGTAAATTATATTGCAAATCTTACACATTTATGATGACAGACAAACTTCATTGCAAACTTTTTATTTATTATCATAATTTATCTGCCTCCCCAGTCATTAGAGATCCTGGTGCGCCAGCTGAACTGTACAGACTCTGATGTTGTACGCAGTATCACTGACATGCTACACAAGTCCTTTGTGTGGAAACATCGTGCTTTGGCAGCAGAACTCCTGATTGTTCTAGGTATCTATCAGTAAACTGTTGTTTAGTTCAAAATACGAAGGTAATAATTCTTTTGATATCCAGTTTACATCGATTCTAAGTACGGCTAATGACACTGCATCAACACAAGGTGCATGTCACACCATTGTTTTCTACTCAAATGAATTTGTATAATTTACATGTATGTCACATAGAAAACTATATCATGAGAAAATATGCCAAATTAACACTGCAAACCACATCATTTGCTACAAATTCAGCATAGAAATATCATAAACATTGGATATGAATACAGAAATTTGAGTCACATCAATATCCCTGTTTCCTGAGGAACGACAAAGGGACGATATCAGGAAAATTCTTGTGGATTAATAATGATGGCATTTGTTTGCAGGACCCAAAAATGTACTGAAGGTTGGTGAGGTAGATAAACTGTATGAGATTTTAGAGAGAAGACTTTGGGATGAACCCATCAAGGTAAGAAAAAATATAACTAGTACAGCATCATTATAACCAAAAAAGATATTTTTCTTGTTTTATTGCGATTTAGATTTGAGACTTTCTACAGTGAATTGTTTGTTACTTTATTACTGTATGGAAGTACTCTGTCACTATAAAACTGAAGATAACAAGGTAAAACCTTCATAGGTTTTTAATAGTTTTCTCCTCATCTTACAATGAAGCATAAAATAAAAATACAGCACAGTTTTTCTGTAAAACTGAATATCAGATAAGTACAGGTTTGGCAGTATTCATCGTCGAACTGGAAAGATCTGGTATGATTCCTAGAATCATACTTCTGAGCAAGTTACACATTGTGTATCTTGCTGCAGACCTTGTGAAATCTTGATTTTTCTGTTATAATTCCAATACATTTTGTTATTTATATTTCTTTTTGTTAATAAATGTACATAAAATGATTAGAGGATAGTCTTACTGCAATATCAATAAACTTTTTCTTCTTGAATTTCAAATTTTCAGGTAAAAAATCTTGGTTTACTTAGAACTTGAGATTGTTGTACACAAATTTATTAATGTTTCATTGGTGGATTTGATATTTTGATTTAAATACTACAAGTTTATGGGAAAGGATATTTCTAAAACAAAGAACTTTCCTAAACTCGGTTGTTTTGTAATTTCTGCAAGCTGTTTAAACTAAGTACAGAGGTTTAGTATGTGAAATTGTTATAGGTAATTTTAAAAGTTTCACGTAATTTGATAAATGCTATGTTTATCACACAGGAAGTTCGTGTGGCAGCTGCCAAGGCTCTGACAGCTCTAGGTCTCTTTGGAAAAGCTTGTGAAAAAATAGAAAAGTAAGTAGTACATAATCATCACACAGTAATTATCATAGAAGCTGTATACTTAGGTAGTGTTTAGTTTGTTCTGTGATATCTTACGGACTCAATAGTGTGATTTCAGACCATGTTGGGATATCTGACTTTGTTGTGTGATATCTGACTGTGTTGTGTGATATCTGAGTGTGTTGTGTGATATCTGACTATGTTTTATGATATCTGACTACACTGTGTAATATCTGACTACACTGTGTGATATCTGCTTACACTGTGTGACATCTGACTACACTGAGTGATATCTGACTACACTGTGTGATATCCTACTACACTGAGTGATATCTGACTACACTGTGTGATATCTGACTACACTGTGTAATATCTTACTACATTGTGTAATATCTTACTACACTATGTGATATCTGACTACTCTGTGTGATATCTGACTACACTGTGTGATATCTGACTACACTGTGTGATATCTGACTACACTGTGTAATATCTGACTACATTGTGTAATATCTGACTACACTGTGTAATATCTGACTACACTGTGTGATATCCTACTACACTGAGTGATATCTGACTACACTGTGTGATATCTGACTACACTGTGTGATATCTGACTACACTGTGTAATATCTTACTACACTGTGTGATATCTGACTACATTGTGTGATATCTGACTACACTGTGTGATATCTGACTACACTGTGTAATATCTGACTACTCTGTGTGATATCCTACTACATTGTGTGATATCTGACTACTCTGTGTGATATCTGACTATGTTTTATGATATCTGACTACACTGTGTGATATCTGACTACACTGTGTAATATCTTACTACATTGTGTGATATCTGACTACATTGTGTGATATCTGACTACTCTGTGTGATATCTGACTATGTTTTATGATATCTGACTACACTGTGTGATATCTGACTACACTGTGTAATATCTTACTACACTGTGTAATATCTTACTACACTGTGTAATATCTGACTACACTATGTGATATCTGACTACACTGTGTAATATCTTACTACACTGTGTGATATCTGACTACACTATGTGATATCTGACTACTCTGTGTGATATCTGACTATGTTTTATGATATCTGACTACACTGTGTGATATCTGACTACACTGTGTAATATCTGACTACACTGTGTGATATCTGACTACTCTGTGTGATATCTGACTATGTTTTATGATATCTGACTACACTGTGTAATATCTGACTACACTATGTGATATCTGACTACTCTGTGTGATATCTGACTATGTTTTATGATATCTGACTTTATGATATCTGACTACACTGTGTGATATCTGACTACACTGTGTAATATCTTACTACACTGTGTGATATCCTACTACATTGTGTGATATCTGACTACACTATGTGATATCTGACTACTCTGTGTGATATCTGACTATGTTTTATGATATCTGACTACACTGTGTGATATCTGACTACACTGTGTAATATCTTACTACACTGTGTGATATCTGACTACACTGTGTAATATCTCACTACATTGTGTGATATCTGACTACACTGTGTGATATCTGACTACGCTGTGTGATATCTGACTACACTGTGTAATATCTTACTACACTGTGTGATATCTGACTACACTGTGTAATATCTCACTACATTGTGTGATATCTGACTACACTATGTGATATCTGACTACACTGTGTAATATCTTACTACATTGTGTGATATCTGACTACATTGTGTGATATCTGACTACACTGTGTGATATCTGACTACATTGTGTGATATCTGACTACACTGTGTGATATCTGACTACTCTGTGTGATATCTGACTACACTGTGTGATATCTGACTATGTTTTATGATATCTGACTACACTGTGTGATATCTGACTACACTGTGTAATATCTTACTACACTGTGTGATATCTGACTACACTATGTGATATCTGACTACTCTGTGTGATATCTGACTATGTTTTATGATATCTGACTACACTGTGTGATATCTGACTACACTGTGTAATATCTTACTACACTGTGTGATATCTGACTACACTGTGTAATATCTCACTACATTGTGTGATATCTGACTACACTGTGTGATATCTGACTACTCTGTGTGATATCTGACTATGTTTTATGATATCTGACTACACTGTGTGATATCTGACTACACTGTGTAATATCTTACTACACTGTGTAATATCTTACTACACTGTGTAATATCTGACTACACTATGTGATATCTGACTACACTGTGTAATATCTTACTACACTGTGTGATATCTGACTACACTATGTGATATCTGACTACTCTGTGTGATATCTGACTATGTTTTATGATATCTGACTACACTGTGTGATATCTGACTACACTGTGTAATATCTTACTACACTGTGTAATATCTTACTACACTGTGTAATATCTGACTACACTATGTGATATCTGACTACACTGTGTAATATCTTACTACACTGTGTGATATCTGACTACACTATGTGATATCTGACTACTCTGTGTAATATCTGACTACACTGTGTGATATCTGACTACATTGTGTGATATCTGACCATGTTGTGTGATATCTGACTACACTGTGTAATATCTGACTACATTATGTGATATCTGACTACACTGTGTGATATCTGACTACACTGTGTGATATCTGACTACATTGTGTGATATCTGACTACTCTGTGTAATATCTGACTACACTGTGTGATATCTGACTACATTGTGTGATATCTGACCATGTTGTGTGATATCTGACTACACTGTGTAATATCTGACTACATTATGTGATATCTGACTACACTGTGTAATATCTGACTACATTATGTGATATCTGACTACACTGTGTGATATCTGACTACACTGTGTAATATCTGACTACACTGTGTGATATCTGACCATGTTGTGTGATATCTGACTACACTGTGTAATATCTTACTACATTGTGTGATATCTGACTACACTGTGTAATATCTTACTACACTGTGTGATATCTGACTACACTGTGTGATATCTGACTACATTGTGTGATATCTGACTACACTGTGTAATATCTTACTACACTATGGGATATCTGACTACTCTGTGTAATATCTCACTACATTGTGTGATATCTGACTACACTGTGTGATATCTGACTACACTGTGTGATATCTGACTACACTGTGTGATATCTGACTACACTGTGTGATATCTGACTACACTGTGTGATATCTGACTACACTGTGTGATATGATATCTGACTACACTGTGTGATATCTGACTACACTGTGTGATATCTGACTACACTGTGTGATATCTGACTACACTGTGTGATATCTGACTACACTGTGTGATATCTGACTACACTGTGTGATATCTGACTACACTGTGTGATATCTGACTACACTGTGTGATATCTGACTACACTGTGTGATATCTGACTACACTGTGTGATATCTGACTACACTGTGTGATATCTGACTACACTGTGTGATATCTGACTACACTGTGTGATATCTGACTACACTGTGTGATATCTGACTACACTGTGTAATATCTGACTACACTGTGTAATATCTTACTACATTGTGTGATATCTGACTACATTGTGTGATATCTGACTACACTGTGTGATATCTGACTACACTGTGTAATATCTGACTACACTGTGTGATATCTGACAACATTGTGTGATATCTGACTACACTGTGTGATATCTGACTACTCTGTGTAATATCTGACTACACTGTGTGATATCTGACCATGTTGTGTGATATCTGACTACACTGTGTGATATCTGACTACACTGTGTGATATCTGACTACATTGTGTGATATCTGACTACACTGTGTGATATCTGACTACACTGTGTGATATCTGACTACATTGTGTGATATCTGACTACACTGTGTGATATCTGACTACACTGTGTGATATCTGACTACACTGTGTAATATCTTACTACATTGTGTGATATCTGACTACATTGTGTGATATCTGACTACACTGTGTGATATCTGACTACACTGTGTAATATCTGACTACACTGTGTGATATCTGACAACATTGTGTGATATCTGACTACACTGTGTGATATCTGACTACTCTGTGTAATATCTGACTACACTGTGTGATATCTGACCATGTTGTGTGATATCTGACTACACTGTGTGATATCTGACTACACTGTGTGATATCTGACTACACTGTGTGATATCTGACTACACTGTGTGATATCTGGCTGTATCATGTGATATCTGAATATATTGTGTGATATCTATGTTGTGTACAACAGGAGGTTAGAGAACCCTGAGGAGGATGTGAGGGCCCAGGCTGTCATAGCTGTGGTTTGTACTGACAAATCTTAATACATTAAAAATTTTGAACATTCCTAAAAAAAAAGTAGTAAGTTAGAAAGGAAACAAATGAGAATTTATTTGAAATGGTTTTAGAATTCTAAAGGTTTTTTAGGGGACAATTTATCATGATGATAACAAATTGTTTCATGAAAGTGGAGAAATTTACCAAATTTTGCATTTTGAATATGTAACAAAATTTTAATGCAGATGGATTATTTCATGAAAGTTCTCAGGAAACATAATGAAAAATAAATTAATTTTATACATGATTGATATAAGTTAAATCAAATATAATATATAACACTACAGTATTTTAAATCTTCACCATACAGCAGGTGAGCAATACAGGTCCTACTGGCCTTTTGTTTGTCTGATACATTGACAATGATGTACTTGTTTTCTTGTGTGTAGGGCACTCTGGGAATGAAGAATGAGAAGACAACGAGAATGTTACTCGAGATGTTTGAACTAGATGCCAGTGATTATGTTCGTTTAATGGTAAATATAAACTTTTCTGTCTCATATAAGAATCTAAATTATTTGCAAAAGCATTTGATCAATTAGATAGATAGAGGATATTTAATGATTTTCCATTCAATGTCATGAAAATATAAATGCTGTTATCTAGTAAGAATTTATCACAAGACTGTCTTTGTATTTTATATAAAAATTATGTATCAGATTAGAAAAATTGGCAAATTTCAATGCAAAGAAAAAGTAGAAAGCACTGATCTGATTGGTCAAAACTACAAATGTTATATTCTCCCTGGAAAAAATATCATCACTTATTAAGTTTTTAACAAATCAATAAATTTCTATCTCTCATTGGCAAAAACGTAATTAATTTTTTTTCACTATAATGTTGAATGTTCTACAGAACATTTCATGACATATCACAGACTTTTATTGATCATGTTTATGATAGTTTCATTTTAATATACAAATAAACTTTGGACTGTTCTTTATTTTTCTTTCCTTTAACATATTGTATTTTTGAAAGTAAAGACATTTGTGCTTTCATAGAATGTGAAATGCTTTTGAAATAACATGATAGTTCAGTTTTTATTACAAAATATTACCACACACATTTATGTTTTTTAGATTGTACGGACATTTGTGGTATTGAAGAGTACTGATAAGAGAGTGCTGAGAGCCCTGAAGGAGAAGGAGAAGATAGATGGACCACTTGCCAGGTATATATATTGTTTTTCGTTGTCGCCCGATATCCAATATGGCGGTTGCGGCCGCCATCTTGAATTTGCATTCCGCTCATTATCTCAAGAACGACATCACCGGCGATCACCATTTTCACTGGGCATGTTGGGTCTATGGACCTTCACAACCCTATTGTTTTTCGTCGTCGCCCGATATCCAATATGGCAGTTACGGCCGCCATCTTGAATTTGCATTCCGCTCATTATCTCAAGAACGACATCACCAGCGATCAACATTTTCACTGGGCATGTTGGGCCTATGGACCTACACAGCCTATTGAGGTTCTTCACAATCTCAGCCCTGCACCCAACTTTATAATAAGGCTGTGGGGTATTGCCTGCGTTTGTGGAGCTATTTTTTTAACATATTTACACAATCATGGTTTCCCTGAACATCCACCTTTAAAAACTTCTCAATTTCAATCAGTGGCATTGTGCTGAGACTTCCCTGAAATAATCCTGAGATGGTCCTTATCAAGAATTGTTAGTTAATAGTCTTTTTTTTTTTCTTTTTTTTTTTAAATGTGATTTAATCTGTAATATACTGACAGAGAATGTTTTATTGAAAATTTTACAGAGAAGCCAAAAAAGCCTTAAAGACACTGGAAGTTTTAAGAGAGCTAGGCACACCATTGGGTAGACGAACCATGACACCAAATCACAAAGCGGTCACACCAGCGATTAGCAACGTCATACGACCTTTGACACAAAGCATTTAGGAGCGATCGTTGAGTTCTACAAACTTTGTCAAATGACAAATGGTACTTTATCAAAGCCAGGCTGTGAATCTCTTGAGAACTAATGAAATTAGAAACAAAAATATCTCTACATTCATGTTGGCATTGATGTTTCCAGTTGAGAAAACTATTTATGTAACATATCACCTATTATTTTTCACATGTTAATTAAACAGAATATTCTTGGAGCTAAATACCTGGGTAATAGCTACCTGGTAATTTTTATAAGAGGTTTAAACATGTAGATAGAAGTCATGGTGGCATAGCACAAAGTATGAATAGTATTGCACCCACCAATTTATTCTCTGGTTTGTTTAAAGCTGCAACTTCCTGTGAACAAAACAAAAGTGCCTTCATCACAAAAATTAAAAAGATATCAAAGTGGTTGCCACTAGTTGAATTAAAGTATAGTATTTTTAAGACGAGAGAAAATTTTATATTCTTTACACCAATAGAAGTGCCAACAATAGTGTATAGATGTGATTTTATTATATTATAAAATTAAGTTATTAAAGATAATACATTGTTATTTTATTTATGGTGACATTTCAAGACGTATTATTTTTGAAATTTTAATTTTACAAAATGGCTCCCCAATTTTCTGTGATCTATGTCTATATTTGATTTTATACCATAGTTACATGGTTAATCGTAATGTGATAGGCATTTTTAGCCAAACTGCCCTTTGGCGTCCTTGTCCAAACTGTTAAGGTATATTAACATTATACTAAGTGTGTGTGATTGTAGATATATATGTACTGTTGATATGTTGTTTGTTTATTTTGTTACTATGTACTTTACTGTTGCTTTGTCAGATACATTGTTTAACATAATGAGCTTCAATTTCCCACATTCTGAGATAAATGAAATATCAAGAAAATTTTAACTATATTATCTATAAAAAAAAATCCCATATGAGCCAGCTGTTGTTATTTTACTGGTGCCAAACTTCAATCTTCTGTCCTTACAAGCAAAGGGAAGAGTTACCAACAACACTGGGTTGACATGGTTACAGAAATCAGTGTTTGCGAGAAATAAAAAAAGACCAGCTGCTATTTGGTCTAAATTCTAGAGAAAAAATGTGCTGTTTGTGATTTTTCTATGTCAGAGTAACAAATATTAAATGGTAACTTGTTTTATTTTTCTTGTGTTATTTGTTAGCTCACATGCTGGAAGGTGTGCTGCATCCTCTTGCATCAGCTTTTTCTTCTTAACATCTTCTTCTTGATAACCAAAAGGCCAAGAGTCAAGTTATTTAATAGCATTCTAAGGTGAATAGCTTTCACAATTTTCATGCTTTCAAGGTCATAGGAGTCAAATGTATCTAAAAGTTCATATGACTTATTACGTATTAAAAAAAGGCACAGGGTCATGATATTGTGCTAGTTGTGTGAATAGATGAAAGGCTTTTAAGATTGCTCTCTATACAGCAGTAAAGTGTGTTAAAAATTTAAAAAGACTTTTTCATAACAAAGAGGTCGAAAGTCATGATATTTGACAAGTAGCATGCTGGAATGAATGACATTGATCCACTTTCTAGGTCGCCATGTTTTGATGTCTTTAAATCTTCAAATGACAATCTCCTGATTAATCAAATTAAGGTTCTGTATTTTATTTTGTTTTAGTAAGATGTGTCTATTGGTTACATTTAGAAAGTAAAGGTTAGCACTTAACATAGAGAACTCTGTAGGTGGCCTTGATTGTAAGTTATTGAGGATATCACCACAATCAGTAAACCTGTTGACGTCATCATCAATATAAGAGTGGAGTTACCTATTCTGATAACATCGAATCTAACCCGGTATTAAGGACAAAAATGACCTCCAAGATATGGACAGAGAGTTCCTATGGATTGCCAAAAGACACACAATTTATGGACCACAGTCAGCAAAGTAACATGTACTATTTTATGTGTCCTAAGCCATAGCTATGTCCTAAGCCATAGCTGTAGTGTTTCACTGTCCAGATTTCTGTCTTAAGCCATAGCTGTAGTGTTTCACCATTCAGATTTCTATGTCTTAAGCCATAGCTGTAGTGTTTCACCGTTCAGATTTCTATGTCTTAAGCCATAGCTGTAGTGTTTCACCGTTCAGATTTCTATGTCTTAAGCCATAGCTGTAGTGTTTTACCGTTCAGATTTCTATGTCTTAAGCCATAGCTGTAGTGTTTTACCGTTCAGATTTCAATGTCTTAAGTCATATCTGTAGTGTTTCACCATTCAGATTTATATGTCTTAAGCCATAGCTGTAGTGTTTCATCATCCAGATCTCTATGTCTTAAGCCATAGCTGTTGTGTTTCATCTTTCTGGTTTATATGCCTTAAGCCATAGCTGTAGTGTTTCACCGTTCAGATTTCTATGTCTTAAGCCATAGCTGTAGTGTTTCACCGTTCAGATTTCTATACCTTAAGCCATAGCTGTAATATTTCACCGTTCAGATTTCTGCCTTAAGCCATAGCTGTAATATTTCACCGTTCAGATTTCTATGTCTTAAGCCATAGCTGTAGTGTTTCACCGTTCAGATTTCTATACCTTAAGCCATAGCTGTAATATTTCACCGTTCAGATTTCTGCCTTAAGCCATAGCTGTAATATTTCACCGTTCAGATTTCTATGTCTTAAGCCATAGCTGTAGTGTTTCACCGTTCAGATTTCTATACCTTAAGCCATAGCTGTAGTGTTTCACCGTTCAGATTTCTATGCCTTAAGCCATAGCTGTAATATTTCACCGTTCAGATTTCTGCCTTAAGCCATAGCTGTAATGTTTCACTGTTCAGTTTTCTATGCCTTAAGCCATAGCTGTAATGTTTCACCGTTCAGATTTCTATACCTTAAGCCATAGCTGTAGTATTTTACCGTTCAGATTTCTATACCTTAAGCCATAGCTGTAGTATTTTACCGTTCAGATTTCTATACCTTAAGCCATAGCTGTAGTATTTTACCAGTCGGATTTCTTTGTCTTAAGTCATATCTGTAGTGTTTCACCGTCCAGATTTCTATACCTTAAGCCATAGCTGTAATATTTCACCGTTCAGATTTCTGCCTTAAGCCATAGCTGTAGTGTTTTCCCAGTCAGATTTCTTTGTCTTAAGTCATATCTGTAGTGTTTCACCGTCCAGATTTCTATACCGTAAGCCATAGCTGTAATATTTCACCGTTCAGATTTCTGCCTTAAGCCATAGCTGTAATATTTCACCGTTCAGATTTCTGCCTTAAGCCATAGCTGTAGTGTTTTACCAAAGGAACAGAAAACTGAATCTGAAAGGGTTCATTGGAATAGGGTTATAAACAGTGTGGACAAAATATTTTTTTCAAAAGAAGAGAATGTTTTAAAATATACCTCTGGATACCCATGATTGTAACTAAAGAAAAAACATCATGAGCGAAAGAGAAGTCAGAAATACTGTGGAGACCCATGATTGTTACTGTAGGTAAATATCAGACACGGGTCTAAAGAGAAGTCAGAAATACTCTGGAGACCCATGATTGTTACTGTAGGTAAATATCAGACACGGATCTGAAGAGAAGTCAGAAATACTGTGGAGACCCATGATTGTTACTGTAGGTAAATATCAGACACAGATCTGAAGAGAAGTCAGAACTGTAGGTAAATATCAGACACGGATCTAAAGAGAAGTCAGAACTGTAGGTAAATATCAGACACGGATCTGAAGAGAAGTCAGAACTGTAGGTAAATATCAGACACGGATCTGAAGAGAAGTCAGAACTGTAGGTAAATATCAGACACGGATCTGAAGAGAAGTCAGAACTGTAGGTAAATATCAGACACGGATCTAAAGAGAAGTCAGAACTGTAGGTAAATATCAGACACGGATCTGAAGAGAAGTCAGAACTGTAGGTAAATATCAGACACGGATCTAAAGAGAAGTCAGAACTGTAGGTAAATATCAGACACGGATCTGAAGAGAAGTCAGAACTGTAGGTAAATATCAGACACGGATCTGAAGAGAAGTCAGAACTGTAGGTAAATATCAGACACGGATCTGAAGAGAAGTCAGAACTGTAGGTAAATATCAGACACGGATCTAAAGAGAAGTCAGAACTGTAGGTAAATATCAGACACGGATCTGAAGAGAAGTCAGAACTGTAGGTAAATATCAGACACGGATCTGAAGAGAAGTCAGAACTGTAGGTAAATATCAGACACGGATCTGAAGAGAAGTCAGAACTGTAGGTAAATATCAGACACGGATCTAAAGAGAAGTCAGAACTGTAGGTAAATATCAGACACGGGTCTAAAGAGAAGTCAGAACTGTAGGTAAATATCAGACACGGATCTAAAGAGAAGTCAGAACTGTAGGTAAATATCAGACACGGATCTAAAGAGAAGTCTGATGTCACTGAGTAATGATCTGTATGTGAAAATGAAGAAAGGACAGCTATGTTTTTTGTCCACAAACACAGCTTCACACAAGTACGGAACATAAAGACACAGCATTTGTTTTAACAGGAGATTTTTATGCATCATTAATATCTAATAGCTATATATACCGTTTTATCAGGTTGATTTCCTTGTTGTAATGATGTTCTGTTTTCACATGTTAAATGTTTAAATGAAATATTAAATGAAAGCAGTCTTCAGATATGCTATCACAGTAGAGTATATACAGTGTTTCTGTAGTCGGATATTCATCGCTTCTATTTACCTATTTTTAGATATATTGAAATGTGTTGTAACATAATTGCTCTGAGACTGAAAGCCATCTTTCGAACATTTATGATGGTATGAAGTACAATTCCTTTGAACATGTTTTTATGATGAAACATGAAGCTTGATATCATGCATTTTATACGAATTTAATGGAAATGGTAGGGCCTGATTCCAGATTGATGTGACCAAAAATGAATTAAAAAATCATATTTGACCTTTCGACAAATTTTGAACCCAACGTTAATTCTGCGTATACCAATCTTCATCATTATGGAAAAATCAATATTTCTATAAATGTTCATGCTTTCAAAGTTACTACTCTGAATAATGCAAAATGCACTGAAACTTCAAGGGTTTACCGTCTAGTTAAACGGAAATAATCGTGACGTTCCGTCATAATCTGAAGCACCCGAATCTTTCAGCTTTTTTTAGGAATTTACAACAAAAATTACCACTTAGGTTTCAATAGAGTCTCGTCTTAATGCACAAACGGCAAACCAACGCCATTTTAGATACGGCACTTGTCAAAGTTTTTTTGTTTATGATCAACTGATAGATTCAAGTAAGCACTAACTGTATATTATCGGTACAGGTAATATCTTTTTAATACAGACCGATAAATGTATGAAATCCTGCCCCGTACCATGAGTGAATACTAAATTTGAATACATCGGCATTATTTTATGCAGTTTTGATATCCGTTTCCCAGCTTTATTTTTTCCATATTTATGTTTGCATATCAGAGTCCATGGTAATAAGGAATTGATTCATATTTATCTCGATTTTGTGGTTTTATATTTAACTACTATAACACAATTGGTGGTACTGATTTCAAAACATTTTTTTCATAATAGAACTACTTTATTATTTTCAGCAGCAAATACAATCAGCATCAGCTCATTCTCGCTTTCACTCTGTACACTTCCTCACTATTTACACTTCTTCAAGTATGATGCTATATACATGTATTATAGTATATCACAGACATTTTGTAAGACTTTTGGCAAGTATGTGTAGAGGCAGATCTATCTACGTTTTTTCACAGCGTTCTGTAAGCGTGCCTTGTGAATCTGACTGTACCCTGCCCGTCTGTACGTCATTTGTCCAGTGCTATTTGCGTATATGGATGGTAAGGTTGGAGTTGATGATTCCGTCGTTTTATCATCAACATTTACCTCAACATCGTCTAAACTTCTCGCCTTTATGTTCTGAGTAGACAATTTCGAGGGATTTTGAACCTGTAGGCCTTGCACAGTTTTTGAATTTTGTTTGTTTTTGTATTTGTTCCGTCCCTTTTCACTACGTTCTGTGTCTATATACAGATCTCCGACCCAGCCTTCCAGCTGTTTCACACGCGTGTCAGAGTCAGTCTGCCGTCGTTCGAGGAACTCTATCCGATAAGAAATGTCATCAGGTCCTTTTCCCTTCTCTTCCAACATTTTTTTCATCGCAATACTTTCTTCTGTCAGTCTTTTATTGCTGGCTTCGATTTCATCAAATCGCTCCTTTTTCACTCTCCATTCACGTTCATCTTTTTCCATGAGTTTCATTTTCACGCTCATCTGTTCCACGCGCATGCTCATTTCAAATGCTCGTTCTTCCGTGTTTTTCTTCTGCTCCAAGTCTGTAACTACCTCCGAATATTTATTGTGCACTGTCTTCAGTTCTTGTTTTAACTCTTTATTTTCTCTTTCCGTTGCTTTTGCCTTTTCTACAATTTCTCCGTCAACTACTAATGCATCTATTTGTTCTTTTAATTTTTTGATTTCCATATTTTTCGTAGATTCCATCGATAACATCTTTTTGGTAAGTTTTTCAATAATTTCATTTTTTCTTTCCGTGACATTTTCCAATTCTTTTCGTAGCTTACTCTCCTCCTTCCTTTTTTCATCACTCATTTTGTCAACTTCAAGACGATGTTGTTCTTTTGTTCTCATCAATTCCTTTTCTTGTAGGTCACATTTTTTCCTTAACTCATCTAGTTCCCATTCTTTTTCCCCTAGTAACGTCATTTTGGACTTTTCATCGTCCAAAGCGCGAGACATTTCATCCTGCGATGATTTTAATTTATCTATTTCTACGTTCAAATTCTTGTTTGTTTTCACAGTTTCCGCTAATTCTTCTTTGACGTGTTTCTTTTCTGTTTCTAATGCGTCCTTTTGAATTTTCACCTCTGTAAGGGATTTCTCCATGTTTGTTTCTCGTCTTTTACATTCTTCCAACTGCTTTTGTAACTTTTCTTTGTCAGATTTCAGTTCATGAATTGTCACCATGGATTCTGCAGATTCTAAAACACGTTTTTCGTTTTCATCTAGCTGTTTTTGTAATTTTTCCTTTTCTGATTTTAATTCATTAATCTCATCATTCCTATCATTGCTTTCCACTATTTTCTTTTCACTGATTTCCAGCTTTTGTTGCAAACTTACTTTTTCGGTTTTAATCTCTTCTAGCTCTTTTACTACCTTTTCGGAAATTTCCACTTTCCGTTGACTTTCCTCAAGTTCTTTCTGTAACTGTTCTTTTTCAGCCTTGACCTTTTGCACCTCATCTTCGATTCTATCTCCGTTGAGAGCATGCATCAGCTCATCCAATTCCATCTTCTTCTGGGACAAAGCCTCTGAGAGAGCTTTATTTTCCGCTTGTAATTTTTCGGTGTTTCCACCAGGAACGCCTCCCTTTTTTTCCTGAAACTTTTTTATTTCCCTCTTTAGCTCTTCGTTTTCATTTTTCCATTTCTCTACTTCAGTCTTTTCTGCCTTTTCCAGTTCATGTATCTTTTTAACCTGATCAAGACATTCGGCTTTTAGTTTCATATTTTCCTCATTCAAATTTTGATTGTCTGTTTGTAAGCTCACTACATGGGATTTTAATTCCATCTTATCCCTTGCTGTCGTTGCGCCATCTGTGGAAACTTCAGCATCCTCTTTCGCAGCATCCTTGAATTTTTCCAATTCGTATTCAAGTTTGTTTTTATCTGATAGTAATTGTTCTGTTTCCTTCTTTCGACGTTCCTCTGCTGCTTTAAGAACACTGATTTCTGCCCTCAGAGATTCACTGGAACTAACATTACTCTTCTCCTTCCGTTCACCAGAGGGTCTTTCTAAATCACGAAGTCTATTGCGCAACACTGTGATTTCATCGTCGAGTTTTTGATTGTCTGTTTTCAGTTCTTCAGTCGTTTTATTTAACTCGTGAACTTTGTCATCTAATGTTTTATTTTCTTTCTTCAGATACTTGATCTGTCGTTTCAAGTCGTAATTTTCCGCATCGAAGTCTTTACTTTGAAGACTTGGCGACTTGTTAGTCGTGTCCTCATCTGCGACGATGACCACGGTGTTTTTACTTTGATGACTCCCACTTTTCTTCTTATCCTCTTCCATATGTTCCATGGTTGTTCTAATAGTCTTATTTTCGGCTCGTAAATCCTCGATATTCTTAACGAACTGGTTCATTTCATTTTCAAGCTGTGTTATTCTCTTCTTGTATGTGACTTCAGCCTCTAGCAGAGTTTTTCTTTCAGCGTAAACAGAATCATATGATTCTTTTACACCTTCTGAACCGGAATCGTCCGGCTCCATTTTTGAGGAAGATTCTAAATTTTTCGATTGATGTGTGACTGGTTCAACAGGCCTTCTTTCTGAAATATGAGTATATGAATCAGTCCGGACACTATCATCAATAGAATCTTTGTTTCTACTGACGGTAGTATCTCCACGTCTTGTCTCTAATGATGTACTTTGGGGTGGTTTGTTCACGACCCCGCCTAATGCTACTGAAGGATCCAGATTGTTAGTTTGGTTTTTATCGGTATTTGGTTGTGGGGATTCCCCAATTCTCGCGTGCGTCACTGCTGTATCCTCGACTACGTCCGAAGCTTTGGTAAAACGTTTTTTCGTTGGTTTGACGTTTTGCCGTTTCGAAAAACTATCCTCCGATTCCTGGAGACCAGTCTTGTTTTCTCGGTAGTTCACCTTTATGTCAGCACTTTCGTGTGAGTTACTGTCAATATACTTAGTTCCTTCGACGGGACTTTTCGTAAAGTCTTTAGATTGATTTTTACTTCCTTTTAGGGGGTCCTTGGTATCACCTTTTTCTGATTTCACAGGAGATCTATCGTTCTGAACGACCTCTTTCGGAGACGCTGTTGTAAGTCCTTTCTTACTTTCCGATGATCGGCTGTCCTTCTGAGCTTCTATATGTCCAATTATCCTGATGTTGGTTTCTTCTGTTTGTGGTGACGTGTTGGATCTTTTATCAGATTTACTTTTCCTTTTAGAGTCACCATTTTCCACAGGATTATTTTTGTCTAAAGACACAATATTTCTTGATGTTCGACTTTTGTCTGGTATAGCAGAATCGCGTTTAAAGTGGGGCGATTGTCCGTTTTGTTCACCTGTGCTGTGATTCTCTACCGGCTCTTTTACTTTAGAATTTGGTTTAGACACAACACTGCTTCGCTCTATATCGCTACTTTTATCGTTGTTTTGAACATTTTTGTTTTGAGGTTTCTTATATTTCTCTCTTTCTGCTGTATCACTAACTTCAGCTGTAACAGAGTTAGATTGTTTTAATGACTTTTTTGAAGATGTCTTTAATTGTTTCTCTCTATTTTCGGTGTGTGTAATGTTGTCATCAACACTCTGGTGCTCGTTTTCGTGCTTTGTCTGTTCCCGGACTTTGGATTTGCCAATCGTCCCACGAGGCGAATTTATCTCCCTTTTATATTCACCTTGATGGGGATCTCTTGTCTTTACATTTGACTTCTCGGAAGTCTTTTTTCGCTTTTTCACTAACTCAACAGATTCTCCTTTATATTCTACTTGTGATATTCCAATAGATTTATCATCTATTACCGGAAGAGAAATCGAACCCTTCTTTATAGCCCCACTTTTGGAGCGAAGGGTTTTAGACGAGTCTGTGTCAAACGTACCCTGGCGTACGATATGTGACCTGCTTACAACAACAGACTGTTCCATTACATCGGCGTCCTCGACGCCATTTCCGACGCCATCTTGCTGGAGTACGTTGTGTTTTCTTGACTACGCCATGTTGATTGTTCACTCGAGATTGAAAGTAGACAATTTAGGTTCCGACACCAGCCGGTCTCCGGGTCCTGAAAATACAAAACATAAAATAATTTTACTTGTGATGAATATGGGTGGCAATTTTAAAATAAAACAAATACAATTTCACAACTATGTCGTCATCTTTATAGTTGCTCCTTGAAATATTGAATAGACTGAATATGAAAGTTTATCAAAACGGAATGTTGTATACATTATCTATGACATATAACGTATATTACTCATTTTAAGATCTGCACCAATAGAAATTTAACTATGTCCACGTACAACAAATATTGTTAGAATAGTAGCGAGACGGCAAGTCAGACTCAATCGACTTCCGATGAAGGGTCAAAGTTGAAAAAGTTTTTATGTCAGTTGATTAAGTTGTGTAATTTGGTGATAGTATTAAAAGAAGATGCAATCAACACCGCAATATGACAATACGTTGACGACATTGTTCCAACATATAAACACCAATACATGTTAAAGAGATTTTTTACTTATTATCTGTACTCTGATGTTGGAGAGCTCTGTCAATATTTGAACATCAGACTATGTATATAAACATACATTATATAGCAAGATTTTAGAACCACTTGAAGGTCTATCAACGTTTTATATTAAAACACAACGACTGTCGGTGACGTTGTTCAGAACTACACCCCAGTACTTGTTTGACAGAAGTGTACAAACAATCAAAAACTTGCGCCTATAATTCTGGGGGCAAAGTTCATATCTATAACATATCCCTGTTGTCTATATGTGAATATATCGTTACAGAATCAGGCATACCGTTATTCTCTTATTATTTCATCCAGTATTACTTTAACAAGATAATGTTAAGGTAAAACTTGACATACGAATCCACCTACAATAATTCTGTGACACAAAGTTACCACATGTATAATACAACTCTACTAAATCGAGAGGTGATTACTACAACAAAACATACAATGGACAGGTATCTTAAGATGTCTGTGTAGTTACTACTATCACAATGACAACACTGTCACTAATTTCACACTGACCGGGCACCTTGTGTTTGGGTTTCTTTGTTAAAAGGACTTTGTGTTATTTAGAGATATTTGTTTTGTTGTGAGTTGAGAACTTTATGAGACGTGACGATCAATACATCGATAATATTGTCACAAACTCTGTTATCATGGTAGTTCCCAAATGTTGCAACAAGCATTTGACATTGGTCTGAAGATGTTATCCTAACTTACTCCAGATATACGGTGGTATCTGACTATCACTGACATTCCTCAGTACTATAGGATATATCTATCAAAATAAAAAATAGGCCTGAAATTTGATACCGAACAATTGACAATAATTATTTACTTCCAATTCCTTGTGTGTGTGCGTGTGTGTGTATGTACAAGTTGCGATTTTTTCACAATTACTGAACAAAAAAGAAATGCATTTTTGAAGTTAACCCTGTCTATTTTATATAAGTTATCGATTTTGTACACCCTTGTCTGCACCAGTTGTGTATTTGTATTTCACTTTTGGAAATAAAAAATAAAGACTCCAGAAGACAAACAGAGTATTTTAAATGTGCTGAATGTTAAATTCAAGATGAAGAGTTTCACACTATGAATGTTCTCGGCGTACATAATTATTGATATAACACCATATTCTATTTGTTTTACACTCTATTAATTCATATTAAAAAATCAATGTATTTCTGACATCAGAACTTTACAAATGTATTATCAGCTTCACAATTTTTAAAAAAAATCCCTATATGTCAGAAAAATCACAGATCAACATTTCCTATTTGTCACATGTTTATAAATCAGCGACTGCTTGCCATTTAAACACAATAAGCTATTTTCCTTACCTCAAAATTACTGACAAAGGTATGTTACACTGAGATGTACAAGACCGCGCGGAGAGGAGTGATCTAGACGGGATACTTTGCTTCAGCTTTTGTAAATACGTAAATGTATCATGATGTCTGGTACAATGACATGATTGGATCCTAACTCACGTCACAAAATATAGATTTTACGGTCAAACATGTCAACATCGAAAACAATGACCATTCATACTGGGATTTAAACATGTTACCGACATATTTATACCGTGTCATTCAACAGTAACTTTTCTGATACTTATCTAAATATAAGATTGCGGAACATTTATCAAAATTATCAAACTAAATCTGATATCATTTCTTCATTAATTGATACAACATCTATTTCGTGTAAATCGTCAGAAATGAAATTAATTTCTTTGTATTACATAAATACCCAGCTACCAGTGGAATAAATTCTATAAATATTTCTTATTTCACATGTATCATATGAATTAGCGATCGGCTGAAGGTTCCACCCTTTTTCATTGTGACATCATCACTTCGTGGTGTCATATGCATTGTGACGTCACATTGGAGATGTTGTGAGAATATCGCCAGTTTAGATTTTGTATCAATCTAATAAAGGGGGGAATGTTACAAAAGCGAATATTTTTTATCGTATAAGTAAACTACTTTTGTGAACATTTGTGAAAACTCGATTTTGAAAGGTTGATACCAAATTCGTATTTGGAATATTCTGACTAGTTTTCTTTTGTGACACAACAATGCATGTGACGTCATGGATTTATGACATTACAAAGGAAACAACTGGAATCTTCCGCAATCCGCGGTTCTACTACGTCATATTACACATGTGAAATAACAAAAATGCGTAATATGTGATAGGCGTTATTACACTGATAACTGAGTACTCAAGTGATAAAATGCAGTTTTCATTAACGTTTGTAAAATTATCTAAGCGAAATGATAAACATATTAACAGAATCTTACATTTGTTTCCTTTTATAGAGATGTTCTCAACTCGCAACGAATTTTAAATTTAACACCGCCTGTGACTCGACAAAATAAAATAAAAAAGACATATTAAAGTAGACCCGTCTGAGATCCTATTTATCACTGACATCCTGAACGAACTGCTTTGCTTAGGAGTTTAAAATCCTTAACCGAAATACAACACTGCCTCACAGAACTGATAAAACAATAGGTTATATCAAGCTAGCTCTGACATACTGCTACCTAAATGTGACAATATAGAGGTAGGTCAAAAGAACAACCACTAGAATAACTTGATATTAATATCTATGATTTAAAAAAAATTCAAATCAGGTTCAAAATTCACAACATCATTTTGAACGCGTGTTGTGATAACTTTATAAAGAGTATCGATGTTAGGAGAAACGGTGCGGCACTCCAGCTGTATTGACACAACTGTTTTCCAGATAATGGATGTAAATAGCACACAGATATAGGTATTGACCTTTTAGTAATCGTTATAATTGACAATAGAACAAAACGGTTCTGTGTAATATGACGTGATATTATTGGTCGAACACACAACGCTTATCATTTTACATTCTGACACAATGTCATAACACGACTTTGTACCGCAACACGTGAATGCCGCTTGTGAAATATCAATCATTTCATAAAACGTCTTGATATTTGGCAAACTATTGGTATATCATTAATATGAATTTTGCTTATTCCCTCTGTCTGTTGTACGAGTCTTACAGAGTAGCCAATAGAACTCGACATCAATATGTAGCAATCTATTCCACATAAATTTCCCAAGGTTCTCGTTACAGCACCATGTATAACAACATATACATATCTGCCTATCGTTCCTTGAATGAAACATCCCCACAGAAAGACAAGGGTCCTTTATAGAACAGGCAAATTTCGTCGTTGTTGGTATAATACGACATTATTATAGAAGCCTCACACACCAATAAACAGTTTATAAATGTTGGTTAAAAACTTGCTGGGATCATTTGGGTATATACTTTTATATGAATGTTCTCTGTTTGAATGCCAAGACATAGTCTCCTTTGGAAATCTTTCCTGCGTAATGACTAATTTACCACTACAGTATGACATTATGAATTCAACAGAAAATACTTCACAAACTCTGACTGGCTGTTTTCCCCCAGATTACCCCCATAATGTTATACACAGAGAAGCCAAAATCATAACGAGCATTTCTTACATCACCAGAAGTGTGACTTCAACAATTATAACGACACCAAGCATTTCTGTACTCACCACAAATGTGACTTCAACAATTATAACGACACCAAGCATTTCTGTACTCACCACAAATGTGACTTCAACAATTATAATGGTACCAAACATTCTGTGCATCACCAGAAATGTGACTTCAACAATTATAACGACACCAAGCATTTCTGTACTCACCACAAATGTGACTTCAAAAATTATAATGGTACCAAACATTTCTGTACATCACCAGAAATGTGACTTCAACAATTATAACGACACCAAGCATTTCTGTACTCACCACAAATGTGACTTCAACAATTATAATGGTACCAAACATTTCTGTACATCACCAGAAGTGTGACTTCAACAATTATAATGGTACCAAACATTTCTGTACATCACCAGAAGTGTGACTTCAACAATTATAATGGTACCAAGCATTCCTGTACATCACCAGAAATGTGACTTCAACAATCATAATGGTACCAAACATTCTGTGCATCACCAGAAATGTGACTTCAACAATTATAATGGTACCAAGCATTCCTGTACATCACCAGAAGTGTGACTTCAACAATTATAATGGTACCAAGCATTTCTGTACATCACCAGAAGTGTGACTTTGACAATTATAATGGTACCAAGCATTCCTGTACATCACCAGAAGTGTGACTTCAACAATTATAATGGTACCAAGCATTTCTGTACATCACCAGAAGTGTGACTTTGACAATTATAATGGTACCAAGCATTCCTGTACATCACCAGAAGTGTGACTTCAACAATTATAATGGTACCAAGCATTTCTGTACATCACCAGAAGTGTGACTTTGACAATTATAATGGTACCAAACATTCTGTACAT